AGTACTTGGGCAAAATGTGGTAAATGGATGTAAATGGACATATTACAGACATGGACCATGTGTTAATTGGAGAGTGTTTTTTGTGTTTCATCTGTAGCATGATTAATTACAGATACCCTCTGGTTATTTAACATAGCCATGAAAAATAGCCCATAGAAATAGATGGTTTACCTAGCTATAAAATGGGTGGATATTTCCATGGCAAACTGTTCAATAACCAGATGGTAGTCATAGAGGTAGACCGTCGGAATGATTTTTTGTTGACCCGCGGGCCAAGATGTCAAATGAGAGTGATGACTTGGCTGATAGATTTCCCACGTCGTCTGGATGGTGCATTGCAGTTCCTACCGCATATAATTATATATATTTATATAACAAAGTACATATTGCACACAACATATTACAAATATACATGTATATATTTATGTATTTATAATTTATGAATATCATCTACATACATATACATAGATGTTTGAAACCCATGTTCACCAGGTCGTACGATTTCTGAAATTTCTGCCAGGTCAGAGGTACATTCCATCCACGGTGTCTTGGCAGGTCTGGAAGCATTTAGCCTTTGGTAAACTAACATCACCATTTTTGACCATCAGTTTATAGTTGATTTTTGCCATTTATATCCATCTATAGTTGATTTAACACAACTATGGCAAATCACCTGAATTTTTGTCAATCGGTAAATCAACTATAAATGGATATAAAGGCAATAGCTATGTGAATCATCTCTCCCTATTACTAAAACACCCCCCCAAATGGTAAACATGGTGATCTATTTTTTTTATTTGGGGGTATTTTGAACACCCTAATAATAAAAATAAAAAAGACTCGATTTCAAATGTGATTAAGTCCCCTTTTAAATTTTATAGAAAATATTGCCAAAAAACTGGATGTTCAAGCTTTCGCCGAATATTCCAATGAAAACCTTAATTTAAAAAAAATAACAAATAAAACTTGTGAGATGGGACCCTAGTAAAAAACCTCCAGGTGGCAATCTCTTTTTTTATTAATAGGGGGTTTGAACCCATTGTTTCACCATCCTGTTCTCCTATTGATTCTCAATTACCACAATTAAGAATCCAATTGTGCCCAACCAAAAAAAGCGGAAGTGCCACACCAATCATTATCTTTTAGTTAATAGGAAGAAGGGATTAGTTTACCAGAGGCTAGTATTTTCCAGGAATTCTTTCAGTGAACCAATGTGGTTTTGGTGCAAGCAGTTGTCTGAAAATTGGGCACCCCAAAATCCAGCGATTGTTCATCAACATTTTCACCATAGCACCAACCCATGGGTTTCCAAATGTTTCCCCCCGGTCACCAAGAAAAACCATGATAGACCCAACGATGGGCGGATCTGAGGCGGACGCTTTTGCTATGTTTGTGCTCACAATCATCAGATCTATCCCGAAGTGCCTTGACTGCGGGATGTGTTTTTATGGCTGGGGTAGATCATAAAGGCATCATACTGGGATTATCCTGTTTTTATGGTGTTATAATGAGTCCTTCCATTTTTTTACTATTTACATGTTGCTGTCAACCACCATTGTGAAGTCGTACTGTTGGGCGTCGGCTCAGCCACCACCCAGTTTTGCTGGAAACGCCAGCCTATCTGGAACATCTTTGGCTTGCCAGGGGTTAATGTAACTCACCAACTGGCAATGTCACCAAAGTAGCTACGAAAAATTAGATTGACTCTTAGAAACGTGTTGCAAACAGTCAGAGTGGTGTAAATTTGGAGGAAAAACAAGGTTACGGCGCCTGTAGAAGTCCAACGCTTTCAGCGTTTCTGAAAGTGGACAATCGTCACTCTGTTCATGCGAGACGCCATAGTCCAACTCTGTTGTTGTGCCAACCATTGCCATAGTAGGCAGTGTTTCGTCAAGGCAGCTGTTGTTTCATGTACATTTAAATCTCTTGAAGAGAGACAGTACGTGGGATGTATGATTTCATATGATCCCATGTTCGGTCAATGACCTGTGTGCCTGCTACGCGTGATCCTCTGGATCCATTTGGACAATTTTTGCAAGTTACTTGAAGAAGTTGTTACAACGTATCAGGAACATCTTGAAAGCTACTTGACGAAGATGTTACAACGTATCAGGAACGTCTTGCAAATTACTTGACGAAGATGTTACAACGTATCAGGAACATCTTGAAAGTTACTTGACGAAGATGTTACAACGTATCAGGAACATCTTGAAAGTTACTTGACGAAGATGTTACAACGTATCAGGAACGTCTTGCAAGTTACTTGAAGAAGACGTTACAACGTATCAGGAACATCTTGAAAGTTACTTGACGAAGATGTTACAACGTATCAGGAACGTCTTGCAAGTTACTTGAAGAAGACGTTACAACGTATCAGGAACATCTTGAAAGTTACTTGAAGAAGACGTTACAACGTATCAGGAACATCTTGAAAGTTACTTGACGAAGATGTTACAACGTATCAGGAACGTCTTGCAAGTTACTTGATGGAGACGTTACAACGTATCAGGAACATCTTGAAAAAGTTACTTGACGAAGATGTTACAACGTATCAGGAACGTCTTGCAAATTACTTGTAGAAGATGTTACAACGTATCAGGAACATCTTGAAAGTTACTTGACGAAGATGTTACGACGTATCAGGAACGTCTTGCAAGTTACTTGAAGAAGACCTTACAACGTATCAGGAACATCTTGAAAAAGTTACTTGACGAAGATGTTACAACGTATCAGGAACGTCTTGCAAATTACTTGAAGAAGACGTTACAACGTATCAGGAACGTCTTGCAAGTTACTTGAAGAAGACGTTACAACGTATCAGGAACATCTTGAAAAAGTTACTTGACGAAGATGTTACAACGTATCAGGAACGTCTTGCAAATTACTTCAAGAAGACGTTACAACGTATCAGGAACATCTTGAAAGTTACTTGACGAAGATGTTACAACGTATCAGGAATGTCTTGCGATTTACTTACAGAAAATGTAACAACGTAGCAGGAAATCGTTATTGACATCGCAGACCACAGGACGCTAGTACACCCCCCAACCCCCCCAAAAAAGAAAAAGAGTTACAACGTAGCAGGAAATCGTTATTGACAACGCAGACCACAGGACGCTATTACACCCCCCAAACCCCCTCAAAAAAAACATGTGCAAAAGTGACAACAGTCCCGCCCCTCCATGGGCGCCGTCACCGAAAACAATTGTTGGTGGTCATTTCAATCCATTCTAATGGGATGCCAAATTGACCAGCATGTTTTTTGGCCGCCAATTGGTTGCTCCGTGTTGCATTCCCGTTTCTTCGTGTTCGAGATTTTTTTTTTGCTGAACGCCTCACATATCAAAACACGAAGACACACAAAAATCAATAGGTTTGAGGTTGAAGAAATTCAACATGGATCCAATCTGTTGAGTGTCCAACGGTTGCGGGTTTGCGCGGGTGAAGTTCCGCTTAGGTGGTGATTTTCCTCGCCTGAGCCGTGGCATGGTCTGCAGCTTGACCAAAGATTGTGAAGCGATGCCATTGGCACCCCGTCCCCTCAACCAGGATAAGGGACCCCAAACGACATAAAATGTTTATAAAATGATATAAAGTGTATGTTTGTTTTCCTTTTACCAGGCGAAGATCTTGTTGGGTGCTGAATTGTCAAAACTGCAGTTACATGATGCGACTCACACAGTGCAGCTGTGTGGGATTTAACGCCTTCGTGCAGAGGCCTTGGAGGGCTTGGGACTCACGCGTTTGTGGTTCATGCGATGGGTTGAAGAAAGTGCAGTGCATCGCAGGGATAATGCTGCAGGGTACCTGTAATCCATCCTATTCCCGCGATGACCGCGTCCACAGTTCAAAAGATTCTGCGCCAAAGATACCTGATTTGGATGAAAGAGTGGCTTAACATGGCTTAACTTGTTTGGGGGTTTTCAGCAACCTGTTGCAATTTTCACTGATGCTCATTTTGGGATGGGGTAATATATTTATGATACCATCGGAGTGAAAAGACGCAGTGAAACCTTTACCAGCTATTTTGGTGCGAGATTACGAGATTACCAAGGTTTTGACCCATGGCCCACACCCTGGATGCACTGCCAGACAGCCCGGCGCTTGAGCAATGCCCATTGATCCCTGGCGACGGAGATTTCGTCGCAACCAATGGGATCCAATCCAGAAATCAGGGTTTTGTTCGCGGTGTTTTTCTAAGGACTCACCTCACCTAACCTAATCTAATCTGAGATTCCCAATCCACCAAGCAGTTTCGGAATGAGCAGTGGAACTGGGCAGAGCTTAAGCCGCCGTCTTGCAATCGTCCCGTGATGTACAGATGATGGGACCAGCGAGAAAAACAAACGGAGTCCGCGACGGATGTCTTCAACTGTGAATCTAAGAACCCAAAGGTGATCCCCCCAATATATATAATATATATATATATATATATCAGCTATAGTTGATAAATGTTGATAAGCTCTTACGTTCGTGTTTCTTCGTGGTTAAGCCCTTTTTGCATATTTTAGGTCCATCCTTTTGAGGGTGTCACCTTCTAGCCTAGTTGAATCCACATGATTCATGCAGCAGTTTGTCATAATGTGATAAGTGTGATATAATCTGACCAATGATCGGTGTAAGTGTATATATATAAATACATGTGTATATATATATATACATATAATGTATATATCACCAATTATATACTCACCAATAATAGTATCTGGGTTCGACTTGTATACTCTCTGCATCCGCTGGTTTAGGATTGACCAAATGAGCGGGTCATGTGATGTGTTTGGGGTCCTGAACTCGGGATTTGCTCAAAATGATCGACCCTCTATAGGATGGTGATCCAAAAATGACCTGAACATCTTACCTGGGTTTTGATCATTGATCATGATTTTCGCTTTCAAAATGTCATAGGGTGTGATATGGTGTGATATTTTCGGGTAAACAACGAATGGTTTTCAGACACACACCCGATCCGTTTGTCTTCGTCCACGATGAACTGCTGCCAGGCCAGAAGAGTACGGGACCCAGAAAAAAAAAAGTGTTCAACTTGTAAATCCCATTTTGAAGGACTAATTTGGAATCCGAATGACTAGTTAATCCAATTTGTGAAACAAGTCCATAGAGATCCCATTGATCTGGATTGATTTGTACAACCTACCGGCTAGAGTCGGCTAGAGATCACCTCAATGATAGGAGTAACATTTGCAGAATGGTCTTATTCCAGGTTCATGAATTATCATATTGTCCAATATCTCCAAGTGAACATGATTGAGCCATGTCCAGTTCGCCCATCAAGACTGGGTTTGCACTACATCCAGCTGTGGCTTACTTGGAATCAGACCGTCAACAGAAGGTAGAAGAGGTTGCCATCATCCAGTTTGTCAACTTAGCGGTTGTTGACCGAACACTTTCCCCTCTTACTCCTGGAAGGACTAAGAGTTTGCTATGGAAAATCACCATGATGATAGTAGATGAGCCATCGAAATAAATTGGCAATTTTCCATATGGGAATCTTAAAATGGGGGATCTCCAAAACCATAGGTTTCAATACTAAAATGGTCTATATAATCTTGCATTATTTGGGGGTACTCTCATTTTATGAATCCTCCATATCACATGTTAAATTACAGATGGTAAATCCCAACTGTTCCATTATACTGTAAAAAATCAGATATTCGATGAAATCTCCATGATACCCCCATGATACCCACATAGTTTGCCCATAGCAAACTGTTAAAGTACGAGGGGGTTCTGATGATCATGATCGAGTCCATCCACATAGTCGTCATTATTCTACCATGATGGTGGTTTTTCATGTCGCAATCTGTTAACCACCATGTTCAGATTGTGCCTTGATATAGTCATGGGACGATCATCATTTTGAATAGGTATATATATATATATGTATGTATATATATATATGTATATATATATATGTATATATATATATATGTATGTATATATATATATGTATATATATATATAGATCAAAACTATAGACTGTCTTCCATGTGGCGAACTGTTACATAAATCATTCTCAGAAGGTATAATCCACTACATTCTGATTATATCAAATGTATTCATACGTTATAAATCACAGTAATTTGCCCCCAAATGAGCCATCCAAAATACACTCCTTGTTTGGTTATCAGAAGGAGTTCTACTACCTGGGTCATTGGGGATCATGAAAAACAAACCTATTAACCAACTAGTAGAATGAAATGTGTGATAAATTACCAGAGGGTAATCCCTATTAAATCTTCAGAATGTATACATGTATATATATATATACATATATATATATACACAGAGAGAGGTTGTCCCACTGTAATGGGGACTTAATGAGGAATAATATTAGACATTCACATGTCATCATATTACTGTAAGTCCCTATCAATCCATATTAACATTTATTAACTATTATATTACTGTAAGTCCCTATCAATCCATATTAACATTTATAAACTATTATATTACTGCAAGTCCCTATCAATCCATATTAACATTGATTAACTATATTATTACTGTAAGTCCCCATCAATCCTTATTAACATTTATAAACTATTATATTATTGTAAGTCCCTATCAATCCATATTAACATTTATAAACTATTATATTGCTGTAAGTCCCTATCAATCCATATTAACATTTATTAACTATTATATTACTGTAAGTCCCTATCAATCCATATTAACATTTATAAACTATTATATTACTGTAAGTCCCTATCAATCCATATTAACATTTATAAACTATTATATTACTGTAAGTCCCTATCAATCCATATTAACATTTATAAACTATTATATTACTGTAAGTCCCTATCAATCCATATTAACATTTATAAACTATTATATTACTGTAAGTCCCTATCAATCCATATTAACATTTATAAACTATTATATTACTGTAAGTCCCTATCAATCCATATTAACACTAATAACTATATTATTAGTAATACTGTAATGATCAATGTTAAATCACTACAAGTTGCCCCACTTCGTTTTTACGACCTCCAAGGCCATCCTCTCACGGCTGACCGCTTCACAGCCAACACGATCTGCGCAGGCGGAAGAATGGTGGTTTGACAAACCAAGAGAGGGTGGGTAAACCAATGCCATTAATGGTTATGAATGGTTATATATGGTGATTAATGGTTATTAATGGTGATGATTAATAGTGTATTTAAAAGAATGCCATAAAGCACCCATGACTCGGAATGGTAAACAAACCACCTATAAAAAATGGTGATGACTGGGGGATGGTTTATGACGTTGTTTTACCCACATTAGTGGTTTAGCTAACATCACTTGGGTCAACATCAAGAACAAGGAATCGGTGTTTTCCATTCTCATCCAATCGGGTGCCTAGGCCTCTAAGATTCGAGTGAAACATCAACGTTTTCTCGGTCATTTTCATCCATCTCAACCGTAGCTACTTGAGCAGTGGCTGCAAGACAACTCTGTGTTTTGATGATAACTCCGGGGGTCATTTTTGTTTAAATCTTTCCCTTCAAAAGAAATGAGGTTTCTCATTGTTTTCATGATAATCACGTTCTTCATGGATTCTGAAGATCTTCCCATATTCCGTAAAATCATGTAAAATCATCGGACCTCTCTGGACCATGGGTCTTTACGGGCACCGATTGGCACTTTCCCGCAGCATCAGCGCCTCTGGCACCGCTGGGGTGCGACTCGCTCGCCATGGCGGCAGCCGCGGAGCTGGGCTTCGCGCGGCGCGAGATGCACTCGGAGAAGTTGGCGGGAACGGCCCCTGGGTCTGACCATCAAGAAATAATAAGGATTGAATGGGATTTAATGTAATAGGACACACTAATTTGAATATTGAAAACATAACATAGATATAGAATAGATTTATGATAGATTTAATTATATTATAGAAAATGTATATATGTATAGAGGGAGAGAGAGTCAACCAAACAAGGAACATGATGTCTCGGTGCATCACTTTTGGGGTATCTCAGTCGACAAACCATGGCTATTCCAATGCGATTTCACCAAAAAAATCTAGGCTGACCTCGCCATAGATGGTTAGCATTGCAGGATCCATTCAGAGAATTGTGAACTTTTGAGGTTTGTGAATTGTAGACATAACAGCCCCTTGCTGTTATAGCATGGGGCCAGAGGTTCGAAGATTTCAGCCATAGAAGTTAATCGGAATTTTAGGTCGAACGTTTCAATTGATATCCCTAGTCTTCCTGGTAACTGAAGTGGTTACCTGTCCCAAAGGTAGGAAGGTTAGGGTATTGCAACTTTGATATGGAAGGGAAGTGGGTCTGACAGGGGACTGGAACGGAAAAATGGTCAAAGATTCCAGGTGAAGGCCTTCCAGTCACTCGGACCGGAAGTTTCCATCCTGGGAAGATGATTTTTGATGATTTGGACGCAATTCTTTGGGTTTCATCGGTTTCCATGGTATTTTTTGGGGGGGTCAAAAAAACATAAAAAAACAACTTGGATAGTTCAAAAAACAAGTTTAGCATGTACAAGACAAGATCCGGTATACTCAACAATCGAAGAATTGAAATTCACACCCTAACAGGTTGAAAGTTGCTAAATTGGGAAATCATGTGAACTGTGAACTTTCGGGAATCAGTTTTGGGAGGTCTACTGTGCTATTTGGTGATGTTGTGGAATCTTGTTCTCAGCACCCAAAGACATACTCGTATAGTGTACAGCTGGAGCCCCACTTGTACTCCCCGGTGTGGAAGTCGTGTGCGCCCTAGCGGTGGAGATATATTCTGAAAGTCCATGCGATAATCCCTCCAGCTTGTGTTATTGATTGTTCAACTGATTGTTCTTCTGTTCTTCGTGACATGTTGCAGCCATGTATCAATCAATGACTTGTTGGTGTTTTTCGCTTGTGTTTCAGAAAGCCCTCGTGCCTCGGGGCACGAGATATGAATCTTCATGGTAAATATGGTCATCGGGGTACCTCCAAATCATCCATTCAAATAGGATTTTCATGGATTTTCCATGATAAACCATCCAGCTATTGTGGATTCCCCATTTATCATTTTAGGACACCTCCATATAGGTGCAAAACAATCAAACAAAAACAAGTCTAGAAGTTATCTTTAAGTGCGAAACAAACGAAAAACAGGTTCAAAAGGATGCAACAGCTTCAAATCGGCAAAGGGTCCAATTTTCAAAGAAATCTACGGAAACTACCGTGGCATGTGGCATAGCCCTCACAAGAAAATGCTAGTGCCTGCTAATGATAATTTCAAACATACCCCGAGATTTTTTTTATGCAAAAGGAGTCATCAAGTCAAGATCCAATAGGCACTTGTAGTGTAGGTCTCCTGACTTCTTAGGTTTTTCCCATTTGAAGCCAAGTTTACTGCCTGTTTCAGGAAACATATTTTCCTCACCTGGGGTCTTGCTGACGAATGGCCTGAAGACCCCTTCGACGCGCAGCACAAAGGGAACCTTGGCTCTGACCTGGATGATGGTCCATACATAACCATTGGAGAAAGATTGTTGAAAAGGCTGGGAACCAACCAGAAACGGTTGCTCGCATGGTAGCGTAAAGATAGATTTGACGGCCTCGCAATCTTGTCTGTGAAAATGACAGTGGAGAACAGGGTGTTAAAGACGAATCATCCCCCGCAATTGAGTGAGCGGACATGCTCGAATTCTTCACACCCATTCTCATAGGTTGTGTTGAGGCAAGCAAAACATCACCTTGATCCAGTTTGACAGACTGTGGGACCCCTCAAAAAACAATATTTGCATCATTTTGCATCAATGAAATCCATGGAATCCAAGCATTCCATGCTATCACAGGAATAAGGATAAACATGGAGGAATACACTCTTGAACAGGGGACCCAATGATAAAATATGAGAAAATCAGATCACATCCAGGTCGCCGGCTCTCAGGACACTACCCGTGGTTTTGGATGAGGCGATTTGCAAAGCAAAGAAGGACAGGTCAGCGTTGTTGCGCTGTGAAACAATGCACTTAATGCAGTTGATGCAGTCACGGGGGGGTGGTAGCAAACAAATCTGAAATGTGGTGATTTGCCAAAGAACTACAATGGATATCAATGGATATCAATGGATCCCGTCCGAAAATGTCCAAGAACCACACGTTTTGGAAACTGCTCAGGAGAAGGGAACTAAGTAAGTACTGTGCCCAAAATCAGGTGGCATCGGCTCAAACTTATTCGATCATGCTCGCTTGCTTTCCTGTATTTCAAGCCATTGGCAGCCAGGAGATCAACGGAAAGGTTCGAAACTAGGCAAATAAATGAGGAAGATGAGCTTTTGAACAGGGGGAGAGGCTGACGGCCTGAAATTCGCTCCATTTATCCGGGCAATTAGAAAGACCTCACCACGACCTTACCATAAATGATGGTAAGTAGGAAGATCATCACGGTCAGTTAGGAATCACTACAATTTGCCATCCACTTAAATCATCTATAAATGATTTGTTATTATATCATATTAATTATATATAGATAATATTATAGATATAATATATATATAATGTTATATATATATATGTGTTACATAGATTTGACGATCAATACTTCCCACTACCAATTTTAAGCATCAGAGGGTATGCCAACGTGGTTTGTTGGGATAGCCTGGAGAGGGTTTTTAACCATGGAGAACTGGTAACGATTAGATTAAGGACATATCAGGAATATCACTAGGGTGACGAAAGGGCCCCAATGACCCGTTCGCACGGCTTGCTAAGTAACTTGCCAGGTGAGTTTAGGAATAGCAAGTCTCGGAGTTCTGGTCTACCCCAAATTGACAGACAGACAGACAGATGGTTGGAAACCAGCAACCAAAACACTTACGGATGAGGATCACCAACGCACAATTTTCCGGTTCAACACACCATAGGAATCCCCAAATTGAGTGGTATAAAGTGGCACTCTGGTCGGTGGTTTGGAACATTTTTTATTTACCATTATAATATATGGGATAATCCTTCCCATTAACTTTATTTTTCAGAGGGGTTGAAACCACCAACCAGTACGCGAATTGAGGAATCAGTTTGGTTGAACGAGCAGCTGCCGGGCAGGAGCCGACGTGAAGTGGGCAGTTCATGGTGACCTCAAACAACAAATAAAACAGTTGACGTTTGTCTTGGATATGATTATATAGATGAACACCATCAAATGTCAATTATATACCATTATAGCACATAATCAAAACCCCTCATATTATATAGATGAAAACCATCAAATATGGAGATTGCAAATCAAGTTTGGCCCTTCATCTATGCCCACCTGGCAAAAAAAGCCTGGGTCCCGGATTTTACGTGGCGAGGAAAGCGTCATTGAGCACCTCTCTTCTTCCCTTCCAAGTTGTCTTCCAAGTTGTTATGTTTTAGATTCTAATTCGATAGCTTAAACATTGTAACATCTTCAAACTGTATCCATTTGGATTTGAACAATTGATAATGACAGTTTTTTCTCGTTGCTAAACACAAAGGCTTTCGAAGGGGTTGAGTAAGTTTGACCTACCAAATTCTGATCCCAACTCTGTATGGGGGGGGTAAAAAATCAGACGCACAACATGTTGATGATGTAGTCTTATGACTTCTTATGTTGTTTTAATATGTTTTAACCAATGTTTTAATCATGTATAGCATGAACATACATGAACCATACCAAGTTGGGGGTACCCCATTTTGACCCGAGTTTAAAAACATCCTCTCGTGGGCTCTCGGTTTTCTCGGCGTGCCAGGATGGTTTGGTGATGTTGTACCCCGAATGCTTGGAGTACGACATTGGCAAGGACGGGTTAGTCATGGGGACCGTGACACAGTACCATACAGTATCGAATATTTCCCCAAGCCCCAAGCAACTACAGCAATTTAGAGATACCCTCCAGTAAATTAACATAGACCGTGGCAGATAGGGGTTGGAAGATTAGTTTCCATTAAAACTAGGCTATTTTCAGGGTCTATGTTAATTTACCAGAGGGCATTTCAAACAATTTTGAGGTCACATGGGTGGCTCCAATCCCATCAAAGACATATCACATCAAATCAGGCGTCGGTCCCTTAAGATGCTGCAAGATGTCCCAAGACGTCCCTGTTCTGATACAACTCGCAGTGCAACCCATCTTTAGGGAAACCTTGAGGATACTTTGGGTTACTCCAATCTCTTGCCAGACATGTATTTACCATCATAGAATTAGACATAGATTCTGTTTATTTACCACTATGACTAATGTTGTTGCTAGTGTCACTATCATGATCATCGTCATTTCTATACAGTAGTATTACTTATTAATATGTTGTCTATTTTTTACTCTAATTATACTATTGATTTATTATCCAACCAGCTTGTTTTTGTTGCGTCTCTTGGTGCGCAATGATCTCAAGCCGTTTACGTTGCACAGTTGTCCCAGTTTTGCGTGCCTTGTCCGCCAGGATGGTGCCGGAATCCCTGAGCTGCTGCGATTCCTGAAGGGTGAACTTCCTCGAGGCACCCAGTTCGCATGGGGGATATTTGTTTAAGAAACATAAGGAAAGATACACCAGGTAGACATTCAACGCCACTGAGGATAATATGTAATTATATATATACATGTAAAGTTTGTGAAACACATGCAAAACAAACAATTCTGTAAAAACACTTTTAACATATGACTTTATGCATGCTTAATATTGCCAGAGGACGTGGGCCACAGCAACTTCAGCCCAGTTACCCGAGATGTAGGTATATTTGTTCAAATACCGTTTTATGATCGTGACTGAATCAACTTACTAACAATTACACAATATACATATATTACTATATATTATTATATTAATATATACAAGATATAAATGCAAGGTGTCCTACAACAAGTATTAAGGTGCAATGTCACATGGGGCACCCTGTGGCGCACCGCTGAGCCCAGGTTCGCTTGGATGTGACATCGAGGACACCACGCTCTTTGTGTGGCTTCGGACCTTTATTGGATCCCACAAGGAAAAATCTATGGTAAAGCGGTAAACCCAAAGAGGAAACCATACATAACCATACTCAATTTCACATCTTAGGGATTTCATCCACATTTTTGAACTTGTGCTGTAGCCGGAGTTTATAGTTGTGTTGGCCACGTCCGGGACCATTTTTCACCATGGTTTTTCGGAGAACAGTTGGACCTGTAGGGATCATCTTACCATCTGCGAATATTGAGGAGCATGTATGACATGGTGACAAAGACCGTGTAAGCCAAATATGTACAGACAAATAGTAGAACATAGCAAAACTACATAAAACTACGAATTCATTAAGGCATGTGATGCCTTTCCTTGTGACTTCGTTGACCCTCTACATCCCCAAAACATCCATGGCGTCGCAGGGGGTGCCACCAAGGTGTGCCCACACCAAGCGTGATGGCCGCTGTGGCTTCTGCGGACCTCGCTTGACCGCCAAAGCGGAAGAGCTGAGTGCTGCAGGGAAGGTGCCGTTGACCCAGTGCTAAATGAGGGGGTTCCCAAGGGGTCAACGGTTGTTTAATCATTATATAATCATGTTTAATAGCGGTCAATAATGGTTAACAATGGTTACATTTGATGATTGGTGGTTAACATTGGTTAACCATCAAAAATATGGGGATATCATTGATGATGGTTGGTTGATGATTTGTTCTGATGCTGTCATACATTGTTGTACTTTTCAAGATATTATTCAATATATTGAAGATTATCACTCCATGAACTGGAAAATCCTCTTATCAAACCAGTATAAAAGGACGACAAAACCAACCATTCTGGAATATCACGGGGATATACAATGGGTGCAATCCAGGTTATTCATGGAATATATACATAAGCAACAATATTATAATCGTACCGGTTTGCATTAAGTATATACATAAATCATCATATATCACGGCCTCCTCAATGGATGGTTGTTGAGTTTTGTGGGCTTGGGGCTAGCATAACAACTGTTATTTGCACCCCGGCAACGCTCCCAAGATGATTTTATTGGCGATCAAATCGAACATTTCAAAAGTAAACATCTGCCTGCCAGGTGCGGCATTGGTGTTTATTTCATACAGAACGTACCCAGGTTACAAACGAGAAGCCAAGAAAGCACCTCCTGTTTTGCTGCCAAGCCGGCGTAAAATCCTTTATTCTTTCAGACCACGTCAATATTTCAGGTTTATGATTATTTGAAAGAAGTGACGACCTGCGACATATTTCAGATTTCAGGTATAATAGATAATAGGTACCATCATGATGGCTATTATAATAAAATTATGGCTATATTATAATATAATAGGTATAATAGGTACCTGTATATACATCCACAATACATGGCCATTGTAATAGGTACCATCATGATAAACCATGAGATTTTGAGGCGCAAAATTGAGGCTTCCCTACTTTTAAGACAAACCCTTAAGTGGATGGTATGAAATTATAAAACATCTCCAAATGGAGGTTGATGATTGAGTCTACCAAAGAAGTGAACACAACTCAAAAACCGGCTGGAGTAAACATGCGCAAGGGTGCCCAGATGAGTGAGGTGACCCAAAGAATCGCCATGTGTAGGATCTCAGACCATCCGAAAACTAGAATTACATATTGTCATGCCATACGATGTGTTGGGTCTCTCAAAACAAGAATTTGATCCAGACCAAGAATTTGATTTGAACCACACTAAATTTGCATGTCACAAGCAATTAAGAGAATTAAGAGAATCGAGCCCTTTTACAGTGAGACTATGGAGCAGCAGAAGTTGGGACCCATCGATCCGTGTGAGGTGGGACCAATGCGCATTCGCAAATGCTCGCATGTGGGCGGCCACAAATATGCGGGAAACGTCCTGGTCTATGGCAAGGACCAGTGGCATTGGCGCCTTGACCAAATTGACAGAGGCTAAAGGATGACTTAAGGATGGTTGATGAACTGGGGACACACCCCAAAATCAAAAGTGGCAATTCGTTGACTATTACAAGCGTAAGTACTGAATTGTTGGTTCCCACTTTCTTACCTACTAGAGGTGACTAGTTGGTGACGGTACTTAGAATAATTACAATGGAATACATAGGCATGCCAGGATCTTTCTGTCTAACTCTTTCCCTGGCATTGACACTGGTCAATTTGTGGCAATTTGTGTCACAAAAAGTGCTTTGAGACTCGATCATAGATATACAATAGCCTGTGGGCTTCGGTCTATACAATAGCCTGTGTCACAAAAGTGCTTGATATTGTTCCAGCGAGTTACAAAAAATCAAGAAAAGCATTTTTTTTGTATAGTCTATGGTATTGACCATCAAGTGCTCCGTGAAGCTCTTCAGACATGTCACAATGTGCTGTTTTCCACGGCTGAGGTTTGCGTGAAGATATAAGTCGAAAATTGGACACACATACAAAGCAAAGCGAAGCACCTGATGGTGAGAAAAGTAAAGAACATGAATTGCACAATGATGCAAACCTGGAATTACAATCAAGAGACGAAACACGAAACAAATGCAAGAAAAACATGTGATATAAAAGATAGCCAAACAAAACGTACGACGCTAAATGATTAAGCCCGATTAAGCCCACTATACGGCTGCTTAACCTAGCGACAACCTGAACCGCCTTTTGCAGGTCTGCGTTGAGGCTTTCGCATCCGAGGTATGGCTATGTGAGTCCCGAAAACCTCCTTTCCGTGCTACGGGGAAAAGCGGAACGTGGGCGCCTGTGGAGAGGCCGTGCCTTGACGCGACCCCCATTTGGGCCATGAAAAGCAAGTGGAAATCATTGATGTTGGGTACCCAAATTGACGCTGAAAAAAGCAAAGTGGATTTAAATGATTTTAAATGCTTTTTAATGTCCTCGCAAACTTCACTCTGAATGATAGTGAGAGGAAGTAACGCATCATTGGCCAGTGTTTTAACAAAGCTAAACTGCGCATAGTATTTCAAATAGCAATGAAAAACAGTTCTCTTGGGGAGGCAATCAATTCGATGGCGTTAAAATCGATTTGGGACCTGTCGCTAATCCAAAGGGATGGACCATCTGACATTCGGTTGCTCTTTGCTAATTCCAATGTGAATATAATTGCAGGGCTCCGACACCGGCAATGCCCCAAGGGTTGCTGTTGTTGCCCAGAATGTCGCCCGCTTGCTCCGTTGCTGTTGCTGTTGCTGCTGCTGCTGCTGCTGCTGGTGCTGGTGTTGCTGCTGCTGCTGCTGCTGTTGCTGCTGCTGCTGCTGTTGCTGCTGCTGCTGTTGCTGCTGCTGCTGCTGTTGCTGTTGCTGTTGCTGTTGCTGTTGTTGTTGTTGTTGTTGTTGCTGTTGCTGCTGCTGCTGCTGCTGCTGTTGGTGTTGTTGTTGTTGTTCTTGTTCTTGTTCTTGTTCTTGTTCTTGTTCTTGTTCTTGTTCTTGTTCTTGCTCTTGTTCTTGTTCTTGTTCTTGTTTGTGTTCTTGTTCTCGGTGTTGTTGTTTGCTGTTTGTTTGCTGTTTGTTTGCTGTTTGTTTGTTGTTGTTTGTTGTTGTTTGTTGTTGTTTGTTGTTGTTTGTTGTTGTTTGTTGTTGTTTGTTGTTGGTTGTTGTTGTTTGTTGTTGTTTGTTGTTGTTGTTGTTGTTGTTGGTTGGTGGTTGTTGTTGTTGTTGTTGGTTGTTGTTGTTGTTGTTGCTGTTGTTGTTGTTGTTGTTGGTTGTTGGTCGTTGGTTGTTGTTTGTTGGTTTTTGTTGTTGGTTGTGGTTGTGGTTGTGGTTGTGGTTGTGATTGTGGTTGTGGTTGTGGTTGTGGTTGTGGTTGTGGTTGTGGTTGTTGTTGTTGTTGTTTTTGTTGTTGTTGTTGTGCTTGTTGTTGTGCTTGTTGTTGTGCTTGTTGTTGTGCTTGTTGTTGTGCTTGTTGTTGTGCTTGTTGTTGTGCTTGTTGTTGTGCTTGTTGTTGTGCTTGTTGTTGTGCTTGTTGTGTTTGTTGTGCTTGTTGTGCTTGTTGTGCTTGTTGTGCTTGTTGTGCTTGTTGTTCTTGTTGTGCTTGTTGTTGTGCTTGTTGGTGTGTTTTTTTTGTGTGTTTCTTGTTTTTTCTTGTTCTTCGTGTTGTTTATTGTTTTTCTTGTTCTTGTTCTTCTTTTTATTATTGTTCTTGTTCTTGTTGTTGTTGTTGTTACCTGGTCCGGGGGATGAGGTTTGGGCATCACCGAAGATGATGCGTTGAGGGAGAGAAGAAATCAGGCCCAGGGATAGTCACAAAGGAGCCGGCGTGTTAATGGGGATCTTCACCAAAATGCAGGACGCACAAGGTTCACTAAGCAGTCACTATATTGAGTAGTTCATGATATTTATATATATATATATTTGACTATATATAGTGATGTTAATTGGCCTAAGCAATATGTGATAATATATTAGCTGATGTTTCAAGTCATCAACACATTGTGGAATTTGGGACCTAGGGGCCATCAAACGGGAACATGGAATAAATCTTGGGAATTGCGGTGGTGTTTTTTGCTACTTGAGTTGGGCTGATCATCTCGCATTGTTTCGTTGCTGTAGGGGGTGATCCCCACGACCATTTTCACACCATTTATTTGGTACAGCCAGCATGGCCATGAATGATCGATTCGAACCGTAGAATTCGAGGGTTTACCACGGTTTGCCAATGAAAGCACGGATCCTTAGGGTTCCTGGACCTTGCGTAGCACCTCAAAAAGGTTTCTACAAAACCCATCATCCCAAAGAAGGGCAGGAAAAATTCACGTTTCAGGTAAAGATATATATATATATATATTGCTCATATATCATAGATAAATAATTTCATGAATAAATAAATAAATAGATAAATATATGATATATATATATATATAATGATTTTTACCTATACTATATACTCATACATACATGTATAATTATATAGCTATATATGATTTTATTTTTCTATTTACGAAGTGTGTATATGTAAATAGTGACGTGTATCTATATTTATATATACACATTTAATTATATATACATATATGCGCGTGAGGTGTATATGTATATATGTATATATGATATGTTTAAACATATGTGCATATGAAGTGTGTATTTATGTAAAAAATCTATATAGAATTTCATATATATATATATATATATATACACAGCTGGTCAAAGTCAATACACACGAACCAACACACTAGAATCTAATATTGGACATACATCTATATAACATTTTGAATCTATCTCTTCTATCTAATCTAATCTATCTAGTCTCAGTCTAAATCTCAATCTAATCCAACCTAATCCTAATCCGAGGCCTAATCAAATCTACTTTACTCTTTTCAACCCAAGCCAATGTAACCTATCTAATCTCATCCAATCGAATCTAATCCAATCTATGTATCTTGATGAAAATTCTCATGAGCACTCTTCATGCTGGTTTATACCACTAACCTTTGGCAGCCACTTGCAATTGGAGGTCCTGCGCGATTCCTTGCCACTGGCCGCCCTGGCTACAGCGGCCGTGCTAGCAGTGAGCTACACCTGGCTTCGGCGCCGGAATGTCTGACACATCTCCTGCGAAGCAGAGAAAACCGCGGACAGCGGCGGCTGAGCGGGGCTGCCCCCAGCAATCAAATATAGGATAAACAGGTAAATTATGGTAAATTGTAACCGGAAGGTCCGGAAATATGTGATTTTGCTGAGCATGATTTTTTGAACTCCTTGTATTTTTGTGGTTTGCGATTTCAACAAGGAAAATGATGATTTAGCCAAGACTTAAATGCAATTTAGCCAACGCAAATTGGGAGTGAACCAAGAATCATGTGTAACCACCCAAAGATTGGGAATCGTAGGATTACATAACCAACAGCGGATACAGGGTTATCGATTTGGGACCACCTTTGGGTCTTTCAAAATGGGTACCAAAAAGATACGGTTTCTTATGGTGAACCAATGGGAATAAACACAATTAGAGAAATATGAGGATAGTACTGATAGTACCTCAAAATTTGTTTTTCTGTGAGCCATCTTGAAATGTTGAGCACTAATCAAATATTGTTGGATTTGTTGGGAAAGTGTTTTCTCCCAGGTGAGGGGAGGAACAGCGGAACACTTTTGGGAAATTCGGGATATCAACAACATCAATGGAAATCTGAAGCAGGATACAACTATGTTGCTGAGCAGCAATTGGACTGAACAGCAGGATTCATGGTAAATATCCATAAATATCCCACATGAGAAGCGTTTGGTGGTTGTGCAGTGATGTTGGCGATTGATTTTGCTCCTGAGGATTTTATGTGTCCAGCTTTGTTGCACCGATAGCAATGTTCGGGGGGATGGCCTTCAACGGTAAGAAATGTTGCGTTGCGTGATTGGGTATGTCCCCATACTCCCATAGAAATGCAAGGGGTGAATCACCAATTTTGACACAAGCGCATTTTGATTTGATTGAAACCACCCACACGAGCGATCAAGGGCCATTTTTCAACAATGCAGTTGCATTGCCGTCAGGCCAAAACAGATTGCGCCTTCAGATACTGTCTCGCAAACCCAGATTGGGCGAGGAGTACGGTGCATGCTGCTGATCAAGTTTGAAATCACGAAACCTTGACTTGGAGCAGAGTCTTTAGGGCAAATTTCAATGGCAAAATCATGTTCTAAACACGTCCAAACTCATTCAGATTTCTTAGGGGAAGAGATGCGTGTTCATTTGTTTTGTTGCCAAATAGTTGACTGGTAGCTGTTTATTTTTCCCAGTAGATGATCCCTTTTAGGGGTCAGACGGCTCCAAACTCGCTTGCCAACATCCACCAAGGCCCTTGAGTTGTTGCGTTTTTGTATCTAAAAAATGCAAGTCTTCAGTACCAAAACGATGCCTCATCATTGTGGATTGCACTAACCTGGTATACATCAGTACATCAGTTGCATGTTGATTTCGATTGTGTAGTAGTTTCACATTCATCGGCCAGGTTTCTATGTAATTAGGGTTGTATACCCATCGCGGATCCAGAACTCACTCTTGGTCGACAAAGTCCGGCTTTCTTCAGGCATGGTGTCAAAGAGGCATATGCCCCCCAACAATCCTAACAATCCCTAACTAACAGACTGAAGATGAAGTGCAGCGTGTCTCCTTGCTTTGCAGTTCAGCAGTGGCCAGTTAACACCTTTTGATTGATGGTTACTTAGTATATCTTAGTATTATGGGGTTGCTATTTGAATTGCGGCTATCTGATATACTGCCATAATAATACTAAGTAACCATAGTATCTTATATTATCATATACCATTGATAGTATTACCATCGAGATTGTGTTCTTCTATACTCTCCGGTAACATCCATTGCTGCCACGCGCCCTGAGGTGAGAGTATCTCCAAGTCGATGCTTTCCGGAGATGGCCCTGCGGGGGATGGTGTACCAGGGTAATGGCGCAATGGACCCACAACACTGGCCTTGTTGGGTACAGACTTATCATGTTTGGCTCTTGTTTCTTAATCTTGGTCCATAGATCAAATATATTATATATGGATATTATATTTGTAAACATGTGATGGCATGTGTGTAATATGTGTGTGTGTGTGTGCATAATCACAATGAGCTTTGCAAGGGGAATCTACTACCCACAATGTCTAATTCTTCAGTGAACAAAGGTCCGCTCCTAAACTATCACGCCCCGGCACCTTCAGCGCGGGCGTGCCGTGATTTGTGGCAGGTTTACTGGAGACCTTACGAGCTGAGGCACAGGAGTTTATTCGGATGGCTTTGTACGACACAGCAGTAGCCTATGCAGTGGCCTATATTTTACGACTGTCTCACATGTATAAAACTTACATTTGAAATCGTATGAATACCTACATCAATTATGTGATTATGTGTATGTAGACAGATGTTTATTATATATATATGCTCACAATAATATATATATATATCCATGACATAAATATATGTGTATATATATATATACATATGCATATGTATATATACTGTATATACAGTGGGCCATTGGGAGCATGATGGGATATGATAGTATAAGGTTCTAACCATTGAACTTGAGCTATTTTGAGACAGGGTTGTGGATATAATGACCTGCTCTCATCAGGTCAGGGATGAAACGGTTCTTCGGCACCTGGGTGATTTGGTATCTTCAGCATTCCAAGCCGCTAAGCTCCACCAACTGATTGCAAACATTGCTGCAAAAAAAACGTGTTTTTTTCCATGGGTTGAGAGGCCCACGGATTCTCATCAGTGTCAACAAACCCAATTCTGCTGGGCAAAAGACTTCGTTGAACTGTTCATTCTCGAGTACAACCACAAGTATGGTCCTTGGCAGTTTTAGTACCCTACATGTAGCTACCTACTTAGTATTGGCGTAAGATGGATTTAGTGATTATTTAGTTGCATTTTGCTCAATTGGGTGATTATCCCCATACAACCTTTGCCACATGTATATAACAATGTATGTCATATTTACTTGCATTTACTCCAGTACTCACCCAAACAGTTACTCAAAACTAAAACATATACCATCGATGAGTCTTTATTAGTCACTATGATCTACCTGATCTAAATCTCCCAAGCAATAACTTCTGATAGTATAGTCATGATTCCTCATGATGCAATACTTTAGAACATACAGTTGTTGTCTGCTACATGATCAGGTTCCCAGATCCCATTTAGACCCCGCAGCCAAAAAAGTGGTTGCGCCGCGGTTGCTTCGAACATTAATTTGTTTCCCATGCAATTTGGATTTGTATGATATGTATATGATTAGTATATGTATTTGGAACCATTGGATCAAATTTTAAATGATTGATCAAATTTGCATAGATATCCATAGCTGGTTGGTGGTTTGGAACATGTTTTTTTCTTTTCCATATATTGGGAATAGTCATCCCAACTGACGAACTCATATGTTTCAGAGGGGTTGAAACCACCAACCAGATCCATTATTAACCATCATTAACCATCATTAAATCACCATTAATCACCATTTTACCATGTTTTTCCAATCGAGTTACGTATATCCCTATCAAATCCCAAATTCGATATACCACCAACCAGCTCAGTCCCAGGCGCCACGGATTGAAGGTGCCACGGATCGGAGATTTCATGGAGCGGGCGATGGGGAGGTGATGAGGGAGCTCCGAATTGACTTTCCCAGACACATATATAGATAGATGTATTTACATATTTATATATATATGCATATATATATGTACATAATATGTGTATATATATATATATATTATTATGTATTTGTATATGTATATATTTATATTTAGATATTCAAAACATGTTCTGTTTGATACTTTGTTTTAGAATCTATCAAAACAAGGCTATGCATGTTGGCAATATTAAATGTTTCTAATACGAACAATGCAGTCATGATAAGAATCAGCGCGGATGAATCATCATTTCTTCTCAGCCAAGCAGCGTTGCTGAATGTTGCTGTTTTTATTTGGGCACAGATGCACACAGAAAATAGAAATACGTTGCCACACCTACCTTGGTGATGATTCAGATAACGGATTGACGACTGGATGCAAAGCACCCCAGAGTTTGCCAGTGTGGCTCAAGATACATGCTCAGAGTTGCTGCTGTTCAACAAAACACTGTTCTCACTGACCCATTTCGCTCCTGGTGTTTTGGCCCACGTTGCTCAGTCGGCAGGTGCAGGCACAGACAAATTCACGGGCTGCGGTTCATTGCGATTTTTCGTGGACATCGCGAAATCCATTCGGTGTCTCTGCTGGTCGTGGTTGGGAAAAGGATGGAAAAGGGCACAGCAACACAAAATGGCATTGAATAGACAACTTAGCCAACAAAAACAGTTAAGTGCAGAAAAATAACACCTGCGAAACCACAATGAATGAAGATTTAAAAAAACATGATGAACGCCTACAAAATCTAAGGTTTGAAGCCAAACAACATGCCATATATTCTGTTTTCACACACATTCAGTGCACTGGTGAGTGAGTCAGTGCTAGACTATTAGTTGATTGGAATGGGTTGACATCATTGTTCCGTCGCAAATGGGACCCGAATGGACTTGTTGACCAGGCTCAATGTCCAACCATCCTTGATTCTGGATAGTGCAAGCTCTGATTGTTTGTTTTTTGCTACCACCATTTATTCCCCGTTCTCTTTATAAGACATACATACATAATCAAATCATCATCATCATCATATATATATATCTAGCTGACAATGGTGTTGTTTTGTTTAATACCCTCCAGTTATATGACATGTCTCTCTTTAGACATGATGTTTTGCAAGGTCTGGGATGGTCATCCCAGACGGAATCTCCTCCAGGCGTTTCATGCTGCGCGAAATCCAGATGTGTTTCCGCGACTTCAAGATAGGCAGATCCTCCGTGGTGCTTTGCCACCAGGGAAGTGATGGTAGAATGATGGGATCATTGTAAAACTATGGTAAAACTTATGGTAATAATCATGGTAAAATCATGATGTAATGATGTAATGATGCTACAATCATGGTATAATGATGGGATAATTGATATTTAGCAACCTCAGAGTTTCATGTGTAATGATGGTATGATGATGCTAGCATGGATTGCCATTCGATCTGGTTCTATGTCCGCCGAGACTTTGCAAAGTATGCTTAAAGTGCTTCGAAATGGTGTAGTTGCATGGGTTGGGTTTCCGCTATAAATAGGATGATACACTACATTTGTTCATAGTATTTCATAGTATTTCATATAGTATTTCATAGTATTTCATAGATTATTTGAGGAGTAGGGACAAGATAAACATGAAGAGGTCAGGATGAAGCCTCATGAATCTTGACCGTTCCAACTTGGAAGCGCCAAACCTACGCATTGACTCTGGATAGCTTATATCACGTCGCGATGTCACTAGAAATGTTGGTTCGGATTTGGGCAATTATCCCCAAATGAGTTGATTTCAGGTTGTGAAGTATTCTAAACTATCCAAATAAATGGGTTTACCCCTCAATAATGGAGATTTTTCATAAGCTCTTTCTGTTGAGGGGTTGACCGAGTTGTAATCAGCAGTAGCTCCAGAGCCAGATGATGGCATGGGCGTTCCATGGCGTTCCCATATCACCAAGCTATACACCTTCCCAGCCTGAAGCACCACCAGTCGCGGTATGGAATCCACTGGCATTGGGAGCGCCAAATGTTCAGACACACCGAGATGCAGTGTAGACGATTATATGATATAGGGAAAAGTTCTCATGTGTACACATGAGATGAAACAGTGCTGAGAAATGCTGAGAATATCTGAGCGAAGACCTTGACATTTTTATGCAGAACACATTTTGATGGCCTGCTTAAGGTCAACTTTCTGTTCCTATCAAGCACAGTTTCTACCTTGATGACTGGGTAGACCTCGGTTGCTTGGGAAATGTAAGTTGATATTTCAACCTTCTGGGCATGTTTAAATGTATACTGTATACACATACATGTGTACACACTGTACATACATGCATATACTAACCAGGTAGATATATCATGATAAGTGAATGCTGATGATGCTGACGATTCTGATGATGCTGACGATGCTGACGATGCTGACGATGCTGACGATGCTTTGCTGCTGCTGATGATGATGATGGTGATGATGGTGATGATGATCATGATGATCATGATCATGACAACGTTGACGATACTGACGCTAATGGTATCATGAATCGCAATATTGCATTAACTAAAATGATAATGACAATAAGACAATATAATAAACGTGTATATGGAGGTTTCCTAAGTCATAGGGGTACCCCCAGTCATCATCCGTTTTTGTTTCGGATTTTCCATGGATTTCCCATTTTTGTCGCCAGGAATGGAAGATCGAGAGCCAGGGGAGCTGCAGGTCTGTGATGCGCTGTCCCTACAGATGCACCTGGGCGTATTATCGCCCAATGATTGTGGCCTTTTATGGGCTATGAATGGCCTATGATACCCTATGAAAATGGCATGAAATTTGGGGTATACCATATACCCCAAATTTCAGACAAACCTAAATCGTGAAGTTTTTTTTTTCCACCCGAAATATGGCTTGAAACAGGATGTTGACAATGATAGACGGACCATAATGGACCTGACGTTAGTTAGTTAGTTAGTGGATATGACTGAACGGAATGAGTTTTATTGATTTTTATTGTATGGAAACATATGGAAACATTTCCCCATGTATCCGAGAATCTGATGCAGAGATAGACATAGAGGCCATAGTTTTTCGTGATGCACAGATGGAAATGGGGCAAACCACAACTGGGTGAACCAAAAAAAATCCTAAAATGGGAGGTTTCTTTTGTCCGGTGGAAAAGGTGCAACGTTAACATATAGAGACGGGTGTCTCTGAAGGTGTTTATTGAGTTCATCGTTTTTCTGCCTTGTCTCGTTTGACTGGAAACACACACAAATTTATTGGGCGGCATCAGCAGGACTACTAGGACAACTGGATACCTATACCAAAGTCCAGCTGATGGATAAACCTTGGTGAAGTCTTTGATTTGTTTGCCCTAAACAAACCCATAATACATATGTAGCTACAGGTGTGTTTGTTAGTTAGTCTTTGCCAAGTCTCTAAACGTGACTATGATGCTAGTGCGATAGAGAAGGCTGCAGATACTTTGGATCCCCATAGTAGCATTTTATATGCAAATGATGTCAGGTCGCAACCTCGTCTCCTTAGTCGATGTCATTTGCCCAGTACATTTTCGAGTATACCCAGACAGACAACTTCTACTTCCAGGTGATCAATGTCAGTTCTGGAAATAGTTATGGTTTAACAGTTGCTGGAGTCGTTTGTTGATATGTTTTTCCTTTATCTGTCACGGCTGTTCGTTCCTTTTCTCCGCTGACGGCTTGATGGTCAGATAATTTTTCGGTAGGGTCGTTCGTCCTTATGTGGGACAGTCTTAAAATAGGATAGACCCCAAACTAAGAGTAATTGTGTTGTTTTAAGGCTGTATGCTGGAAAGAAAATGTATTTGTGGCCTGTCCAAGAATGGGAAATACACAAATATTTTCTGTCATAGCTTTCACATGATGGTTTGGTTGACAGTTTCTGCGAACTGGTTGATGAGTATGCATCCTTCATGATTCAGGACTACATCGCCCATTGTCCGAATTTCGGTCAGCGAAGAATGGCCCCATCATATCCAATTTTTTGTTGGGGAAACGGCCCCATGTACACCATACATCGATGCTTCAGGACGAATACTCAGCGCAATAGGTATTGATGAACACTTCTTGGGTCATGTTTATTGATTTAAACCAGTTGATATAGTATCTACCTCTATTCTATCACCATTTGATATCTTATGTGGTCAGCATTCCTCATGTTAGCTGCTTACACGATTTCCACTTGCGCGAGTTCTATCTCAGGTGGCTTCCATTCTTGCGCGAGTAGGGCAGCCCAGGGATCACCGACATTGCTGGATATCTTAGAGATTGTTGGATGTGTTTGATATGTTAGATGTGTACAGATACTTGTTCTTTAAATTAAATGAATTCATCTGGTATTTAGCCACCCGTCATTTTAAATTAAATCATAACATACAACAATAAACAATACAAACTAAACACACGTTCGATATATGTTCCGCCAAACTAAATATGGAATTGTTGAATATTTTTTCTAGAACCTTATATAGTGAAAAGGGAAAACCAGGGCTGAGTGATATATGGTATGTGATAGGTATATATGATAGGTATATGATAGGTTTTGTTCCTCCACATCGTTTTGGGATTCCAGAGGTTTATGAAAACGATCTGTCCAGCCTTTATTGGATACCTGAAGTGAAGTGTGATCACTGCTGATTTTGTTTGACCTCAGTTGGGTAGGGTCCTGACATGGAGCTTAGTAGACGTACCAGAACATTTTCGAGCAAAAACGATGTGGAAAACAAAACGCAGGACAAAATGGATACCCTTTCAAGAATCAACATTGTTTTTGTCTGATTCTAAAACCAACAAAAGGAACTGTAAATATCTTGAACAAACAAAAACCAAAACCACAACTTTTGAAACCTGAAAACGTCATAAAGAAGTTTGAAAAAGAGTTCATTAAACAAATACATTTTTTGGTTAAAAAAATATGTTTTTTAAATTCCGAGTTGGGATTTTCCACAAGATGTAGAAAGAAGTTGTATCTTTAAAAGCAAGTTAGAAAGTTACAAAAGAAATTTTAAAACTAAATTTTAAAGTAATATACCCAGGCTCCTACCCGCAGGCTTTCTAAAATACCCAAATCTTAGGTATAGTGTTTTTTTAATGTATAGAATTCTGTTGTTTGTCCATGCCTGTCCCAGTTGGACGTCTGTTTTCTGGAGGACGCTGCGATTCTTCAAAGCCGCAACAATATATGCGTCCAACAATCATATGTCAGTCTGTATTCTGTATTTGTGTATAGATAGATTAGATTAGATTGGATTAGATTAGATAAGATAGATAGATAGATAGACACTAAATTGCCATCTGCATAGAACATGTGAAAAATTATCTCATACCAGGTGGTGACCCACTGGTTATGTTTGCTGGTTTGTAAATAATGCCCAATTCATTATGTATATATACATTCCCTACAGACACATCGGCTAGCCTAGTTGTAAACTGACTTAGATAGCAACTATGTGTGCTTCAGTTCCACGAATTTATCATCATATTTCACCATAGTTGTAGGTATTTGATTATAATATGGGGAAATATGATGGCTACAATATATCACAACTATTGATTATAAACAAATCATATTCCCCAATAGTACAGCCATAGTTGATTATGTTTTATCCCAACTATTGGGGATGAGTACAATGGCTGTAGCCATTTTGTCCACCCCGTGGCAGCCCCTGGTGGAAAAATTGCGCGGGCCCAGGTCCTATCGGATCGTGGGCTACCGCGACATCCCACCGCAGAAAAAGTTGCTACCTGGCACCGAAGAAAATAGGCCCTGTCATCGCCCATTTGTTTATCATAGTTTATGGTTTATGATAATGAATAATGGTTTCTCATAGTTTATCATAGTTTATTATCGATTATCATGGCTTGTGATGGCTTATCATTTTTCACTTTATTTTAGTTTATCATTTTTTCATGGTTTATCACGGTTTATCAGTGAATATCATGGGGGTTCATGGTTTATCATGTTTTTTTTTTCGTGATTTATCATGGGTTATCATGGTTTACCAAAGTTTATCTTGGTTTATCATGTTTTTCCGTGATTTTTCATGGTTTATCATGGTTCATTTTGTTTTTTCACGGTTTATCATGTTTTATCATGGTTTATCCTGGTTTATCACCTGGGTTATCATGGTTTACCAAAGTTTATCGTGTTTTTCGTGGTGTATCATGGTTGTTTGCATGGTTTATCATGGTTTTTCATACTTTATCATACTGTATCATAATTTATCATATTCCCAATCAAATAACCATTGTTGAGTTATACCAAATTTCCAGACACACCCATATTATAGATTGGATTTAATGGAGATATCATGTGGGCCTGATAAAAAAAGAAAAAATCAGATTTAAATGCCATAAAATTCCATAAAAACTTGAAAGTCCCATTTAATTTGATCACAAAATGCCATAAACAAAAATTGTTTTCGGCAAGTCTTCGAAATTTCTGCTGTCGCGAGTCGCATCTCTGGGCCTTTCCGAGGTGGTCCATCTATCACTGCAAAGTGGTGGCCGAGAACGTTAAGAGGACCCTGAAAGACATGGAAAAAACGGGTGGAACATTTAAGGAATGTTTCTTATTCGGTGTTTTTTTGGGGGATGTTAAAGTTAGGGGCTAGAGAAGAAACTATATATATATATGATTATATATGTTTATTTACAAAACTACGGTTCATATAATATAATTATATATATACGTACGTCTAGTCACAATGATTGAATCTTGGGGTAAATGTACCTCTGTGTGCATATTGCAACGATTGATGCTATGGCAGCAATCCGTAAGGGACCTATGATTACAAAGGAACCACTGCTGTATGTTCGTCGGTATGTTGTGCCTTCACATTTGCTCCCAATATGAGTGATCAGGGGGATAGTAAAATGTTGGTTCCATTATTGTTTTCATCATATATTGTGAGCATGACCCACGCGTCAAAAATCCAATCTACTAATGAGTCATGTATTTTGCCCGTGCACCCATAAGTGGAGGGTATAGTATAGTGCTGCTGAAGAAACAGAAGAACAAACAACTGCTACGCCAAGATCTTGGTACACCAAAAAATGGATGGCAGGTTTACTTGAACCACCCCATAGAGCTGTAGTACTCCATGACATATTCTTCAATCTGGACATTGCTGTCCCATAGTTATAGGATGTTATAGGTACATGTCCAGATGTGGCCGTGATGTGCCATCTCGCGGCCTCTCATGAACTCCCAAATGTTAGGACGAAAAATAGAGTCATGTTCCTTGAAGTCAAGTTTGGAACCGGGAACATGGGCATGTAATTCTATGTATATTCAGTGATACTTAGTGTATGTATATACATGTAGAATCATATAGATGCAGTTTATTCAACATGACCCATTTTGATAAGTTTGAGGTCCATGTTGGGTTTTTGAGGGATGCCAGGAGGTCCAAGTGAGCTTGATCAACAAGGTCCAACAAGCAAGACATGATTTGATCTCTCATGTTTGGAAATATCTTAATATCTTGGTGAAGTGTCCATGCTGGCTGTATTTAAGTGATCTTTCTTTGAGGCAAGGGTACGATATGCATCCCAAGTTAGAACCAGTTGTTGACTGCTGAGGGTTCGCATAGATTCGCCCCATCGAAGCCATGAATTCAGCGGTCCTTCCTCTGAAATCTCGTATTTCCCATGAATTTTGTGGAATGATTGTGTATTATTCCATAGATTTTCCATAGTATCCATAATATATTCTATATATTCCATTTAAGAAAGATAGATAGATAGGTAGGTAGGTAGGTAGGTAGATATTCATAGTTCCATGAACTTGCCATGTTGTATTCTTTAAATCTTCATATTCAGAGTCCATAATATATTCTATATATTTCATATGAACTATCTAATTTCATTCCTAATTTCCACAAATTTGTTTCCATCTAACATATGATTTCCAAATTTCAATCGTCATTTCTTGAACAGTCGCCATGGGTCGACCTCCGTCGTCCGACAGTCGCTTGATCGGCTTCACTTTAGGACGCTGGAAATGTTGGACTCCATGGATGACCTGAGCCCAGGGAGCGGGTGCTGCAACGGTCACCGTGGTGAAATGGTGAAACGGTGCTGTTGGTGGGGCCCCATGATTTCAATGAAAGACAGTGGCAAAGTTACTGAAAATCTTGTTGAATGCGGAATTTGACCGTGGGTTGATGTGAAATTTGTATTCAGATTTTTGAGTATCTGGTATTAGTCGACTGATATGGCAAGGGGTTCGGCCAGGTTCAATCTCATCGGTTTCTGGGAGGATATCAAAATCGAAAGCCCCTTGGATCCATTAATATTATTAGCTGGCTATATTTAATATGTTTTGCCAGACCATCAATTTCATAGTGTGGATCCATAAGTGGGTTCAAACTCAATATATTCATTCGAACGCATGCGAAAAGCATTGGGTTGAGATTTCAAAGATAGTTTCAGCTTTCTGTTCATACTATATGGGATGATTGTTTTTTCAATTCTTTGCATACGTATTTGTTTTCTGAGTTTTCATAGGGGTTGGCTCAACAACCAGTAATCCTGTGCTGTACGTCATTGAAACATCAACTAGGCTATGGTCCCACCAGCTCCGTAGATGATGGTGAACATAGTCTATACCCACGCCATGCACGGTATATCTACCTACATTTGAATAAATTTCAGGGTGTATATGATATATTATGATATACTATGTTAAGACATCAACCATACACATAGCCGCTATTGGTTACTTGGGTGCAGTTCCACTAGTGGGATGGTGATATACTAACCATGTTTTATGGCCAACTGATGGTTATATACCCAATAAATCCCAATCACCTATGGGTACAGCAATGGTGAAGATCAACTGATGGTTTAGTAGGTTTTCCCCACTATAAACCATCCACTTTGGGTTACCTCATCGTAGGAAACCACCTAATTTCACCCTGTTTTTTTCGCCATAGATCAGCCTTCACTCCATGCGGGGAGGAGTTTCGAGCAGTTAAAGATGGAAGACCTGACGCAGGGGACTGCCGATGCTTGTGTGGCCGAAAACATAAGCCACACATCCTATGTTTTTATGGAAAACTATGGGAAAACTATGGGAACATAGTAGGGAAACTATGGGAAACTCATGTGAACTATGATTTCTGAAACCATTAATGAAATGGAAGGTTTAACTTGCACTTTTAGACAATATCCGGATGTTCCAGGGGGTGTTTGAAGCCAGACGGAACATGTGTTTTAGAGATATCCGCTGGTTCGTCATGTTTCCCACATTGAAACACATTGGTGTCCTCATTTGTGGATGAAACCAGATGACCTTTGGGACCAGTGTTGGACTGCAGTGTGATATGTGTGTGTGTCTTGTCCAATGGTTTGATCTGGTGGTTAAGTTCAGGCTGTCTCAGTTCTATTCATGTTGTAATCAAGTCTGGCTGGTTGGACACTTGACCCACAGCTTAACTTTCGCTGAAACCAGATCGTTTCTGGCCACTTTGAAGGTGCCCCAAGCAAACACCTTCCGAAATGTCCTGGGAATTCGTTGCGGATGGCGTCTCAGCAGGTTAGTGATAAGGCCTCAGGGTTTGTTAAATAGCATCAATGGGTGGAATGAAAACACATCAACAATGACAGGTTGCTCCCAAGGCCCCAGATACTGGACCCGAACGCTATGCTGAGGTCTGAACCCTATGCCAGATAATATGTCAGATAGAATGTCTGAAGATAAGATATGGCAGTTTAAATGTCTAAATTGTATGTCAGATAAAATCAGATAAGATGTCAGGTAAGATGTCAGATTAGTATGTCAGAATATATGTTAGATAATTTGCAGCATATAGCAGATAAAATGCCAGATAAAATGTCTGAATACACGTCAGATACGATGTCAGAGTGGGGATCACTCGAAGATCTTTTTGTTGGTGTGGGAGCGGGAATCCCTGAGACAAGGGTTCAGGCAAAGGGCAGTTGGTGTGAACCAAGCCTGCAAACAGAGCTGGATGAATTTCAAGATATCAAACCATTCCGGCACTACTGAACCTTTATTATGTCCTATCAACAAATCGTGATACAATTGCTGAGTCAACAATATCCCTGACACAAAGGCCTTCCCTCTTAAGCTTCCTATATAACACAATTTGTTCTCCCCAACGCTCTACCCTGTGAGCTTTCACTCTTGTGAGCTTCGCGAGGAGTTTCAATCTCAATCGTATCTACAAGAACTTGAAGGACGCAGCGTGACCCTCGGATGCTAAGTTGACCATTTATCCAGTAAGGTATGTTTATTCTCCACATCTTTGTGTGGGGTTATCCGGTCCTTTAATTGTATTTTTTACTATATATATATACTCTATACATTTATATATGATTATATATGTACTATGTATATATATATAATGTTCATAATATGTTTTGTTTTATTTAAATGATATGATATGATATATATATATATATACACATGCAATACCTGTAATATAGTTAATATGTTCAATATATGTTTTATTGTTATTTTGTATATATATATATGTGTTCAATAATATATAGATATATAATATTCAATAATCAACATATGTACATATATATATATATGCAATACCTGGTATTTAATATATCCAAATCAATGTGTGTTTTAATCATTTTTGTTATCTGCTTAATTGACCGAGAACTTGCTTAATTGACCGAGAACGGGCCCCTAGGTTTTCCATAGTCATGGGTGTACCCCAATAGCTGGAGGGTTTTTGATAATGGAACATCCCAAAGAAAAATGAATGATGAAATTGGGTACTCCCCATTTTAGGACACCTCCACATGTGGCTTCAATGGGAATCTGCTCGTTCAATCTCATTTATGCACCAGGTTTTGCATGGTGTGAAGCAGATTTGTGAGGTTTTTTAACAGTTTCAGGATTATTACTTAGTCTTTATAGCTATGTTGTTAGCAAAATCGCCCATGCTGTTTTCAAAACAAAAATGTCACAGAACTGTATTTCCTTAAAATCAGGAAAATGTCCCAAGGATAAGAGGTAGTTCTGCTGTTTTCATCTACGTGTCGATGTGTAAATTGCCAAGTTCCACTGGTCTGCTGCCGACTTTTCTCACGTGGCATTTGAATCATTTGACCCCTGAGAATCGAAATTAGCGCGTTGGACATGCAATGCCATCAAAAGACTGGACAATCCCATGTGTGTTATTCTAGCTGCATCTATAAATGTAATATAATATAATATAGTATAATATAATATGATATAATATAACATAATATAAACACATCACACATATATGCATATATACGTCCTGTTTTCGGTTGCATCCCCTTATCCAACTTCTGTTTGCATCATGTTTTGATTTCATCCCATTTCAACTATTTCTTCCCGCAGCACGTGCGCTACGCCCCACAGGCGCTAAACAATTGTATACACTTTCAAAGGTTTTTTTCAGGGTCTCTTTATAGGGTTCTTTAATGTTCTTTATAGGATTAATTTAAGGGGTTTTCTGTTTGTTTTTCGATTGTTTTTTCAAGGGTGTTTGTAAAACATGACGAAAAACAGTTTTTGGGGGACAGCCGATTCACCGCAGAGGTCATCCACGACGTTCCGACATCCCGAAAGACGGATGTGCATTTTAAGTCATCCTCAGGTTGAGCATTCAGAGACTCAATTTGACTCTTTGGAACCCCCTGGTTCCGCTCTCGCAGGACGAAATCACCAACGTGAATTTCAGGACCTTCGTTCATTCTGATGCCTGGGGATTTATGTGAGTTTCACCGTTTCACCCTCAAGAATCAGGAAGCAAAGTTTGCATTATAGCCATAGATGATGACCTTAGATGTTTAGTGTTTTTTGGGGTCGGATGAATTTAACATCTATCCATAGTTATCCCACTACAACTTAAAGTTTTAGCAGCGGAGCAACAAACCACGAAGAACTAGGAGCCAGAAAATGGGCATTAAGCCATCACTTTTTTGGATTGTGACAATGGTTGGAACGCTGTAACCAGATATTTCAAGTTGAGGTCAAACCATCACAGGTGCGTAACATTCACAGGAGCGATTTGGAGATGTGTCAAGAATGACTACGTTGATGTGGGACTAGTTCAGACCTGGCTGCAGGATGACTTTTTATTCCAGAATATCCTTAAGTTTGGAACTGCCACAGATTTGATTTTGTGGTGTTGAGCGATTGCTTTGGAAGACAACAATTCTAAGTAGTCACATTTATACCCCCATGGGTATCCTTTGTAACAGGATGTAACATAACCTGGGCTGGAGCGTGTTGCTGTTTACCACATGCAACGATCGGCCACAAGAAACATATCCTTTGCAGTGTCGCCATCGAAGTGTCAACGGGCTCTGTTTTCAGCTCAAGGTGAGATGTGAAGTGAGCTCTGAAATCGTCTGCTGTGAAAGCAAACAGTCCAGCAGCAGCACAAGGTCCAGCCTGGCTGTGACAAGGCATCCGTTTGGTGTTTGATCATACTTGATCTCACTTTGCCACGGTTGGTGGACGGAAGGCCTTGGGGATGCACATGCAGGTCGGCTGGGCCAGAGTCTGGAGATTTTGTGGTGTATGATGTGTGAATGCCAAGAGCAACTCCGCAATTCTGATCGAAGAGGCTCTTCCCCGCTGCAAGTTCTCACCCGTCAAGAAGGGCCGCTGGCTGTACTTCTTTTCGGGGGCCAAAGAGGTTTATCACAGATCCGAGCAAAGGCATGGTACTCGTATTCTCTGCCATTCTTACACTGTACTGTATCATCCCTTTTCTCGTCAGTTATTCATTAGGAATGTGGAAGCTATATCATGGGACTTTTGTTTTGGTTTGTCCCAAGATAGGGGGCGCCCCTAAATGATTATTTTTCCGACGTTCTGACATTGATATGCAGATAAGTCATCAAATTAATAGTGTATATATTAAGTCGTGTAAGGCACTTCTGTAGATCATCATTTTCCATCGTTTCTACGGATAAATTAGCTTCCTCACCATCTGTGTATCTATGTTTCTCAGCTCCAAAGATAAAGGCACCCCCAAAATCCCATGTCTTTGGCATTTTTTTCCAAATTGAAAATCGCATGTTCGACTCTACTCATTGGTGAACTCCTTCTGTCTGGTGTTTCAGTCCCCATGTTTGCTACCTCCAGATGTTGGTGTTTGACCCATGTTTTACTTGGTGTTTGACCCGACTTTTGCCAGCAAAATCTTTAAGAAAAACATCACAGATCTCTCACTGCGACTGGTAAAGCCCCGCAGTTCGTCACAGGAGAAGTGAAAGTGTTGAGGTGGGTACCTTCACCTCAGAGGCTCGGAAGAAGGAGCCCTTCACCGAGGCGGCGCAGGGATGGCATGCTTCGTGGAGCCCCAAAGAATTGATCCAACAAAAGATAGAAAAGTAAAAACCCTAAAATGCTGGTACTGCGTACTTTATTTTGATTTATCTTTTTTGGGGGTACTAGTATAATCTATTAGTCTATAGATGTCTATAGCATCCATAGTCCGTTTAAGTATTTTATGTCAGTCATCAAAAGCAGCAAGGAACTATGAATTGAGTTTTCCAAGCACATGAGTATCGGTTGATGTCAAAAACCATGGGAGTTGGAGGTTCAAACTGTTTGAGCCACAAGAAATGATGATTTTGGCATCAAAAGATGGACTCTACCGCCATTAAATGAGACATCTAAATATACATAGCAACCCCAGAAAGATAGAAAAACAACATCGCCACCGCGTTGACCAACGTTGGCGAGTTGTGTTGAGGTTTGTGAATTGGAAAATGCCCAGATGCAATAAGCAAATGGATGATTCCTGTATGAGGTAATTCTACCTTACTATGATGTGAATTTCAGTATCAATTTTCCCTATAATACAATATAAAAGGTACTTGGATTTCTGAACTTCGATCAGTGGTTGGCACATGGCTTGTAACCGCTTACGACTGGGATATATCACCCAGTGGCAAGCCATTACACGTTACAACCATATCACTTTAGTTGTCTGATCCCAATAAGCTGCTTTGAAAAGGGTGAACTCTTTGGTTTTTTGGTGATTACACCATATTAATCCATATTACAGCTATACTGTATATACTCCGGTTGGTTGAAATAGGCCAACTGATAGGGGGCATCACTATTTGTAGCTTCCAACAGACATCACGTGTCGTGTCACAAGGCTGATTCCCGATGGATTCACGCACATGGTGAGCTCTTTGGGAATGAAGCAAGGCATTGCAGGCGGGACGGCGGGATATGGACATAGGGATGGGATTCATGGGGATGCAACAGGATATAGATCTATAGGTATATATATATAATTGTAATATATTATATATATATTATGTATATATATATTATGTATATATATATATTGATTAATTATATATATACTGTATTCACACTCTTTGACTACCGAATCTGGTGGTTTTCGTGATGGATGAACTAGTATCTTAGGAGGTGAATCTGATATGCTTCCATCTCCAGATGAATTACCAAAGGACGAGAGTATCATAGATCTGAAATTAGCAAAGAGATACAGCTGGTTCGGAATGAGCAACTTGATTTACCCTCTGGTAAACTAACATAACTATGGAAAATCACCATTTTCAATGGGTAAATCCACTATAAATGGTCATTTTCAATAGCTATGTTAGTTCACCAGAGGGTATTTGGTGATAAATTGCTGATTTCAGACGACATACGCTTACTAAGTTACTCGACCATGGTCGACTCACTGGGATCGCACATCTTCATGGACAGGCCTGAAGGCATCCCTTTGTTGATGTATTATATATATATATATATATCATATATATAATAGTTATAATATATATATACAATAGATTACATTATAGTACTGTATACACATATGAGACCATATGAGTAACCGAACAAATTATTCTAAAATCATGTAGTATATATGTTACTACTAATTTAGTATTGCTGCTTCTTGGCCTTGCTGAAGGGTGTGCAAAAGCTTCAGTACCAATTGACGACCATACACCGATACAAATATTCTGCATGAGTCTGAGAACCCAGAAATCCTCAGAACCGGCTGGGGACGACCCTAATTTGTGCATGGCATGAACATGAACAAATACTTTTGTCCGCTATTCATATGATTATAATTGATTATATATGTGTGTTTAAGCTATTCATACACTATTCATTGTTTATCCATGTGTTATTGTTGTGCCCTATCATATCCATTCATCTCCCTCTTTTCTGCCATCTAAGCTTCGCCAAAATGAAGCCAGGATCGTGCAATGCGTGCACGCAGAGTTGGGGATACTCAGATCGACAGCCGCGTTTGATCGGACAGCCGTAAAATGGGAAATGGCGGCTGAAGTTCGCGAAGAGGAATGAGTTGTGGGTCATTTTGATTAATACTAGTTAGAACATGTTAGAACTGTGTGGTTTCATAGATCTTCAGTCTGACAGTGGTCTGCATCCAGCTCTGTGCTCCGTTTTGAACATAGGATTGTTTTGCAGTGCAACCAGACTGAGGATCAATGATGTGAGTCTTGTTAAAGGACACTGAGAGTAGGGAATGCCCTCATCAATGCTGATGATACGACGAAATAACCTATCAAAACCAAGACCAGATTAGAGGATTTGGGTATATTTGGGTCATCAAACTGGTTTCGGACGAGTCAGACATAGACGAGTCAGACATACCATATCGATAATATATATATATGTATACATACATAGATGTAATATGCATTACATATAATACAATATATAGATATGTTTAGATATACATACATTAAAATATTCACAGAACGTGTTGGGTTGAAGTGTGCTTGCAGTGGCAGCCTACGTCATCTTGCATGGATCTAGGATTACAATCCGCTAGAGAGATGGCGTCAAGGCAACAGGCATTGGCCTTATTTCTTATCATCAAGCAACAGATGTTGATCATGATCCAATATCAATGACGACCCAATATATGTGGTGGTAATTATATATATATGGATAAAACTTTGGAAAACTGTGTTGCTTCAAGATTTTACGGCAATTTCGCTGTGAAAGCCAGTGGGTTTTGTGGCTTTTGACCCAGGTGTGATGTGTACAGCAATCGTCCCGGACTCTTCGCTCCCATTTTCCAAGTGGTGGTGAAGGCGCTCGCATGGGTCATGAGCTCCATGAAGAGATGCATTGTTTTTCAAAATCCATAGGATTTCAAGATGAAACATGGTCATTGTATGTACTTCTGTGGTATAGCAGTTCTTGCACTGCTTGGGTTGGCTGCCTCACAAGAGCGGCCGGGAAGACCTCATAGCCTGATCCAGTACATCCTGAGATGGTTTTGATTCGGGATTATTGTGGGTAAACCTAGTGGCAAATGGTATGGGTTTATGGCTTCATGACACCTCAGTTGATTTAACCAGGTTGCTGACACCTGCGTTGGGCTGAGATGTTGGCGTACCTGTTTGGACCCACAATCATGTTTGAGTCGGCTTAGGGGAAATTTAGCCGGAACCGCCCATTTAATATATATATATACATATACATACATAGATACAATCATACAAGTGTATACAGAGACAGTGGTTTCTTGAAGATTTTCCCTTTAGCACTGGTCAGCGTTGGACATCGCTTCCTTTGCCAGGGGCAAAAAGCGAAGCTTCACTTTGGCGAAGACAAACCCCCACAGCCGGGCGACCAAAATATGCTGGTTTCACCCAGATATTGGATATATTGAATAAGGCAAACCGGGGATACACCCCTGAAACCGGGGGAAACTCACCATATCCAAGAGGAAACTCATCCACGAGACTCACTGACTCTGGATCAGAATCGGCCGGTGGGATACACAAGTATTTCTTTCGGCAACCATGAGTCCCATGGGTCAAATAATGGTAAGGGGGATCATCAGCGCCTTTGATTCAAGTTTCGGAATTAATGCAGTTTGCCTATAAACATGTTGAATGATATTGAACTGGTTGGTGGTTTGGAACATTTTTTATTTTCCCCAATAGTTGGGATGATGACCCAATCTGACGAACTCATATTTTTCAGAGGGTACTGTAGGTCAACCACCAATGAACTGCTTGCTTTGCGCTGTTTCACATTCACGTTTTGAACCTGGTCCTCGAGCCTGAGAAATGTTTGGACCTGGTCACTTGAAGCAAGCCATGCAGAATGCGTTGGACAGTTCTCATGAGTTTTGATTGAATCAACATCGTTGAAATGGAAAGAACAAAACAAAAGCAAAACAATCACGACTATGCAGCAATATTCAAAATAATTGTTCAACTTAAATGCCATTTTTTTTGTGGTCCTAAGATGTCCTAAGTCCTAAGTCTTAGGTACCTTTCAACATGCCCAACTGTCCAACTTTGAGGCGTTGTCCGAAAAAGTCCTCTTGTGTTGTTTTCTGTATTTGATAGGTTGGGCAATGATAACGGAAATTATGATATATATAATGATATATATATATATATGATACTGATAACATTTGATAACTATATTATAATACATATTATATACATAGATATTTTTCGTTCAGGCCGTTTGGTGCTCACGGCCATCAGTCATTTCTCCACAGGAAGTGGCCTCTTCGCTTGAAGAAGCGAAAGCACGGGGAACTCAGAAGGAAATTTTACAGGCACACCCCCTAAAATCAATGGTAAAAACCATGGTTTAATGGTAAACACCATGTCATATTTACTGGTAAAAACCATGGTTTCCGGTTAAGATTTTCCCTAAAACCAATCCAATGAATGGATATTGCCCACGTTAGTAGGATGCAGCCCCAAGTTGAAATTGGAAAAACCAGATGTGCATTTTGCAAAAATTCGAGAGGATGGTAGGTGTTTATGAAGATGTATATAATAACTATTAATAATAACCACATTACATTGTGGGATATTGAACACAGTACACTGAAATGTAATGACATGGCGGCAGCACTTCTCTATACGGCATCCCAAGGATCCAGATTCTTTCACCCATCAAGCGAAAGTTGATAGCAGTTCTGCTATCTAAAACGAGAATCTCACCGAAAGGTGGTTCAATCCCTGGTTTCAAGATGTTTCATGAGGAGTCTCAATTCAAGGATTCCCTATCCTTATCGATGACCTTCATTTCGACAATCTGAGGTCCCGCAAGGAATCGATGCTGGAGGAAAGCGACACGGGAAGAATGTCGCTCGCTGAAACGCCGACGACTGGATTCAAGTTGCATCTCCTAGGGTCCATTTGGGATCTTCAATGGATTGAAATTGAAGGGACATGTTACATTGCATGAAGAATTATGTATGTATGTCTGTATATATATAGGTAAACGTAACATTCAAAATGAATCATATGAATCATGGTGACCGAACTATGGTTTTTGATGAGACAATGACACACTGACGCAAGAAGAAACACCAGTTGGGCTGGTTGAATCATAGATAGATTCAGCATGTTGAATCCCAGTGTGCATTATCATGAATAAGTATTCATGAATAATGATGCATGAACAATTATTCAAAAATAGTTTAGCTAAATTATGGTAATATCCCAATTTTGATAGCTAATAGTTCGCTAAAGCATCAGCCCCCCTGGACCAAGGTCAGACCCTTGGGAGGACCTCGGGCTGAAAAAAAAGGCCATATGGAATGGACCCAAAAAGGCCCAGAGGGATATGATAAGTCTGTGGTAATGGTGGGTAAAACATGATAAACCCAGGGGATATGGGTATGGGTCAATACCTATAGATACAAATTTAGTGGGATGAACATCCATAAATCCCAGCTATTTTGATGTTCACCAGGGGTACAAGGTTTTGACACACTGCCATATGATATGATATGATATGATGGCGGTGGAATGATAGAACGTTGAACAATCACAACATATGGAGGCTTCATCATGAAAAATGGAGATTGAACCATTTCAAGCCCTGCCAATGGCTGAATATTTGAGTAGACCACCAACCCACCTGACTGCTTGTTAGTTTGTTTGCAGTGTATCAACCATGTTCCATTAGTATATGTCACTTTTTCGAAAAGACATGACAATTAAACATATTAGGACATAAACCATCATAAACCTCAAATTCCATACGATTTTCAATTTACAATGATTGAAGACAATTAAATTGGTCGAGCTGTTTGAATCATCATTGGCCAGGTAGCCAGGTTTTACATGGGATTGGTGGATCGATCGGGTACTGTAGCCAGCATGGAGATGTTTTAAATGGGCTTTGATGTGTTCAAATGTTTGGTATGCTATTTCTATACATATATATATATACATATATGTATATATATATAATAATACATATATATATATATATATCCACTGTAATTATATAGACATGGTATTATTTGGCTAATGATGTGATATGTTTTCATGCTATGGGGCACTTTTCTGGGTTATTAAGCATCATTTTTTCTGGACATCGGCCACAACGTTGGGACCAGGACTTAGACCGTGAGCTTACTGGAGACGTGAGTCCCGGTGCCACGCAAAGGATCCCAGCAATGGATCCTGAAAAACAAGAACAAAACAAAAACACTATATATGGGATATTCCATCCCATGTATATAATATATGGTGGACAAAAATAGTCATTTCCATAGCCATTCTTTTTTTTAATTATATGGCTTTGCTGAACGATGTTTTGACCCAAATCCATGTGATCGGTGAGACGAGGAGCTAGCTGACTAAGATCAACAAGAAGATGCTGCAAACCATCACAGGTAATTTTACGCGAATAATGTGGATCATGTGGTTAAAACAATGCATAAACCACCCATGACTGGGAATGGCAACCATACCACCCATGAAAATGGTGATTTGGGGATGGTTAATGGCATTGTTTTAACCACATTAGAGACCAAAATGACCAATTGACAAGGATATGTGTATTGAAGCAAAGTGACAAAGTGGATCTTGGATGGTTACTTCCATACTTTAATTTGCTGCTCGAACAATAAGGATGTATACCAATCAGACAAAACCAAGCTGCCAACGATGATATGGAGATGGCATCATCTCGTTATCTTGTTGGTGTTGAAGATTTACTTGAGGATGTACATGTATGATAATTAGACTTCATGAAAATATAATGGGAATATTGTGGAAATAATTGCAATGGAATATGCGTGTTGTATACGCTATGTTTTTTTTTTTCGAAGATGTTAATTGAACATTGCCTACAGATGGGTGTTTCTGTCCTTCTACCTGGCGCATCCTCTATACCTGGGATGAGAATCCCAAAAGCGCCAGTCAGTTCTATGCCACAGTTTAGGGAATGGCGAAGAAGACTTTAACTGCAATCGACATTGGATAATCATGTAGAGACAAGCAACAAACATTGGGGGCCTTGTAATCAACTGAAATCTTTAAATCATGTAATGTTGCAACAAAGATGGGCTTCGAACATAGTGATCTAGAACATTTAGACAACACTATACTTGATAACAAGTGAGAACAAGTGATCTAGGCCATCTAGGCTTTGCACTTTTTTTCGACATTCGTTTGCCAACCATGCAGATGTCAACGTCAACGCGCGCCGAGGCCGATTGATCCTCCTGAAGTGCTCGGACAGCTTTCACTTGCATTGTTTGGGATTGTCTGGGAACATCATTTGATACTAGTTGAAAAATGTTGAAAATGGGAAACATGATTGTAACTATTATACTGTAACTACTCCAGGATTATGTTGTAAGAAAGTCAAGTACTACATGTTTTGGAGGAGGTGTTGCCAACTGTCACAAAGCCTGTGAACAAGAACTGATTTTAAGCCCCGGCAACAACAATTCCAGTGATTCAGTGGATCCAAGTTGCAAGAGCTAAGGAGACTAGAGAGCGTTTGCTATGTTGCTATATACTTAGGATATTTGATGAACATGATTGATTCAAAAAAATGATGTTTTAATACTACCAGGAGTGAAGCATAAAATATGTACAAACTGGTGCCACAGAAGAGCCTATCTCCACAATCAGGCTAGGCATTATTTTCATCGTCGCACTGTTTTGTTTGGAGGTAGCTCGCTGCACAGAAGTCGCAGCATATGTCAGATGGCCCAAGTTGGGTAAAATGAACGAACATCTTCCAGTATTCCTCAGGAAAGGCACTCCTCAGGGCTTCACAGCTTCGCGTTGACATGTGGTGAAGCCTTGTCCTCCGTGCTTCTAACAGCCTGCTATTTCCTATCCGGAATTTAGATGAAATTTAGAGTACCTACAGATGTTTCATAATCGAAATACATATTTTTGTTCAAATCTATTTCTCTCCGACATCTCCACAAAGATACGACACAACGACAGCCATGTCCAGTGGCGACGTGGGTTGTGTGGTGGGCCGTGCTGCCACCAGTGAGCCGTCCTCACCACCCAGGCGGAGGGAGTTCTAGATCGAGGAGGGCCATGTGTTAGACATATCGCCACAACATGTGGAGATACTGCATGGATAATACATATTATATATAATATATTATATATACACACACTGTAATGCACTGTATATTAGATATATTTAGATATACTCAAAGGCAAATTAAAGTGGAACTTCCAAGTTGACAGATGAACCACAAAATCTTGAAACAACAATTGGAGCCAATTGCAAGCCCAATAGCAGAGTAATTAGGGACTAGAATTGGAATCCATCAACAACATACTCTAACCTCCCTTTCGAAAAGATTGTCAGCATATTTTTCTCATGTTTGTTATGCTCCATATTTGGACAAAACCATACAAAACCCATCAGAACCCATGTATACGCAGTTTCCACCACATCAAATCACTATGTTTCATTAAACCTCAATGTTTCATTATGTTTCCTCATTCCAAATCCCATGATCTAACCATTGAGTTTAAGTGGTACCCAGATTTTTGTCCTTTCGCCAGGCCAGCTCAACCCTTGAGACCTCTCTCGACGCATGGCGCGTTTTTGTTGCGGATGGAGTGGTTGTATGTGATTGTGACTCGGGTATATATAGCCCAAAGGAATTTGGGAAAATTGCAGATAGAAGCCGATGGATCTTGCAAAGTTCGTACGAACGTGTTTGTTCTGTCCCCATAAGTTCAATCTGATACAACAAACAAAATGGACATTTAAGCATCTAATAAACATACACATACTTCATACACGCTGATCACAATTGGACGCTTAGGTACCAAGAAGGTTTTGCATCCACTTCGGACCCAGCGACGAATGGTGTAATGAATTATGATCTGGTTGGCATTGGGGGGTTCAAGAGTGCGTTGTTGTTCAACCATACTTGGGATGTTGCTTTAGATGACTATTTGTTTTAATGGGATGGGTTTTAATAACCAACAAGTATTAATTTCAGGTCACACCTTTTTCCAAGTCGTGTTCTATTTTTGTCATATCGTGACATATGTAATGTTCAAACCGATTGTCACAATATGTCACAATCCATATATCAATCCATTACGATATACAAACCTATAGGGGTCAAACTTTGGCGACAGTTTGGTGCCAAGACTATCAAGACCCATTTCCAAATGGGGAAAAACGCGGGAACTGTCCAACTGGGGCAAAAAACATTGAAATGTCGTTCTGATTTGTGAATCTTCAGAGGTAACTGGGGCTTTAACTCTGAAATAGCTCGTAGATTTGATGTTCAATGGGTGGCAACAACCAGCTGGCTCCATCCGGCCCCGGCCACCCTAAAACCCTTGCCGTTGTACTGAGGGAACGTGCCCCTGGAGCACGAGTGTCGCACACTTAGATGGGAAGTGGTTTAGATTGAGGGTTGCGGTCTCTATATTCCAAGTATATTTGAATCTATATGGTATAACTATAACATACTATAACTACAGGTACTATAAAACTATAACCATAACTATAACTATATCTATAGGTATATCATGTTTAACTACAGTACGTAAGCTCGATATGGTCTGGCTAAGTCTTGATCGTCTCCAAGGACGTGACGCGATATGTCTGGGATTACATGGGATGAATCATGGCATTACATATAATGATGCTGATTATTGATGACTGGTTGGTGGTTTGGAACATTTTTTATTTTCCCATATATTGGGAATAGTAACCCCAACTGACTAATATTTTTTCAGAGGGGTTGAAACCACCAACCAGATGATTATTGTTGATACGAAGGTTAAGTGTCTTGACAATTTCTTATTGTTTGTTTAACATCTGGTGATGCTCCCCAAATCAGCTACCTGTGTAGCTCCAAGTGATGGGAACCTATATATATATATATACATGGAACTATTCTTTTGTAAAAAGGTACCCAATATAAAATAAAATTACAAATCCTAAATTTACTTAATTACTCTGCCGGAAATGATTGAATATAGCGACGTTCGGTGTGGTTTGGGGATATGTTTTTCGGCTATTGTTGTTAGATGATCACATCTTCATCCAGTTTCAAACTATTTTTGCTTTGTTCCAAAACCCAAATTTTGGCTTTAATCCTAGGCAAATAAATCAAGACTGCACTGTTTATAATTCATGGCTTTTCCCTTTCAACTAGTACTTCTTCATTTGGTGGCTTCCTAAAAATAGGGGTACCCCTAGTTTTCATCCATTTCTAGATGGAATTTCCATGAAATAAACCATCATAAACCATCCAGCGAACTTGGGGATCCCCCATTTTTTGGAGGGTCACTGGGGTTACTTTCTCCTTGTTCCTCCGGCACATCGGCGCGACACGCCAGGTGTCCGTTGTACATCGGCGCGACTGCGTGGCCCAGCTTGCACGATGAAACCCGGGTGGAGGCCGCCTACAACCAGGACCCTGGGGACCCCTGGGACCCCTGGGGCCCCTGGGACCCTGGGACGCCACCGGCATCGGGTCTTCTGGATTATGTCATGTATGAAGATATCTTGGAGATAGTATGTGCAGTAGATATATAGCTAGATTGATTAGATTGTTCACTCAACTCAACTCATACAGTGCCGATTTATTGCGGAATCCTCATTATGAACCCTGCGCGCGACAGTGGAGAACACGTTCAATTGCTGATGCAGCAACGACTTCTGTCCACTGATGAACAAAGCTGGTTTCTGGCTTCAGTTCCAAAGAGGCTTCACGTTTGTCATTGTATTTCGGGGTTTCCTAAAATGGGGGTACCCCAAAACCATTTTAGCTGGTTGGGGTGCCTCTAGGTTAGGAAACCAGCATTTGAGAGTGTGTGATGATCATAGCCGAGAAATTGTTGGGATTGATGTAAACAACTAACCAGTAAGGATCCTAAGGATGTGGTGAATGCACGGATCTGACATGATGTGGGAGATTTTCTGGTGATACTGAGTTCACCAGTGTTCTCCCCATAGATCCATATGTCAGATGGCACGTGTTGCAAACGGAAAAAAAAAACATGAAGAAACAAGTTCACTGGCAAGACTGCCTGGTGATTTCAACATATTTCAAACACATCTCAAAGATGTTGGTCAATAGTGGGCGATGTTCCTGTTGGACTGGACCATGAATTCTTTCCACCGCTTGGTGGTCTGAAGCATGTCGAACCTCCACGCTGGCCTTTCAGGAGTTTCCGCCCTTGGGGCCCAGCATCTCGATAGATGTCGAATGGAGGTCGCTGGATGTTTTATAGTGGAAAAACCAACTAGAAATGGATGAAAACTAGGGGTACCCCAATGGATTGGACACCTCCATATGTATGATATATATATACGAATAATGGATATGTAGTGGGGATATTCTATGGTATAGAAGCAAGCTTTTCAATATGATTAATGGGGATTTCTCTGAAAATTGCCTCAATTCCAATGGATTAGCCCATTGATATGGCTCTCTAGGGGTAGTGGGCTGCCTCAGAATGGTGCGTGTGACACGAGCATCAAAGGTACCAATGAAGAAATCGCCAAGAAAACAGGTTGAAATCAGAGACTCAAATCTACCAATCAAGAACAGTAGGGAAAATTGGGAAAACATATTATATTGATGATGAAAATAACATACAGTACCACATAACTGGGTGGATATTGGGTTTCTATCTCTAGCTTTGGACTGGGCCCATGTTCAGACACACCCACACAATGAGTATACATTTGGCTATATATTACACGCCAATATCATTATTACATATTGTATGATATTTCCACTTATCAAACACCATTATTGAATATTACTGTGATTACTATTAGTATTATTATTCGTAGTAGTAGCAGCAGCAGCAGTAGTAGTAGTTTTAGTAGTAGTAGTAGTAGTAGGAGTAGGAGTAGTAGTAGTTGTTGTTGTTGTTGTAGTTGTAGTTGTAGTTGTAGTAGTAGTAGTAGTGGTGGTAGTAGTAGTAGTAGTGGTAGTATAAGTATCAGTATTGACTATTATATATTACTATTTTTTATATTAAGCCATAATGAATATGGGAGACAGCTCTATTAGTCATCACTGGAGTCATCACTATCATATATTCGATGAATACGATGTTAAATGATGTGATTCTATATGACGATAGGAATGAATAATTATGATATTACAAGGCAACCATGAAGCAAACATGATATTTACTGAGGCAAACATGAATATGACATACTATGTGTATCTATTAAACTATCATAAGTCGTCTCCCAAGGCAAAAAGTCCAAGGGCGGCCTCACGCTCGAAGAGATCGAGCGCAGGAGTGGGCCACCGGCGGTTCATGGTTTTAAACCTACTATTATAATGATGTCCCCACGGCATATCATGGTTATATAATATTATATAATATATAAATGTAAAAATGGTAAATACACTATTAATAATGGAACTATTAGTAGTGAATACAGATTAACCACTATATTATTTAATGGGAATATAATCATGGTATATCATGGTATGTCGTGGTTAATCTGTGGTAAATGGCTGGCTGAAATTCCAAGCTATTCTCGGTGATCATCCACAAAGGGGGTGTTGGGAGACTTGGGAGAGAATCCCGAGCTGGCCATGGGAACGGTGAAACCACCAGGATTACCGTGTTGTGTCTACAGGAACATGGAGCAGCTGCGAAAATGGTGGGTGCAGTGGGACATGGTGGGACTGATTATTTGAGAGTAAGCACATTGCCACATAACATAAATTTCTTCAATCTCCAAAGAAAGCTTCGACTTGATATTTGGGGGATGGATCACAGCTTTCATACCTTGAGAAGCACCAAAGTGGCTTCATGTGGATTAATTCATCTCAATTTGTGTACCCACAGTGACTTGACACTGAGTTCCTGGCTTCAGTTTCGAAAAAGCTGAGAGTTGATCGTGCCACAGGAGAAAGTTTGCAAAGATGGTGAAACAAATGCAGGAAGAAAAGGAGGTGAGCCTGTTGATGGTGCGCATGTATCGAGATGACACCCCAAGTCTAAATTGTTCAGGTCTGGAAGATCATTTGATGGGGTCTGGAAGATTCGTTTCTGATTCGATCTTGCCGTCCGCAGGGATCCAAACGGAAGTTTTGTAGGGGGTGTTTTATAGGCATCAAGGGATTGGATGGATCCATTGGAGCATCGAGACAGTGCCATTCAATCGGAAAAGCAGCATGACCATCAAACATTTGGATTTTCGAGTCGAATCAATGTGGATGAAACCACACCTATTTGGAATTACACTGTTATACACTGATAAACCATTCAAAATGGGATGGAACCATCAAATGGATTCGCTCCAAGCAAGATTTTTTGCGTTATGTTGTCCCAGGAAGTGGTGTTGTCTTTCAAAGTTATCTAACAGATGGGGACATCCCACATCCTTTCGTAATGTTTCCATATGTGTGTGTATATTATTGTAGCGATTCAAGGAAGTTATAAGACATAGATCCCCGGGATAATATCATGGCGATTCACCACATACCACAGGTGTCACAGGATTATGAGAAATTCGATCTACGATCTACACATGTTCCATCCGGAAATTCATGTTGAACATTACCGGGATTTTGTTACAATCAACAATCAGACTTGAAGAACATTATTAGTTTAGATCATTCAACAACTACTCTCGGAAGCAAACTTCGCAGTGAAATATGTCATCCCTTCATAGATGATTTACCGTCTAGACATGGTCCCTTTCGCTCGAGCTTAGCAACCCATAATCCCCTACAAGGCGGAACTGCTGAGTCAAAATGTTGCTTTAAGAACCTCAACTTTTGTTATGTTATATCCCCCACAAAACTTAGTCAGCCAAGTTATAAGTCAATTTAGCTATCATAAATCAGTTATATCAACTACTAATGTCCATTTGTTCCTGGTTAAACCATCATTTTTATTCTAATTTTACCATAACTTTGGGGCCCCTTTCGAGCGTAGGCGATAGGAATTGCTCTCGCGAAAGCTGAGAAGGCGCAGTTACCGGCCCATGGCGGGGATAGCTTTGGAATGTGGCTATGACAAGATGATACGTACGGATTAGTCGTGACGAACCATATTAAAAAGATTGTATGTATCCATGAGAAGTTGTGATTTTATTATGTCACCATCAAACATGTTGGAATCTGTGATGGTATAATTGATTTAGATTTATAGGGAAAATAATGGGGATAATCTCGGTAAATTATAATTACCTCACAACAACCTCATCATAGATGATGGCTGGCAGGGACATACTCCCCAAAAAGGTCATTCTGGTATGGGAATTATAGTAAGCTGAATTAATTGTCATGACTGACCCGTAAAAGATGGTTCAAAACGAAAAACATACTGTACCTATTTACTGTAGTGGTTTTATTCTTACCCCATGCTTGTATCATCCCTGAAATCCAGTACTCAAACGTGGCTGAATGCGATGTAGATTGGGTTCATTGGACTATCATCTATAAATTTGGCTTTTCGTTGCCATCTAGAGGAAGGAACAACATATAGGTATACTATATGGAACTAACAAACAAATAATGTCAAGGTCGGGAAAAAAAGTATTAATATGTAAAGTTGTTGGGGGTTCCACGTCGTTTTTTCAGCGGAGCGATCCAGAAGTGGCTGCTGAAAATGGTCCATCAACTTGAAGGAGGAATGCTGAAATCGTGGTCATCACAGTTGGGGAATGAGGTATAGCAATGGAAGCAGAACCCTTGTCATTTGAACAGTGCAAAAAAAAACTCCATTGGTTTTGATAGGGGGTTCTACTGTTCAGATTTTTGGTGAGTGTCATAACATATCATAACATATCATAACATATCATAACATATCATAACATATCAGGAAATCATAACAGATCATAACATATCATAACATATCATAACAGATCATAACATATCATAACATATCATAACATATCATAACAGATCATAACATATCATAACATATCATAACACACTGTGGATGGAAGAACTCCTTCACCAGTTGGTAGATGGTTTATGATGGTTTATCCAATTATTTATATAGGGTTTCAACTTTCAACTATCCAAGATGGTGCAGGATTTCTTCCATCCACAGTATCATAATCCATGAAATGGAAATCCCGTTCTTCGCCAACCCGCAATGACCAGCTGAAACCTGGAACACAGCCGCGCCACCGCCAGAAAGCCCTTGCCCTCCAAGACCAGGCGCCGGTGTGGAGAACAGTGGAGTTTTCACTGGCAGAACGTTGTGTTTTTTTGTTGTTTCTCAGCATCAAAACATCAAAATCCAGATTATGTTTGGTTTTTGATGGCGACAATGATAGATATTCACCAGCTAACAATATGGATATGCTTTATCTACAAAAAGGGTCAACACCAAGCGAAATTTAGAGTTTTGGTCACCATCAAACAATGATGATTTTCACTAGCACTGATTTCACCAATACGGCCGGCTTCACCTCAAAATCACCGATGGAGATAGGAATGGAGCATTTGTTGTAATTTGCCTCCGAAATCCATAGATTAATTACCATGTTTTCTGTGTTTAAAATGCTTGTGCCATGCCATAGCCATTCACCGTGAACATACGGCCCAACAAGTATTGTTTCTACCTCATACTGGCAAAAAGGAATCGTTGCAAGATGATTGCATGACTGCATGACCATCCCATGTACAAGATACAATTTTAAAACTGGAATTGCTGGGTTCAATTCCCCCAGAATAGCACGAGCTTCTTTCAGAGTATCTTAGCATCGCCAAGTCAAAGGAGTCTCCTAGGCCTTATGGTTTGAATTTAACATAGCTATTCAAAATGGCCATTTATAGTGGATTTTCCCATTAAAAATGGTGGATCTTTCCATAGCTTGAATGGATTTGAGCATCTCACATGGTGGACACAGATTGGACAGACATGTCTACCCCATTCTACGAGGTCTCCCAGAACTTGAAGCGGATCGTATCTTGGACCGTGAGATAATGGATGTAGCGTATCGAATCACAACCTCTCGTGTCTGAGATATGTTGGGAGAAATGTCAACCTCAGATTAGTAAATCCTGTTGATCAGTGAGATCAGTGATATTATTTGGAATTATTTGGGGTGTGCCTTAAAAAAGTAGCGAAGTCTACTATTACAATGTTAAACATGTATTAAAGTTGGTACCCTCCCATTGCCAGGACTCGCCAATTGAAAGTCGAACTGAATCATGCCAAAAAAAAATGACTGCAAGTCTTAAATTATGACCATCCAATGTATGATGCATATGTATAATCATGTATAAATATAGATGAATATGATTAAATTAGATGTATACATATACATATACATATATGTGTATATAGTTATTCATATTATGTATCGATTATTACATATGTCATGTATATGTGATTATCATTTTATATTATGTATATATGTAAATAAAATGATGAATATATTATGGTATATTATGTATACTATATGTATATTTTATATTGTATGTATATATATATATATATTATGTGTACATGTATTATGCATATATATATATATATTATGTACATATGATGTGTAATATATATATATATTATGTATGCATATATATATATATACATTTTATGTATATATATATACATTATGTATATAAACTTATATATATATAAATTGCATATATATATACATATATATTATGTATATTATGTATATGATATGTATATATGTATATAGATGTATGTATATAGATAATTATATGTTTAATATGTTTTTACAAATTTTATACACATACTGTACAATATCGTACCATTGGTACAAACGAGCTACGATGTTTTGTATGGTCATTCAAGACTTCAAAGATTGGCTCTGTGAGAAGTGTGTTTTTCAATGTGTTGCATTTGTCATAGAATTGGATGATGGGAAAATTTACAGGAAAGCCCTATATTTGATGGTAAAAACCATGGTTTCCTGTAGATTTTCCCTTAAACCAATCCATTGAATATCGGTACGTCGGTGCAATTAATGGTATCTGAGTCATCGGTTGTCCCTGGGTTTAAGATTCATGATCCTGGGCAGTCGACTTGATTTGTTTCTGCGTCAAAACGTGCAAGTCACCATATGGGTTTGTCTGAAAATGGGGTATACCCCCAATTATAGCCATTTAGTAGGGATAATGATCAGCAAAACCATTGGGTGTAGGGGTACACTATTTTCAGACAAACCCATTTGATGGTTGATGGTACCAATTGCGTTATTTTTTTAAATGTCACTGAGAGTGATGAGTTCGAAGCCTTTTTATATACACTAAACTCCAGTGGCTGTTTGTAGCAGTCCAAGACCAGCGCTAGATACAAATCCTGAACCCTGGTGCTGCAACCCTGTTGTTCTGGAAATCCTCAAGAAAAACGATTTTGTGTTTTAATGTTGACCCCAAATCCCAAACTCCCGGGTTTCTTGATTTTGGAGAACACCAGTTTGTGGAGAATCTCAACATTTCAAGCTCAGCATCTCAGTTTTCCTCAGGAAGTCCAGGAAGAGCAAATTCCCGAAGAACTTCGATGAGGTGCGTTGTGGCTCAAAACCGGGTGCTGCTTGTGGAATATATTAAGCAGGATGCAAGCAACACTGAGAATCATGATGGGACATACTGGAATCTTTAACAAGTGCATATATATATATGCATATCATAGTGTATATATATGTATGTATGTATATGTATAGTATACCATTACTACCTAGATGTATGTGTGTCATATAGTATATTATATACAGTATATATATATATGATATAGACTATAGTGTTCTATATTATTATGTTGCATAGTTTATATGTATATATGTATATATGTATATATGTATTTGTGTAAATATATGTATATATGTATATATGTATATATGTATATATGTATATATGTATATATGTATATATATTGTGAATGTCTGCTTTCAGCATCCAACTGACAGGTACATGGAACCTTTGGCTGAACATGCCGTTATCCGACAGCCGTCGGCTCTGGGAGCTTGGTAGAAGGGCGGGTAGGGTATCCGCTTGAGTCAATTGGTAGGTAGCAGGGTCTATAGGTGCCATAGGGAGTGGCTTCCCTTTTCTCCGAGCTCTCTGGCCAGTTTTGTTACAACTGCTTTGGCATTTTGCCAACGACGCAGCAGACTTCGTTCGGTGGTGACAAAAAGCATCACTGTGCTTCAGGTTGGATCAGGGATTGGAACTGCGATATTCACAGGGGTGTTTTCCAGCTGTTTTCATAGAACCTTGATTTCATAGGGCTGAAGCCCGGCTGAGTGATTTTGTGCATCATTGGATTATTTTTCTACAGTGGTGGCAACAGCAGCTTGGACAGCTACTGGGGATTTACACTGGTAGCGGAGCCGCCTTTGTGCGGCATCCAGGACTATGAGCTCAACAGCAGGTACTAGCAGTGCAGAACTTGGCGGAGTCAGCAACCAGCTGGCGTCACTTGGAACTACATTTGACCCGGCAACCGATGATGTACTGATGTACCAGAAGAGAGTTGAATTAGTCTTGGCCGCCTGGCCGAAGGGCCGCTTGACAGAACTGGTGACACGCCTCATTTTGGGGTGCAAAGGATCGGCTTTTGAAAAGCTTCAGATACACCAACAAGAGCTACTGGTAGGTGAGGAGAAATCAGTCCACAGAATCATCGAACTGCTGGGGGGACAATGGGGACGTATCCCACTTGAAAGACAATATCAAGATGCAGAACGTGCCCTATATGAGACTCAACAGCGATCAGATGAGACAAACGACAGCTACCTTGCCCGCAGTGATGTGTTGTGGAGTAAACTGTTAGCTCGCAAACTGTCCCTGGAAGACTTACAGGCATACATTCTGTTACGGGGCTCATGCCTTTCGAGTGACGAAAAGAAGAAAGTGATCCTGGATTCAGAACAATCAGGGCAACTCACAGTTTCAAGAGTGACGGAAGCCATTCGTACTCTGGGGGCCAGCTTCTTCATGGACATGACCAATCAGAAGAAGCCCAGCAAGGCCAAGGTGTACGATCAATCAACTCTGTTTACCGAAGCCGAACCCGAGCAATCACCTGAAATGGAATCAGCTCTGGTGGCCAATGAGGACATCAGTGAAGATGATTTCATAGAACAGCTCTTGCAGGAGGGCGACAGTGATGCAGCCTTTGTCCAAGACTTTGAAGGGGCCGCATCAGAGACCTTGCAAGACGACCCAGAACTTGCCACAGCACTGACGGCTTATCAACAAGCCCGACACAGGTTGTCAGAACGTTTTCGCAACCGAGGGTTTTGGCCGTCTCGACCTTTTCAGGGTTCCAACAAAGGCAAGGGGTTTCAGTCCAAGTCAGCTGGAAAAGGAAAGGGATCATCAAATTGGTCCAATCGTCCAAAGAAGACTCTCCAGGAACGTATCATGAGTAGCACATGCCGGCTTTGCAATCAGCGAGGCCATTGGAAGGCAGAGTGTCCCCTCAGGTCCCAAGGTAGTGGTTCTCATGTCAATAGCAATGCAGGAAGTAGTCAGGCGCCGACCACCATGACGATCGGTGAATCGACCGTAGACAGCCTGCCTTTGGAGTTTCTCAACCTGCCTGAGACCTCGATGCCTTCAGTGGAAGAGTTGCCGGCCACTTTGGATTTGCCATCAACAGTTTTTTTGAGTTTTGTACAGGGTTCTGCACAGCCATTTTGTTATCGAGGGAGGATTTTGGGTAAATCTAGGAAAGATAGCATTAATAGGCATCAGCCCACCAATAAAGTCATCACCGCCAAAGACCGTTTGCGCTGGCATTTGCCCAGGATGAATACTGGCTCACATGAGCCGATGCAGCTGCCTGACCAGAAGGCATCCCGAATAGCCTGCCATGAAATGTCGGCCGATGCCAAACCGGTCAAGTCCAGTAAAGTGAAACCTCAGACCACAGAGAATGCACCTTCCACCATAGCACCAACATGTTTTGCCACACATGGTACATATGGGGTACTTGACTTGGGAGCGTCGAAGACGGTTGTAGGTGCCGACTCAGTTTCAGCTTTGATTGATGGCCTGGATCCATCATTGCGAGAACGCCTGACCCGATGCCCATGTGATATCACCTTCAAGTTTGGAAACCAAGGTACTCTGCGCAGTTCACAAGCCCTAGTAGTGCCATTGGGTCAATTACTTTTGAAGGTAGCCATAGTACCAGGTAACACGCCTTTCTTGATGAGTAACACGCTCATGAGGGTTTTACAAGCTGAAATTGATTGTGCCAAACACCAGTTCAAAAGTCCGATGTTGGATGTTCCCATTGACATGCACTTGACCAAACGAGGGTTGTACCTGGTAGACCTTAATGATATTGCACTTGCTGCGGACCGGCAGCAGGGTGGCAAAGACCATTCAGCGAAGCCTGCAGGATCAACCTTTGTCACCACATCCGAGAGTCGCCAAACAGACAGCGGTCCCAACTCTGACTCCACCGCTGCAGTAGGAGACACCCATGTGAAACCCCATAAGAACCGGATGGAAACATGTTTGGAAGACATGGACACCACATGCAATGCCGATTCAGAAAACTCGGAACAAGGCTCTCATGATCGATCGTTCAGTGCGATTGAGGCTCAAGAGAAAGCTGCCCTGAACATACCCAGGTCGTCACCGAAACATGTCACTGATCGCCCGACTGAAGAACCTTCAGCAGACAGCCGAGCCAGTGATCCCCGACATGAGCGATCAGACGATCGAGAGCCTGGAGAACCTGACCATAGAGTTCGGCCAGAAGCACAAGGGCAAGAAGTACCACGAGGCATGGACAGACCAGGAATGGGTTCAATTCATGGTGACCAGGTATTCCAAGTCGTCGAACCCAGATCATCAAAGGTTCCTCAAATATGTAGAGCTCATGATTGTGTTTCACGAGGAAAGTCAGTTGCCAATCACCATGAATCCCATCGCCGATCGTGGTATCGTGACCGGCCATCCGACTGTCCATGGACACCCAGTGCCCAAAGCCAAGGCCAAGGCCAAAGGCCAGGCACGTACTATGGGATACAATGTCCATATGCAGGTTCCCAACCATTTGCCCGATCTGGACCCGGCAGACTCCGAATGGGAGAATCATTCCATGATGTACCAAACGGAATTTATTCCGGAGAACTTGGTCAGCCAGAGCCCCGAGTTCCAAGCGATGAGCCAAAGGCTCTTGCACATGGAGAATGCGCTGCAACGGGTCATCGGCCATCTGGAACATCAAGCTCAGGGCACCAGCCCGACTCTCGAGGAGATTCCACCCTGAACAACCACCCTGATGATGCTGAGGTGTTTACTCAAGTTCATGTGGACCAACAGAAAGTTTGGAGACTCATCCGTACGTTTCAAAAAGAACTTGATGAAGCAGTGCATGATATCCAGCCAATGGGTAAACAATATGATCTAGCCGAGGTTTTCTGCAGTTCATCATCAATGCTCACTCATCAGGTCCAACAGTTGGGAGGAACAGCCTTTCGCATTGGCCTTGAGCAGGGAGACCTGTCGACTACCGAAGGTCGTTTGGGTTTGTTCCGTAAGCTTGTCATGCACCGACCACGCCATGTTTGGGTAAGTCCTGTATGTGGCCCTTGGTCATCCTGGAGTAGATTGAATGAATCCCGATCCATGGAACATCAACAAAAGTATCAGCATGAAAGGGAAGATCTCCTTTACCAAATTGCTTTGATCATTGTGTTGTATCGTCACCAGATTGCCAAAGGGCGACATATTCATGTCGAACAACCCCAGAAGTCACTGTTAGTGCATCAACCATCACTGGCGGAGATATACCAACATACTCAGGTTGCAGAATTTGATTTGTGTCGTCTGGGAGACCTGCGATGCCCCAAAACGGGATTACCCATGAAGAAGGGAATGCAAGTCATAACGACCTATGAACACATGTTTCAAATACTGCATGGTAAACGATGCCACCATGATCATGAACACCAACCAATTGAGGGGACAGTTAACACAAAATATGGGCCCATTCTCAGAAGTAAATACACCGAGAACTACACCAGAAAGTTCGCCAGGACCCTTGCCAAGGTTATCACAAAGGCAGGTCATGCCTGGCCATTCCAGTGGCACACCGGCCTGATGGTGGAAGCTTCTCAGCCGACTGAGAGCGTCCCGGTGTTAGTTGCTCGAAAGATCCCTTCTGCGCCTGGAGGTCCATTGAAAAGACCCACATATCCCCGATCTGAATTAGTCGAACCAAAACCAATGTCAGAGGGAGAAGTCAAACGCAGACGGTTGCATGGTAAACAGAGTGCTGAGCCTACATTGGAAGAAATACAACAACTGATGCAGGACATCCACAAAAGGGTTCCCAGAGTAGGCCGCATCATACTCCAAGAACCTTCCATTCTTAGGTCACTCCAACAGCTGTTCCCCGAAAAGAGGGTAATATCAGTAGTTGCTTGCCGAGGAACGGATAGGACCATGGCACCACCCACAAATATAATCCCATCACAAGCCCCATACCGCCGAGCACTGATGCTACTCCGTCCAGGAGGCAACATTAAGTACGAAAGGCATTGGGAAAAATGGGATGAACTGTCGAAACGTCAACTTGTGAGACCGGCACATGCATGTCGAATCAACATTACTGTGTTTGCACAAGACCCGCCAGAGTCACAGGGAGAGTCAGAAGGATCGCAGAGAGCAGTGCAGTTTGCAGAGCCAGTAGTGTCCGCTCGGCCGTCCGAGCACAATCCAACAGCCAGTGCAGGACCAATGCCTACTGTGCCAGAAACTGTCCCAGGTGAAAGTGCAATGCATGATGCCCCAGCGACTTCTGAAGAACAGGTTCCCAGTGTGTCCATCGATGTTTCGAGTCAAACCCCAAAAGCAAGACATGGCATTCGTTTTATGTCACTGCCCCGTTGGGAGCAAAACATGCTTTTGAAAATGCATCGCAACCTGGGACATCCAACACCTGAGCGAATGTCCCAAGCTTTGCAGTCCGCTGGCTACCGGCCAGAAATGGTGCAAGCCGTGCATGATATCAATTGTCCCACCTGCGTCAAGTGCAGCCCACCGAAAGCTCCAAGGCCAGCACACCTGAAGCCCATGTTGGATTTTAACCATAAAGTGTATCTTGATGGTATTAATTGGACCAACAATCAGGGGAGGACAATGACCTTTTATCATGTAATTGACGGAGGTTCCAACTATCATGTCGCATTTGTAGCACCAGCCCACACAACTCAGGACGTCATAAGACTCCTAAATCAACATTGGATCTCATGGGCAGGCGCCCCTCATGAACTTCAGGTAGATGCCGGAACGGAACTGAATAGCGCCGAGTTCGATGAATTCCTCCAGTGTTTTTCAATTAATGGTATCTCCATTAGTCCGGAGTCCCACTGGCAAAACGGGAAAATCGAGCGTCATGGAAAGTTCCTACAAAGGATGTTGGATAAGATAGACCAAGAAATTCCCATCGAAGACTATCCCCAACTCCAAATGGCATTAAACCAAAGTACCCATGCCAAGAATTCAATGATGATCCACCAGGGTTATACACCCGAACTCATAGTCTTTGGTCGCCACAGTAGATTGCCAGGATCAATAATGAGTGACAGCTCCATACCATCACATGTATCAGCTATCCAAGAGAACGACAGTGCCACCCAACAGGAATTCAAAAGGATGCTGCAGGTGCGCGAGATTGCCCGAAAGGCCTATCACAGCGCCGACAACTGTGAAACCCTCCGGAGAGCCTTGCTTAGGAAACCGTGTCCTCACCGTGGCCAATATGTTCCCAATCAATGGATTATGATATGGCGGGAGCCCCGTGACTCAAAAGTGGGATGGTTGGGTCCCCATCGGGTGGTTATCCAAGATAGTAACCATACAGTGTGGTCCACACGATCTGGAAAGCTCTATCGAAGTGCCCCCGAACACGTCAGACTAGCCCATCCCGAAGAAGTGGACGAGACCGAGACACCAATGCCACCGGAGGAAATCACGGAAATGCAACGGCAGATCGATCGCATGCCAGAACAGCAAGGAGATCAGACGGAGGCAAGCAGCGAAGATCTGCCTGAAGGAGATGCTCCCCAAACATACCCTGCACCAGAAGTTTCTCCAACACCATTGAACAGAGAATCAACCTTTAATCATCACCCATCGTCACAACAACCTGATCAAGAGCCTGAAATATCCATTTCCAGTCAACCATCGAGCAATGCAGAGGTATCAGAGGGTGAGCTGCTCCTGCTCACATGCCATGAGCCTGCAGATGCCGTAGCCGACTTGAGTGCATTTGACCTTGCCTGGAAGTGCGAACTTGAAGTTGACCAGGCACTCGCCCAGATAATCACCGAAACCAATGCATCAGACGAGGCCATGATTCTGTTGGCAACACAAGGAAAGAAACAGAGAACTGAAGTACGATTATCCCAACTCACTACCGCCGAGAAAGCCGAATTTGAAAAGGCAAAGCAATCCGAGATCAACAATTGGCTTCAGACTGATACCATAACCAAAATCCTCCGAGACAAAATCCCCGCTGACCAGATCTTAAAGTGCCGCTGGATCCTAACATGGAAACCCATAGATCCTACTGAGATAGAAAAGCATGGTGGGCGTACACACAAAGCCAAGGCCCGATTGGTTATCTTAGGATACATGGACCCCAAATTAGATGAAGTACCCCGTGATAGTCCCACACTTAATAAGACGTCACGCATGCTAGCCCTCCAACTAATATCCTCCTATGGATGGTCAATGATGTCATTTGACATCAAAGCGGCATTCCTTCAAGGCCAACCTCAGGCAGGAAGAACAATTGCCGTCGACCCGACACCAGAGCTACGAGCAGCCATGCGCATGACATCCGCGGAGATTGGTCTCCTAAACAAAGGGGCCTATGGTCTCATCGATGCTCCATACCTTTGGTATTGTGCCCTGGTGAATGAACTCACATCCTTGGGAATGGAAATGTGTCCTTTTGATCCATGTTTGTTTGTGCTGAGGGAACCTGGTAACTCCCAAACCCCGGCCAACTAGCAGGTGTCCTTGGTATTCACGTGGATGATGGCATTTGCGGAGGCAATGAAAAATTCCAAGCTATCCTCCAGAAACTAGAATCAAAATATCCCTTTGGGTCCAAAAAGGTACAATCCTTCACCTTTACGGGTATTGATCTTAATCAACATGGAGATGGTCGAATTACCCTCAGTCAGTCTAGCTATGTGAGAAAAATATCACCTATTCCAATTGAAGTGAATCGAAAATCCCAACCCAATCTCCAAGTGACTGAAAATGAACGTGGACTCTTACGTGGATTGATAGGTTCCCTACAATATGCAGCCACCAATACAAGGCCCGATTTAGCCAGTCGTTTGTCAGCATTGCAATCAGCCATCAACACTGCCACCATAGAGACCTTATGGGATGCTAATCGCTTGTTGCATGAAGCAAAGAGGTATCATGATGTCACCTTGACCATTAAACCCATACCTCCGTTGGACTTCCGGTTTATGGCATTTTCTGATGCTTCATTTGCCTCCAGTAAGAAACCTGACTCACATGCGGGATTGATCATTGTAGGCACCCACAAAGATATATCCACCAATAAACAGTGTCCAATTAGTCCCATTACTTGGAGCAGCAAGAAAATACAGAAAGTGGTCACCAGCACCTTGTCAGCAGAGACCACATCTTTGGCGGCCGCCATGGACCAATTGAGCTGGCTTCGAATCTTTTGGCAATGGTTGTTAGACCCCACCATCCAATGGAAGAAACCCGAGGAGACACTTCCCAAAATTCCTCAAGCCATATCCATTGCCACGAAAACTCATGATAATGATGTTGCGGTCACGGATTGTAAATCCCTGTGTGACTTGGTAACCCGAACAGCCCCTCCAGCTTGCTCAGAGTTCAGAGTACAATTAGTAGCTCGAGCCATTAAAGAAGCAATGAAAGAGGGAACCACGTTGCGATGGGTACATTCAGGAGCACAGCTTGCAGACTCCCTTACAAAAATCATGGCAAGTCACTTTTTGCGAGAAACCTTGCGAGAAGGTGTGTTTCGTTTGCGCGATGAAGATTCAACTTTGAGAAGTCGAGCTCAGAACCGAGATCGGATTCGCTGGCTCAGTCAAGGCAATGATGTTCAGCCAACATAAAGTTTTTCACGAGTGTGAATGTCTGCTTTCAGCATCCAACTGACAGGTACATGGAACCTTTGGCTGAACATGCCGTTATCCGACAGCCGTCGGCTCTGGGAGCTTGGTAGAAGGGCGGGTAGGGTATCCGCTTGAGTCAATTGGTAGGTAGCAGGGTCTATAGGTGCCATAGGGAGTGGCTTCCCTTTTCTCCGAGCTCTCTGGCCAGTTTTGTTACAACTGCTTTGGCATTTTGCCAACGACGCAGCAGACTTCGTTCGGTGGTGACAAAAAGCATCACTGTGCTTCAGGTTGGATCAGGGATTGGAACTGCGATATTCACAGGGGTGTTTTCCAGCTGTTTTCATAGAACCTTGATTTCATAGGGCTGAAGCCCGGCTGAGTGATTTTGTGCATCATTGGATTCTTTTTCTACAGTGGTGGCAACAGCAGCTTGGACAGCTACTGGGGATTTACAATATATATATATATGTATATATGTATATAGGGGTGTGCAATACTACTATATATATAGTAGTATATAAATTTTGTTACCGTATATTATATGACATAATAATAAATATTTTGTTACATGATATATGTTATATAGTTATATATATATATATCATTTGTATTTCATATGTATATATATAATAATAACAATAATAGTAGTAATTTAATATAATATAATATGATATGATATAATACAATATAATTTTTAATGTGATATAATATAATAAGATAACATATATATACCATATAGCATATACCATATATCGCATATTATATATGTTGTACTATATCGTTCATATTATATATACTATATCGTTCATAATATATATATATATATATATATTATTGTTATGTATTGTATTTTAGTTATTACCATCAATATCTATAGTGCACATATCATGGGTTATGTGTATTGTATAGTGTATATTGTGTCGTATAATATATCGCATGTCATGTATGATATATCATAGATGTTTTAAATATCACATATGTTTGTTTTCCATGTCACATATAACATAAATGCTATTATAGGCTTGACATAGGCTTGACAGATCTGGTAGCACTGGGAGATGAGATTCCCCTGCCAGGGATGTGCAGATGATGAGTGCTGGTGTGTCTACATTTTGTTGGAACAAACTTCATAACTGCAGACTTCATCCAGACAGAATGAAATATTTTCCGAAACCGACATCTTCAGACCAAGTCATCCAACATCTTCAGCCGTGTGGAATCTCCATCCAATGCTTTGCTGTTTGACTCCCTATGTGGCACGGCCATTTTTGTGAGAGGTGGTTGGCCTCTCAAAACTGGTTCCACTGGTTTGGAGACGAGGGTCAAAGGGATAGCAATTTTCAAGGGATGATAAAATCCCATACATCATGGCATATTGACCCATATGCTCCACAATCTGTTCGCCCCAACTGCAAAGACGCTACAGATGCATGCTATTTCTATTAGGGTTTACAGATGGGATAAAGTTTCCCACGCCCTCACAGATGATTGAAATATGAACATAAGACGGAAGAAAAGGAACTTGCAGCCAGTGGGAAGAGTGTAATCCAGAAGAAAACCCAGTTTGGAGCAAAGCATTTTTGACAACCCTTCCTGTAAGCCTTCAGCAATTCAGAATCGACAGCGCTTTCTCAACAAAATAAAACGTTTGTCGAGGGTTCATTCAGTGTCCCGCAATCCCGTTCGGGCAAGCAACCCCTCTTGGCCGTACCCTATTTTCCGACAAACCCATAATATATGCCATACATTTCCAAAGTTGCTGGCATTCTCAGATGGCATTCTCCCAACGGCTAGGTCTAGGTACACCTGAATAGTGAGCAAACGGGCTGATATTTGGCAATTGTCATGGAAACAAATGTGATGTCCCATTCAATAAATGTCAGTGTTGAAAGGTTTTACTTACAGGGCTAGAATTGGAGCTGAACGGCAGTACGCTGAACCAATGGCGAGCTGCTGATCCCAGCATCCATGGAATCCAAACCAGCAACCAGCGGCGTCTCTGCCGTATCCAAATGCAGCTGTTGTCGCCAAGCTTCCAAGAAGATTGGTGAGACAACTTCGGTTGGGAGGAGCCATGGAGGAGCTAAGTTCATAGCTTGTTATTTAATCATAGTTGCTTGGCGATTTGTGGAAGTTCCTTTCTTTCTGGAAATTCATGGAAGTTCCAGTCCTTGAAGTGTTTTGCAGATCATGTTATTGGTTGACCAGAACACATCTGAAGATCTTGAAATCAGTATTTTTGTTCACTGCAAACTAAGACGACAAAGGGCTGAAACTGCTGGTACCAAGCTCTCGAAGGGTTTCAAGCGGTTTGAAGATTTGGAAGTGGCTGATATTTTTTCGGCATACCCAAAGAATTGCCATTCGATGATATTCAATGGGGAAGTTGACAAGTGGAATTGGGTGGATTTGGGCGGTATATGCTGGACCAATGTGCTGGACTGAGTCCATACTTGACTCCTGAACTGACTTGGTAATTCTCCCTGGCATGACTGAGACATATTTTGGAGCTTGACATTTTCCAGAAAATAGATGCTTTCACCCCCAGCATAAGCAGTCTGGTTGAAGAATAAGGATCTCGCAACCAGCACCCCACCATGGCCCTACCGCAAATCCCTCCAGATCTCCGACGGGGAGATGATCCGAAGATCAAAAGTCCGGGACGGGTCGGAACGCGAAGCATTCAACATGGGAATGTAGATGCCAATGGTATGGAATCTTTTCAGCCTTGAACACTTCCAATTTCACTTTCAATAGAAGCATCATCTTGAAGACAGTTTCGTTGGCCGCTCCATGCTGCCATTTTTGGAATGCAATCGAGAGCTCAACAAGACTAGGTCTATAAAATGGCCCCCAGGGCCCCAGGGTATGAGCATAAGAGCGGAGATATCATAGATGTTATTTTTTTCTGGAACGTAGCATATTTCATGATTTGCCTCTGGATTCCTTTTTTTGAAACATCTGCAATATTTCCTATTGACCAATGTTTCTGATCATTCACCATGACTCACCATGACCCTACCATGTCACCTGGACACTTCACTTTTCGTGGATTCCAGGTACGCTTGGCCAGTCGTTTGATCTTTTTGCCGCACAGTTTCTTAGGCCCGGTCCCGCAACGACTTGACATGGGCTGTGCTTTACCATCGAATATGGTGAACTAATGTTAGCCATCCAAAATATGGGAACATCACGGCATATCACGGCATATCACGACATATCACTGACACGTATATATATATATATACACACATAATACTGGGCTTATCATCCACTTGTCTGAGCCACCTTCCGCCCAGTCAATGAGCTTCGGAAAGCGCGACATTTGAAGTCTGCCGGAGGACGGATTGTGGTCCTCTCTTTTCATGCGACGGATCATAGGGTTTTGAGACGCCCCAAAGATCCGCATAGCATTATATAGGTATATACTACAGTATATAAGACTATCTATGAATCTATAGTGTATATATATATATAGATAGATAGATAGATGGATAGATATAGGTAGACTATGGTAGACTATTTTAAGTTGTGATTGATAGAGCAATCAAATGGGGCTGTGGCAGGTATCGGTTTTACCTTTCGAAAATTGTTACTTGCAGGCATCATGAAACAGACATGACATGTCGGAAGAAATGCCAAAAGGTGAGAGAAGACCAACTGGTGAAGGCACATGGTAATCAAAGATTGTCTACAACCTATTTTCCTGCTCCAGATACTGATGATTAATTATGTACATATAATTACATATATCCGTATACATTGTGTGTATGTATATAATTATAAATATATATATATTGCATCCGCTGATATCCTTGATTGGCGGAGAGCAACAATCAATTTCAATTTCATGTTGTGCTTTAGATGTATGCCAACCATCATTTGCTTTGGGCTTACAAATTTCTCAGAGTGGACACGCATCAGGAATTGGTCTCTCAGTTTACTGTTATTTGTTCTTTTGTCAATTTAGACATAATTCCTGATCATACGGAAGAATCCCACCTTGACCTGAAATTTCCGCTTCTTGGCCCATACCTATATATAGATGGGAATGTCTCAAAACAGGGGTGCCCCAAACTTCACATATTTCTATTAAGGTAGAAGGCTTTGGGGCACCGCTATTTTGAGACATCCCCACCAGATATGATTGAGATCAGAAAAAGGGTTTAACCATAGATTAACCATAGATTAACCATAGATTAACCATAGATTATGTACCAGTTAGTTGAAAAAAGCTCAAGCATCGCCAAGCATTCACTGCCAGGACAATCAAAGACCTTTCGCCGTACCTTGGAGAACAGTTCTGGCCAGTTCTTTACAAGTCATTTTGGCCAAAGATCCCCAAGCATTTGTTATGACTGTCATGGATTAGCAAATAAGAATAAATTTCACTTCAGCCACTATACAGCCACTATAACTCCATGACATATCCATGACATCTCCGCTATTCAGCCACTAAAAGTAGCCTGCCGTTCCAGGGGTAAAAAGGAACCTCCCAAATTACACCAACTCATGGCGATGATTTGCTAAAAGAACTCAGCATTTATGATGTATACAATATTCATAATACATACATGATACAGCGTAATAATGAATTGTATATGCCTGCATAGATATCAACTTTTCTTGTGTATGTATGTATATACATATATATATATATATATATTATAACCTGTATATATATATATATGTATATCATATTATACATATATCATATTATATATTTATCACCACATATATCATCATCATCATCATCATCCTCATGATCATCCTCATCATCACCATCATCATCATCATTTTATATATCATATTATATATCATCATATGTATATCCATTATCTATATATGTGTATCAATATATATATATATACCATTACATGTATATATATACATATAATTATATATATATCAGATATATATATATATATATATATCGCACATATATAATTATAGTATACATATATATACACATATATACTTATGTATATATATAGAGATATATAATAGTTCTATCATATACACATAACAACATACATAATATTTATATATATATATATATTCTATATATATATGCTGATATACCTGTTACATACACTACAATAAACTACATTTTATTAGATTAAATTACTTTACATTTCATTACATGTCGTTACATTTCATTACATTACATTAGATTAGATTACATTGCATTACATTACATACCATCCATCCAGAGCACATCAAAGAGTGGCCCTTCTACGCCAACTTTCCGTTCGTTTGGAGATTGCCGAGGCGAGGATGAGGCTACGGAGGATGCCGCCACGGAGCACGCGATGACGGGCCGGGCGAAGCGGATCACTGCTTGTTGGTCTATGGGAATTCTATGGGAACTGGAGAATATATGGCCAATGGATGCCAATGGTTTATATATAGCTATATAACTGTTTTTTTTTTAATAACTGGTGGTCAATAATGCCAAGTCAGGATTAATAAACCCCCCCCCAGAAGGTCGGAACTCTACCTTGTAGGTCATTTTCTTAAACACCCCATAATAATAAGCAACTCTGAACCATAAAACTTTGGATATGGCTTACGTCAATTAGATCTTAATAGAATTCCATTGGATTTGTTAAAATTTCATGGATCAGAAAGGTGGTTGATTAATCAGGGGCAAACCATGGTTATTATTACTGGGGGACATGGGCTCATTGGGGGTACCCTTTGGGAGCTATCCAAACTGATGTTTTTAATAAATATTTTAATTAGAAATCGATCATTTGGGGAATAGTTGTTTTTTGAAATTTTCAATGATCAACTTAAACCTGAAGTATAACAATGATGATTAAAACAAAGGTAAAAAACAATTGGAAATAAATAGAATTGGAAATAAAAAATGTTGGATAAAAAAATGGATTTCCGAAGTGGTGGTTGATTAATCGGGGGTAGGCCCACCGGTTTATTAATCTGTGGGGACCACCTGTTTTTAAATTGCATTTTTTTTTGGGAGGAGGAGGTTGATTAATAACGGGCTGTTGATTAATCCTGACTTAACATTATATAGGTTTCATTGCGGTGAATAGTGGTGAATAGCGCCCCATTTAGCACACTTTTCATGATTATTCTAATCAGTGGTGAACTATAGTTATTCTGGTTCTAATTCAGTATTAGTGAACCACCCGACCACCAACACTCACCAAGTAATGTGTCCATTTCTGTGGTGAAAGATCAATTTTTCAGGGATTGAATGGTCTGAAACCGTCAAGCAGTCCTGCATGGAGATTGAGGCAACCAACGGGAAGGTTCATGGTTGATAAGTCCCCTATGGTGGCTCCCAGTTACCAGTCGAGATTCGTAGGGTGAACCACCGGATTGAACGGTCGATGGTGGCTGTCGATCTCCTCATCGCCCCACTGAACCTGCATGACTCATATACTTTCTGCACTTGCATGACTGGGTGAATTAATTATGGTAGATGTTGCAACTATGTATGGAGCAACGGATTGTTCAATACCAAACCGGTTGGCGGTTTTGAACATTTCAACATATTTCAACCACGCTTTGCCTGAGGCACCAGCCAGATGTTGATGGAAGATTTTTTTTGCAGTACGTATAGTAACCAACCCCAAAAAAAGTGAGTGAGTAATTTCCTACTGAAATAGTGATTGGTCGTTTTCATCGGTTTTCTAGACTTTGTTTTTTTGTGGTTTCAGAACGGCTATGGGGCGGTAATCCGAATCAAGATTCGATTCAATTGGATGACTGGTTTTCCAAGGGAAGAGATGATACAGTAACGAAAGGTTTCAGGTGGAATCATGAGTAATCGTTAGTAGGCATGTTTAATCTTTATTGTTGCAGTGTCACATATGTATGTGAGTCATACCTATGTCTATAAGACATCATCTCTATATATGTATCTCTATATATATATATAGAAAAATTATATATATATATATATATAGAGAGATACCAACTTGGTATGTGGAAGAAAACGGAAGCAACGCACGCACAAACAGCCCCTCTCGCCCAGGGGAAGGCAAAAAGTTCGATGGGAGGTGGCCGCCCGGAGCCAGGGGATCCACCAAATTTTCGCCGGGGGAATGAGTGCCATATCTGAGACTGATGTATAGACATGTGACATATATGACATATATGACATATATGACATATATATATATGCATCATATTATGACAAATTATATAATATAGGGATATATTATGTTCTATTGCTCTATTTTATATTGTATATTTTTGTTTTACATCATCATATATTATACTGTATTACATTGTATTATATTATATTATATTATATTATATTGTTTTACATTATATTATACTACACTATACTGTACGTATTATTTTGTATTGTAGTATATTGTCTCATATTTTATAGTATATATTGTTTTATTGTCTATTGTAGTGTAATGTATTATATTATGTTTGGTTAGATTATATTATATTTATGACATGATATAATGTTATATGTTGTTTTTTAATATTATATTATGTATTATAAACATATTTACATTTGTTTTAATATATTTTTGTGTTTAGTATATATGATGATAGTATGTTCATTTGTCCATTTACCCCACCAATCACCCAAATGTATGGAAATCCCAAGTGGCATGATAAGCATTTGCCCCTGCTGTAAAGCAACATGTGAAATGTTGATTTGTCCATTCGGTAGCACAATCCACTTCTTGTCAATGTCTTTGAAGTTGTTTTGTTAGCTGAGTGTCCAGATTCCCTTGTTACATCATGTTATATCCAGTTTTGGGTGGCAAGAGCAATAACATCATGATCATAGTCACGATAGGATTAGGAACCGTGACCTTCCAAGTGTCGAGTCCAGGTGGTAAACCCAAATGTAGACCCCAATGTTACCATAAATGCTTGGTTAAAGCATGAGCCACTGAGCCATCCCCAAATGACCCTTAAAATCCTTCAAATGGTCGGTTTATTATTGGGTTTACCATAGGGTTTACATTGATAAATATTGATAGTCAATAAGACACATAGGTAAACATTATTTATTTATTGATTGTCAATATTTATCAATGGTAAATAATAAAGGTAAACCCATTGATAAACACATTGGTTGGGTTTACCTTTATTGGGCTCATTCACCTGCCATCGTGTCGTTGCCAGTTTTTCGATCCAGAACTGGTTTCCACAGCCCAGGCGGGGGTCGCATTTGTTTGGCACGTTCAGTGGCAGTTGAGAAATCTTTACAAACAAAATCATGCATATATATATATATGTATATATACATGCATCCAGTAGTTTTGTGCATATATATATACATTATATACATATAAAATCATATGAATATATTGTTCAATGAAGGTAGGACCTTTGTAAAGCAAGGAAGGGTGCACACCTTTCTATGCAATTGAGAGACGGTCCGGCGCTTATTTGAGAGATTTTTTCTGGATATTTTCAGGGTGGCATGAGTCATTTTTTGCTAAACCAAGACCCCCCAAAGATGACCGGAACATTTGTCCGGACTATTCATAACTGGTTGGTGGTTTGGAACATGAATTTTATTTTTCCATATATGATTCAGGTTGAAACCACCAACCAGATAAGGGCTTTAAATGTGTTCATTTGTGTATATACAGGGCCAGTAGGGCCACTAGTAGCCTCTTTTGAAAGGGGGATCACTTCGGCGCTTCGAGTCGGGTATAGATTACCTTGGGGATAATGGGTGCCGCCCAAGCCTCGAGTATGCTGGGTATCAATAGATTTTGCCACATCATGTTGTTGCTGAAGATAAGGCCGCTGTTCTTTACGCGTTCTACCTCGCCTAGGTGAAATATCCCCTCCTGGCCCGATAGCCAATTCTGGTTCACTCACCAATTACCATACTATAACACCATGATAATTTGCAGTTTTAATTCCCATGATTTCTTGGGTACATCCGACCGGCATGGCCACTTGTTGGAAATCCTCATCAACCAGTCGAACTTTTGCCACACGAACTCAACGCAATCTTTGGAGTTACCTACCATTTTTCTAGATTTACTATGATTTACTCATGAAACGTCTACAAAAATCCTTCAACAATTCTTCAAATTAAAATCCATAAACGATTCTTCAGACGCGCCTGGCAACTCAGGGGCACCTGGGGCACCTCTCTGCCTGCCCCGATTTTCGCGTTGCCAGTCGTTTGCAGACGCACAACACGGTGGCTTCAACGATGGACCCAGGAAATTCTCGAGGTGCAGGTGCAAAGTGCGACTGGAGTCGGATGGGATAGAGATATTGAAATGTAGACACATGTGGACATGGGATGTATCTTGGTACATATACATAATATATATATATAACATACATTATATAATTTGTATGTATATATGCATATGCTGCATATGCATATAAAAAAAATGGCAACAATGTTCTTTTTGGAATTATTATTACCGTTACCATGATTGTTGTATACTATTATGTTTACTTGACAATTGACGATTACGAAACAGGTTCCAGGCTTGGATCAAGTCTCATGTTTTTTAGGGGAAAAACAACTCCAATGGTTTTGAAAATCGTCTTGTATTTATAGGATGCTTAATTCAAGTAGACTTTTTCGTTGAAACTCAGCTCCAAGGGGCGTAGAACTAACTGGGGAGGGGCTCAAATAGCCATCCCAACATGGTGGAAGCCTTGCGCATGAAAGTGAATCATCAAATGTCAAACATACGTGGGTTACTGTATATTGGGTGGCCTGGTTTATTGGAGATAATTAAAGCTGAGAATGGGGATATATGCATTATCAAGGCATTAAATATATGTAAATAATTGTAAATACATACATATCTAATCATATCTAATTGTAATATACAAATGCACAAAAACAAATGTATATTATATATATATATGTGTGTGTGTTACATGTATATATATATAATTATATATATGTGTGTTACATATGTGTATATATGTATACACATACAGTCATACACAAGTTTCCAGACAGTTTGCTGGGTGACTCTTTGTTTTTTGATCTTCATGGCTCACTCAGATCAGCATGATCGTTTCATCAGCCTATTGCCAGCGTGGAACAGCCCATGTTTTGCACGAGTCACCGTGGTTGTTGAACATTACCCACTGATTTGTAAATGTATGATTCTAATCATCATGATTATGATGATGATGATGGTTGTTGTTGTTGTTGTTGTTGTTGGTGGTGGTGGTGGTGGTGGTGTCCGTGTTGGTGTTCGTGTTGTGGTTGTGTTTGTGGTTGTGGTTGTGGCTGTTGTCGTTGTTGTCGTCGTCGTCGTCGTCGTTGTTGTTGTTACACTCTGGTATATATCCCCTAAATGTTGCGGTCAAAACTGTAAATGGTTCCTTATCACAAGCCACAAATACATGGAATATATGGAACATAATGGAATATATGGAACATAATCCAATCATATCCAATCCAATGTTGATCTTATGGAGGAAACATGAACTAACATCCCAAATTGCAACACGTGAAACGGCATCCGACCAGGCGACCGACCCGAACGTCAACGGCGAAGCACCATGACCAGCTCAGGCCATGAGAATTCGCTGAATTTTGGGGAAAAACTTGGTGATATGTGGGAACCCGTGCCAGCCCAAATTCAGCGAATGTTCCTGTGAATATATATATATATATATTAAACTTATATTATATATATATAGATATGTGAATAGAATGAATGAACTATCCATTAATTAATCCACTTTAAAACATGTTTCACATATTTCTTCCATGAAGTGATTTCAGCATTGGTGAGATTTGCCCTTTAACAGTTTCTACACAAGAGCCTGGTTGGTGATAGCGATTTATGATGGCTGAAATCCTGCGTAAGATGACGATATAGTCCATATGGATTTATACGGTGCATATGGGTTTGTCTAATGTTTGTCTGTAAAACACCTAAACCCCTGTATTTCATCATCAATATCTTTATATGATCATACATGATCCATTTGAATTGCATGACGATCAACCACCAACGGAAAAGACTGATGGATTGTCATTGCCGGGGTATGGAACAAGGCCGCGGTGACAGCATGTTGTCTGTGCCGGATATATTTCCAAAATTTATCTCGCTGCAGGCACCGGTGGCGGTTGGGCGGGATGTGGTCGTCGGTCTGGCTGTGGAGATAGGGGTGGGGAGCACAGAAGTGCAGTTCGCCTGAAATTTCGATGAGCAGTAATAAATGAATGTGTCCAACAAATGCTGGCAATAATGGTAATCCTTTGGGATTGGGGAGTACCATGGAGTACCTCATTTTCTGACAACCCCCATGGAATGGTCACTGGAATCAGTTGCACAAATCTTGGATGACACTGAATGCTGTGTCGCTAGATGGTTGTGTATTGTCTCCAGATTTGAAAGTTACATGTTGGAACAAGGTGACACCCGCCTGGTAAATCATGTTGGCAAGGGGGAAAGACATGTTTCCATATTTTTTGCTACGATAGTAGATACCACCCCCCACATAGATACGTATAACGTTTTGAAGACCTTGAACTCATAAGGCAAATCATATGACTGGAGGAAAAGAGAAGCAACTTTTCTGTTTTTGGGGGATCAAAAAAATGCTGTGAATATGTGTGAAATTGTGTGAATATGGTGTGGTTTTATGATATTTGATGATTCCTACACCCAGCGTCAATGTGTTCGTACTTGTGCAAGGTATCTGCAGCATCTCTGTGCTTCGGAAAAGCCATGGACCCGTCTCACCCAACGACCTGTTCTGAAAATACGCACTTCCAATAGAATGTGGGTCAAAGTGAGCAGAGTCTATATTCCTACCCGTTCCATCCCGTTCCTACTATCCAGGATTAATGATTGCACAGCACTGATTTGCATTAATGTATATACATGAATGTACATTGATGTACATGAATTTGCATGAGATTATACAATCATATTAATTGAATATACATTGATTCGTGGATACGCATCATTAATCATCATTAATCATCATTAATCAATGAATCCTGAACGGGGCCATCACTTGTCCCTTGCATCCTGGGATACCATTTGGATAGCTGGGATCGCAGGCCGTCGCTGTGGATCCTGAGGGCCAAGATCCAATGCAATTGGCGACTCGATACCCTGTTGAGAAGTGCTAGTTCCTGTTGGGAAAATACATGAAAATACATGGTGTAACCAAAAACTCATCGGGTTTCAATACTGACATGGTGTAAACATGTGTAACATGGTGTAAACCAAATTTATCGATTTTTTTTGCTTTGATCATGTTTGATCTGGGAATATCCATATGTTTGGACAAAAAATAATGGTGGCCAGCGACCCTGGGAGAAAAAGAAACCCAGCCGAAGACATCTGAAATTCATCAAGAAACCAAGTTGTTTGTGCCTTAGGTATGCACAGATAGGGCTACACATATAACCAATATAGCCATATAACATATATAATCATATATTGCATGTTTTGCTATGTATATAACTGCTTTGAATCCAGTGAAACACCATGATCCATACATCGCTAAGGGATATGATCCATGCGATCCATGCCCCCTGATCCATATCCAAAAATGCCAAGTTGTACTTTACCCTCTGGTAAACTAACAAGTACCAACATAGCTATTGAAAATGGCCATTTAGTTCGTTGATTTACCCATTATCATGCTGATTTTCCAGTTCGTTATGTAAACGTTTACCAGAGGCTACCAGATTTACCAGGCCACCAAATAGCTTCTCAATAGGTCTGGATCAAACCTCCAATACGTAACTCACTGCTTCGATACCTCTTATGGATTCTGCATTCATGATGATTGATGTAGACTAATTTGATTACCCTCTGGTAATTTAACCTAGCTATGGAAAATCACCATTTTTAATGGGAAAATCCACTATAAATGGCCATTTTCAATAGCTATGTTAGTTTACCAGAGGGTACTGTAAATCTAATATGATATGTTATATTTGTACTGTAATTACTCTACTTCGAGTGATCCCCAGCCTGACAAATTATTCTGGTATAGTTTCTGACATCATTTGGAAGCATATACGGCATAGATGTATTATACACATATTTAGGTTCTGACGTGTATTTGGCATCTATTCTGGCATTGTTTCTAGCATCTATTCTGACATCCTATCTTACATTTTTTCTGGCATATGTTCTGACATTCTATCTGGCATTCCTTCTGGCATTAGATTTGGCATTCTCTCTGGTATTCTATCTAACATATATTCTCAAATTCTTCTGGCATTCTACTTTCTGGTCTCTGTTCGGGTCCATGCCCAGCTGCATCCGGAGCTCACGATTCTTTCGAAGGCTCGCCATGACCTTCGGTAATCCAGGTCGAAGCCCTCAGTGACGACAAGCTGGCAGAAGATGAGGCTATAGCGTAAGAAGAAGGACGAAGAGGAGGACACGAGGAGTGAGATAGTGGAGGCAATGGTGGAGGATCACCTTTGTTAAAGTCTAGAGACCATCACCTGGCAGTTAAGAGATATGAACATGACACCCTGACGCACGTGATCGCACGTGCAACTTGTGCAGATATGAACAACAACTGACTCCGGCGGCCCAGGAAATCTGTTTGGGGATGCCCGTGTGTTGCTATCCCATGGGCGCGCGAATCTGTCTGGAAGTTGGTCAAAGGCGCACGGCACAGCTGGGCAGGGAATGGGTGGGGTAGTCACGGATAGCAACAACCAGATGTTGATAGTTTATCACACCGCCATGATAGTTGGTCATGATAGTTTATCACACCACCTTGTGACCAATTGTTTTTACTTGATGTGATAAAATAACCTCATTTCAGAAAACAAATCCCAAAGATTTACCGGAAATGAGTGGGCTATTCATTGGGTTTACCAAGGACCAGGCTTTACCGAAGAACTGACATGAAACTCCAATATATAGATTGGTTGGGATCATGACTTTTCATTGGACTGCAACCATACCTGTATACAAAGATGTCCACCTTTTTTGCCACTGATCACAATGAATGGTACATATTTTTGTCCTCAGATAGTTGTTGTGTGGGACAGTACATCAAGTGAAATGCTTCCCAACTACACCCTCAAGTCTCCCAAGAATACCTGCGGAGGGTTGCATTTGGATACATTTGGATGCTCTCGATTCTCATGTCCATTTTCCCTGGTTGCCAACCGTTTTGATTGCAAGCCCCCATTTCCACATAGAATTGGCAAAACTGGCCAAGTCTATTGGCCAGATATGATTACTGGTGTAATTGTGTTGTTTTCCACCTGTTGTGTCGCTACAAAGTGGTACCCTGAGTTAAGTTGGTTTTAAACCTAGATTCAAAAGGCTTATCGAACTTAAGCAGAAATCTTGTTCAGTTTTGCTAGAGGATTTATAACTTAGTTATATTTTTTGGGGGGGGATTAATTTGTTTATGTATTTTCTTGTGAGATTTCAGATGTGAGTTTTGGAAGGACGGTCTTTGCTGCATGTCTTTCCGTGGAAGTTTTGCTTGAAGCAAGTGCCCATGGTAAAAACATGACCGTACTGCCTTTGGCGGTGGTCCACACAGGTACAGAATGATTCCGGCAAGGTTGCGGAGCACAAACTTCTGCGGAGAGAATATTGAAACACAAGAGAAAACGTATTTAACTCATGTTTCACATCTGTGTTTCCTGGCATCTTGGGCGGTGGAAATGGAAACACATACGCGTTGCCTTATGAAAATGCATTTCAATGGGAGAAACACATGCGCATGTCCATGTTTTTTGAGGAAACACTTTAAAAGTCCAAAGTATCATCTTTAAGGGATTACAAGCATGTAGCTGGAAACACATCTTAAGCATATACGCACTTCCAAACTGTTTTGGACCCTTTAAAAAAACATACGCATTTCCTCTTTGGGGTCCTCCAAACCATGAAAACACAAATGTATCCCGAACATCGCGGGATAAGAGAAAGCAGCAAAACTTGAAATCGTGTAGCGTCCCTCTCTGTGCAGTCAAATCTGCAGTCGCAGCCAGGCCAGTGACGAATATAGTTTTGTGTGCCCAAAACCGGTTACCTTTGGTAACTTGTTTAACTTTATGAGAATACGGGTCAAATAAATCTCCTATCTCATCTTATGTTTGCTTATTTGTAGATATAAGTTTAACATGACTTTTGAGACTTGAATAATGCAATATCTATAGCTGACCAACGTTATAATGTTGCAAATTCACACAAATTATTTAGAATAACTGAAGGGCATCACATTGTATACATATACATATCATATCATATTATCATATATAGATGGATATGATATATATATATATAATCATTATATATATATACACATATAATATAATATAATATAATATACATACGTCTGTGTCCCATTCTCCCATCATGCATGTGGCCCATTTGGTCAGGTCTGAGCACTCGGAACAGGAGTTTGTCATCACCTGCAGCCGCCTGGAACGATAGAGTCATGGGGGTAGCCCAAAATCATGGGTTTTTCAATCCGAAAATGGTCTGACTTGGATGATGAAAAATGGGCACCCCACATTTTCAGGAAACCACCAAAATACCATTTGAATCCATTTGAAACTACTAAAAACATGTATTTTGCCTATGAACTTGTGGATCAAAGCAAACAGACACGGATTTGGCCAGACCTGAAACGAGAAAAAGTTGCGGATCTGACCGGAGAATAGGGCATTAAGCACCAACAATTGGAATCAAGTACCATGAACAAATAAAGCACAACTATCAGTAGCTATTAAATCCTATTAAGATTGAATCATGATAGATAACGATAGATAGGTTGTTTGAAAAGAGCGAGGCGAACTGTGGGTTGTGGCTGGTTGGAGATATCACTCCAGTTGGATGGCTGTAGCACAGCTCCTTTCGCCGAGGTAAAGGTACCGGAAACTACATGCTGCACAAAGTCAATGTTGGACACCTCAGTTTTCTGGATACTTGGGATCCCATCCAAAGCCAGCCAGCTACCCAGAAAACGGCTTCATGCCCGGAAATTGCACTTTATGTCCAACTTGATTAGCCAAGATGATTTTTGCCTTCAAAATGGAATCCAACAGCTGAGAACTCCTTCACTGGGATATACTGCCAACGAAAATATCCCCGACCAATAGGTAGGTTGGTCACTAGGCTAGCCTTGGGATGCCTTGGGCGCTGTCATGATGCAATTTGCCCAGATTTGCCCAGATTTGCTTGATGTTTGTTGGTTGTCCCATCGATTATTTGATGGATAATTCCTTATACTGTAGTGAATGCCTTGCCAGAGGCCCTGGTTGGGTATTGGATCCCCTTGATCAGATCACTAACATTTATATAGTAACCTATAGTAACCTCCAAAAACAGAAAAGTAAAATCCCACTAAAACAGTGATGCGTTGAATTGTTTCTATCCTTTTGGATTTTCCTTGAAGTAGAATTGGATATCAGCAATAGAAACATCTCTTCACACCTAGGAAGATGAAGTCGATGATCCCTGGCATGGCTCTTTGTCTCTGCCCAACTACAGTCAGTTCAAGGTGTGCTCCGTCGGACTGACTCACCGAGGCTTAAAAACATGTTCTTTGGTTGATGTATCATAATATGTATATATATATATTATTTACTAATAATAATAATATTTATAGTAATATATTTATATACAATAACATATATAATAACATATATAATAATATACATATATATAGGTAATATATATATATTATAATATATTATAATATATATATAATAATAATAATAAATATATGAAAATATTTTTCATAGTATGCATATATATAATATTATATATTTAATAATATTAATAATATATATATATAATAATATAATAATATATACAATAATATATATTATAATATATATATATATAATAATATATATATAATAATATATATAATACTATATATAATAATATATATATAATAATATATAATAATATATCATAATATATATAGTAATATATGTAATAATATATATCATAATATATATCATAATATATATATATATGATAATATATATAGTAATCATATATATATAATATATATGATAATATATATAATAAGATAATATATATATAGTATAGTATATGTAATATAACATATATGTATATACATAATAATATGTAATAACATATTTAATAATCTATATAATAATATATTTATATAATATATATAATGATAATAATGCAATATATATAATAATAATCATCATAATCATAATCATAATAATCATAATAATAATAATATAAAATAATATATATATAGTTATATATCAGCATAGAGTTAGATATATTTATACATATCTTGATGTATTTAGCCATAGTTATATGATGTATACAATTGTATACATATATATATGTGAAAGTAATTATATACATACTGGTAGTTGAGGACAGACACATCTTTCCATTGTTTTAACCCTGCAGAAAAGAACATCAACCGACCATGCACGACCGGAACATGGGCTGATGTGAAAAAAGTGATTGTTTTGAACCTACAGAGGTCATACACTAAGAACACTCTCTCCACTCACTGCTGAAAATGCCGCTTTCTCTTCCAGATATTATTGTAGGAAAATATCCATATTATGTATATGTTTTGTATGTGTATATGATTTATAATGAGATGTATCAACATAGGGCTTATCAGTGCTGGAGATTCCCGCAATCTTAGTTTAGTGTATATTTTCTTTGCGGGACATACACTTCGAACAACTATATGGTTTCCCCTAGGATTTTCAAAGTGTATATATTATATTTATAAATATATATATATACATATGTTAGATATGTTCTAAGTGTGTGTTTTCACCTTCTGTTCTAAGTGACACTTAGAACATCCCGGCTGTGAAGGCTTGTTCTAAGTGCATGTCCCATACTATATATATATATATACACATAGTAATTCCGCATAAGATATGGAAAACAAAGGGTCTTTGGCTTCGGGACCCTCCTTTTTTCTTTTCATAGGGCTTGTAGATGGTAGGCCGGTCATCAGGGGTAGAATTGTGTCGTAACTGATGCATGAAGGGCTGACCAGCATGGTTTGAAAGTAATCCCATCCCCTTAATATGAAATACCACCCCGGAATTCCTGTGTGTTCTTATTACTGGATCTATTCGTTTTGGGTGACAATATCTATATATATATACATATGTATATATATATATATATACAATTATATACATATATATATATATATATGGTCCCGTGTCCCGTGTTCCCACCCCCCCCCATGGGATGGGGGGGGTATGATGCCCCTGTGGTGGTGTATTTACATACATACATACCTACATACCTACCTACCTACATACCTACGTACATACATACATACATACCATTACATTACCTTACCTTACATTACCTTACCTTACCTTACATTACCTTACCTTACCTTACATTCCATACATACATACATACATACCATTACATTACCTTACCTTACATTACCTTACCTTACCTTACATTACCTTACCTTACCTTACATTCCATACATACATACATACATACATACATACACAGACACACACACACACACATACATACATACATGCATGCATGCATACATACATACATACATACCTGCATACATACCTGCATACATACCAACATACCAACATACCAACATACCAACAGGCCAACATACCAACATACCAACATACCAACATACCAACATACCAACATACCACCACCACAGGCCACAGGGGGGGGGACCAGAAGAACCATACCACCACCACAGGCCACAGGGGGAGGGGGGACCAGAAGAACCAGACGATACTGTCCACCCATACCCATTGGTGGGGGGGGAGGGGGGGTGGCCAACGCTGCACCATATATAAATATAAATATACAATAATATATATATATAGTGTATGGAAAAGATGCTTCGGGGAATGGAATGATATCAAAATCCATCGAAGTTGACTTCCATGCAGGTGAATCCGTTTGTGGATTCAATGTCCCACTGCCATTTCAAAACAGCTCGAATTGGCGACTGTTTACCAAATTGGGTGATATTGGGTTTAGCATGGTTTAGCACATTCCCAATTCCCAATTAGAGGGGAGCTGGGATTCACCTTTCTATCTGGTATCTCCTGGTATTTTCCGAGCTATTTCCCTCAGGATCAAGTGAACGACTACGATTTGAAGTGCAACAACCACATCTACCTGGCACCCTGCAAAATCAAGGTGCATTCCACCGGAATTTCGATCAGTTCCAGTTCCAGCTTATATCAAGCTACTGGGTGACCGAAGCTCCATTTGTGCGATTACAGAAATGTGTTCCTATGATTCTTCAGTAATAAGATGATATAAGATGTATAGTAAATGTTAGTAAATAGTAAAGATGTGGAGGTCAGGAATGGTGAAACTTATGTAAGGTAGTCACAGCCAAAGAGTTGGGGATCCATATCCTGAAACGGAATGATCCACCCCCAGTGGCCCAGGTCCAGTTGGGGATGCGTTGACTGATTCAGAGGTTTACCAAAACAATACCCTCTGGTAAACTAACATAGCAATGGAAAATCACCATTTTAAATGGAAAATCCACTATAAATGGCCATGTTCAAAACTATATTTAATATGGAAACCTTCAGCAGAGCCTATAAATCTAAGGAAATGATTTGCACTATGGCACTATGATGCTTTCTGTAGCTGGAAAATCGTGCAGGTTTTTTTTCAAACTGCAGATTGCAGATGCTCATGTTCGGTTCCCCAGGATACGCAAGTTAATTAATTCCTTTGCCAGGTTCGATTGAATGTCATACTCCCTGTTAGCTTGCTTCGACTTTTGATTGCCAGTCTAACCTTCATTTTTTGCCGGGATTGCACATATTTGGTAGGATTTTTCCTGTGTTCAACTTTGAGTTCACCCTGCTCTCGGGTTTCCATTTGTTGGGTCACTTGCTGGGCAACACCCCAGTTGGGGGGCAACTTGCACAAGCCAGGTTGGCTGCCCGTTGTGTTGAATAAACCGAATAAATGCCATGTTTGTTAAAGCCCAAGTATGTGTTGTATAATATTCTGTCTATGTCATATTATGATTTTGTGTATGTATGATTTATTACACTATGCCTGTGCTTGTCATTTGTTGAAACATCTCCATATCCATGCACAGAGGAATCCCACCTCTGGCACCATCCTTTTGAGGCAGGGGACAAGGTCTTGCTCTTGGAACAGAACCAGTGGGTTGGGGCTCCCGTCTTCAATCACCCAGTTGGTTGATGATTAGTTTGGGAATGTAACTATATATATATAATTATATATACAAGTACTACTGTATTATATACTAACCTTTATATATATATATACCTTGGATATTGCGAGTTGTCACCATGAAAATATACACTAGGTATTTGAACACTGCTCACATGTTCTTTTTTTGAGGCTGCATGCTGATCAGCCTAAGAGCTGTTCATGTTTTGTTGAACTTCCATCATATCCCAGATCGATTTGGCTCAAAGCAACGAATTGCAAGGGAACATCGGCGCAAATGAAAGATGGATTCGTGATGGATTGGAAGCTGACCCCAAAGGTTGCAATGTTGCAAGCAATTGATCTAGAATCTATTACTGGGAATCACAGTTTTGCTATGTTTTGCTCGTACCCAATTCAAAACAACATGCAGTCTTAGGAATACGCACATCCATGTTTGTGTTGTCGCAACGTAATACGATTGACTACGTAGCCATGGATCAAAAACGCACTACTCCTACCAAAACAGTCAAGTTGTTGAATGATTAGGGTCCTCCATCTTCAAAAAACGACGTTGTGGTTACTATCCAAATGATTCACGAAGCTGATTTTACTAGGAGCTGAGGGACCCAGCGATCCAGTTTTGCTGGATACAGTTTGGTTACAGCAAGTCATCATGCTATGCCAGCAATGTTACATTTACATGAGGGTCATTGTCCAATTATCTCTAACCATTTCTAATCTATTTTGATTTTGATATAATAGAATGTCTAGATAGGTGCTCCCACCAATCACATATCGATTTTGTATGTGTTGCTGTACCCATTATGTTTCATGACATGTCCATCCCAAATGGATGGTTTTGCAAAACATTAGTTTCTTGTCTCCACGATTCCTGTTCAACCTTCAGCCGCCAGCCGAGGTGAACGCCAATATCAACGAGTCACAAAGGGAGGCGCTTGGGGGGTACCTCCAAGTTGGATACATGAAATGTCGCCTGACTTGGAGGTTGCACCGCCAATGGCAACCCAATGTTCAGAACTGGTTAGATACACACGTATACGTAGAGGTGTTCAATTGACTGGTACTGTAGAATTAAAATGAATTAATTGTGTAAACTGCAGCAAGCCAGCATGCGGGGCACTATTGGCTCATTGAATAATCATTTGCCAGCTGCAAACTTGAGCCGCATGGACATTGCACAGGCGCCAATATCTGTACCTTCTTGGAACCGATGCGTTCAACGTTTTTGTTTTTTGTGCAGAATCCCAGAACCAAAAAAGGGTTTGCCACCCATCCACCCTTAAGCAAAACACTCAGGTAACATAGTAACACGGGACCCCCAAAAAATGTATTGTTTGTTTGACACCACTTTTCTTTCAGGGTTTAAACAACACACGAAGACTGTCATTGGATCCTTCGTGACCGTCATCACGTTCGCCATGGCATTCCGTAACACGTTGCGTGGAGTGGTTGCAGTGCCTTGGCTCTACTACAGTGACCAGTAGTCAAGTCGTCATGTCTGGTGTGTATGCAGGTTGTATCCCACATATTAACATATGATATACGATGATATACGGTATACGTATATAAACAAATAGTCGTTATTTGTCTATACTTATACGGCAACGTATATATATATAATATTAGTAAGTATAATTATATAGCAGACGATATACTAGCGGGCCATATTGGCTTGTATGATGGTCATTGCCCACTTAATTGAGATGCACATCCAGTTAGTAACGATTGTAATTATAATGCAATCAAGCACGCAACATATGACTCGGTGCGACCAGGACATGTCCAAGACAGGTGCGTGTTGCATTCAGAGGAGATATGCCAGAGAAACTGTCAGAATATGTCAGAGTTCTGTCAGAACTGCCAGAATATGATGATTTGTCAGATATGCCAGAGTATATCAATACGATTCAATACGCATACATATATATATATATATATATGTGTATATATATACATATATATATGTATATATATATACATATATATATATATGTATATTATACATGTATATACAAGATCAGAAATTGTCAGAAGATTTTGGACACTATTCAATAGATTCATCAGATGTCAGCAAGACATCACAGTATGTGTTGCAAAATATGTTTTGTCAGCAGTCAGTATGTGTTTTTGTGGCGGGCTGACAACCACGCTAGCGTCACATCAGCTTGAAAATCCTAGGGATTTTGGAGACGCACCTGGAGATTCCATAGCACTTTTTTCTGGCAAACCCTTGGTTATAATTTCTGCCATCCCTGAGCGTTTTGAGGGTCTGCGCACTTTTGGGTGGTTTCAATGGATATGAGCGCTTTTCGGGGTTCTAACCCATTTTACACATGGATCTATTAAACTCTTGGAGATATCCACTAAGTTAGCCCACACTCACGCTAATTGAGACCAATCCTGGAAGCGAGCTTTGCATCTAAATTAGAATCTACCGCCTAATTTCTGCTTCCTGGGGAGGATGCACATTGGACCAAGCTCAGTTATATTTTGGCAAAACAATACTTTGGCAACATGATATTTTGGCAAAATGATATTTTGGCAAAATGATATTGTGGCAAAACAATACTTTGGCAAAATGATATTTTGGCAAAATCATACTTTGGCAAAATGATATTGTGGCAAAAAAATATTTTGGCAAAATCATATCTTGGGATACACGCTGGCCGCTTTCCAAACAAACACACTGTTCAAAGCAAACGATTTTGCAAATTGGCTCACGAAAGAGCCGCAATTTGAATGGCAGAAGAACCACTTTTGATCTTCACCGGAAAAACCGCAGTAAGAACACCATGAAGCAAACGGACCCCCAGGAGCCTGAATCATGTGCTACTAAGTCTGACTTTGATTTACTGATACGACTGCGCCGTACTGTTCGCTGCGCCAAGGGTGGTGCAAGATTGGGGGGCGTTTTATCATCACGGGTGCCGGGACGGTGGGACGCCGCCGTGCATGAACATGCTTTGAAGTCATGCGCTGCCCATACAGGTTTTCGGTGTAAAGACCCTTCGGCCAAGCTTGAATTTGAGATGTTTTGGTCATGAAACCATGTCAGTTGATCTTTCTATCGGTTTATGTTGCGTGATAAGCGTCATTGTTTGCAAGTTTTGTGGTTTGAGGCTGGCAGTACCCATTGCAAACAAACCAAAACCATCCAAGTGTTCGAATCGTAGCGCAAACACACAGTACTAACGCAATATAACCTTAAAAAACATCAATTTGATTGAAAATTATATTTGCATTTTGCAACTTTGTTCAGCCTTTCAAACAGTAGAATGCAAAATCCCGAGCACGACTGTGTTGCAAAATTCAAGGGAAAAGGTGCATGCAGTTGCTTTGCTGCTGAGTCAAACTGAACTTAACACTTGAATGTAATGAGACAACACCTGAATGCTAGGAGAATGACTTATTTATATTTATATTTATATATACACATGGTTCTGTGTATGATGAACGTTGATTTTTCTGAACGATTAATTGGACCAATTCCGTTTATGGAACGCTGATCCAGTGCAAACCGATGCAAACCATGACGCTGATGTTTTTTCGTGCGACCCTTGTACGCGTAGACTGCACCAAAATATTGTATCTTGACCTTGATACCCAATATTCCCTAAAAATCCCAAAATCCCAGGAGCTCGTGAAATTTGATAATATGGTGTTTTGTTCCTCTCTGGTGGGCCAAAGTTTGATCTGCCAAAGGTGCTGGTGCTATGTCAGCTGTCTATGACTTGGCTCCTTCCAGCAGCCTCGGAACGCAGGTGCGCATGGGGCCACGGGGCTGCGGGGCTTCCAGTCACCAAGAAAGCTCGCAGCAGAATAAATGCAACCATGAGGTTTTTCAAGGTCACGTCGGGTTTGTGGGTGGTTTCGAAATATATGCGCATGTGGATATGTAATGTGATGTGATGTGCTGCGATATGTCGTGATGTGAGGCTCCCAGTGCCCAACGGGCCCAAGGGGCCGCGATCGGCGCCGGGTGCGTCGAACCCTGAGGTCGGAGAGGGGACGCCAGCTGCGACGCTTGGGACGCGTTTTGATTTTTGGATATTAAGTGAAAACAGTGAAATTCGCTTCTGAAGGAATGTTAAGAAATATGTTTTAACAATAAAGAATAGTAAGCTAAGTTGCGCAATATCAGCATTCACATGTAATCACCATTTTCGCAAATATTCGTCAGATGTCCAGGAGAGCTGGTCGAAGGAATGCCTTGAAGGGATACGTTGGTACGACATCTGAGCAAATATTCAATGCGGAAATGTGGTTTGATTTTGGGATTTGGGTCGCTTTAAGAAGCCACACCCAGATCCAATTACCTTACTTCTATAGTGATCACCCTCACACACAAGTCTAACATAGTTTCTGACATATCATCTGCAAGTATATTTGGCATTTATATTCTGACATTCTATCTGGTATATATTCTTTCTGGCATATACTCTGACATTTTTTTCTGGCATTCTATCTGGCATCTATTCTGACATACTTTCTGGCATGTCTTCGGGCCCAGGTGTGCCCAGCTGTATCCGGAGCTGGGGATAGGGTTTGGGTCGTGCCATCGCAGCTGACTTGAGGGCTCGCGATATGGTGTTCCATCGAGGGAGTGAGTGAGGGAAAGAGTGAGTGATGGAATTGCACCTTTGTTAAGATCCTACTGGTGTTGTTGAGGTTTAGTTTTGTACCTGTGATTTGGGGAAAAAATCGGGTAATGTCATGAATCATTGACGTGGATGCAATGATCCTGAGGACATCCATGGGCCACGGACCAGAAAGAAACCTTTGACACTTTGCGAATGCTGCACGATTCGTGCTTGGACCTTGCCAGCCATGCACCACCTATCCATGGTAGTCAGGTTGCACTGTGTGCAAGTCGACCACTTCGGTGGAATCTAATTCCTCAAGCTGTGTCGACATCCGGCCAGCATCATTCATATGGCGGTCAGACAAAAATCGACAAACAGCGAGGGCAATAGAAAGGTTCAACTGCCGAGGGTAAATCTTTGCCCTTGCAGTGGAAAACTGTCTATTGTCTTGTCGTCCCTTCAACGGTTGATGTCCTCCAATGTGATTGCAGCGTCCACGACGTCCACGCATCTGAATCATATCGACCAGTGCCGGAAGCCGAAGCACCACAAATGTGGTAGGTTTCTGGGCCAGTAGCCCCATAGTGCATTGATCGAATGTCACTACTTGGACACACTGAAGGCGTGCAAAACATCGAAACGCTCGTAACGTCCAAATGGATGCTGGTTTTTTACGTGCAAGCCATACAGGAAAAGCCGGGTGCTCCAGAAACCCGCACAATCCTAACCGCGCTGCTATCACCAATAAATCCAGCAAAAATTGGACCAAAGTGGAGCCAACATCAACCTGCTGAGCAACTGCCTTCCTAAGCCCTGCCACGCCCCATGGCTCATCATAGCTCCGGACGGGCGGCGGCCCGTCGGCCATATGCCGAGCAGCGGACCATGTTTCACAACTTGGCCCTCCACCAATGCCCAGGATCTGGCCTTTGGCCATTTGCTCTACCCAGAAACTCCGCGTACTGGGGTCTGTGACATCTGATCGCTGTTTCGCCAAACAAATGTCTATCGACAGGCAGAATACCTGGGCAGTGCCTTGTTGGAATTGAGCTTCAAGGCAATGTTGCAAATCACCCTCTCTCCTATATCCGCTGTAAAAATGTATAAACAAAAAACATTGGATATGTAGGCGAGCTGTTTCTGCGGCAAGATCATACATTTGATAGACACCTGCGTGCCCAGGATCTCCATGCGCAGGAACATGCCCGAGGAAGGGGATAAAGTCATCCTCATCAAGTCCAACTGTAGGCAACTGCTCACGGATGCCTTCAAATGCATGAAAACCAGTACCAGGATTGGGAATTCGCCGAGCCCAACGCTCACGCAAAAGTCTCGCATCTTCCGAACCAGCAGCTGGCAAACATGGCATAGGGATACGAATGACTGGGAGGAAGGCTTTGGAAGGCCTCCAGCCATGGGTTCTTTGCTCACGTGCATATGTAAGATCATCTTCATCCAACTGGGCCACAACCTCTTGCGCTGCTGGCACAAAGCATGCAAGGTAGGCATCGCGACACTTGGCAGACTGACGAACATGAGTCACAGCTCTACACCGCTGAAAGAACTTCTTACCACACGCACTGCACTCATCTGAAAGTACAAAGTATTTGAGAATCTGCTGATACCCATGCATGTGTCGGGAGTGAACTGCTAACGCCCTTTTGGTGTCAAAAGTAGCACTACATTGCAGACAAGACCATGCAGCAACACAACTGTCACGAGGGAGCAACCGCGAAGAAGCAAAACTTTGCAGATCACGCTCTACCTTCAAGGACCACAAGTGGCCCTGGGCGGCTGCTCGATGGTACCTAACTGCCGAGGCAAGGGCTCGTTTCACTCGACCAATCCAGCGTTCATCAACTGCAACATACTGGAGACACGCATGAACATCATTTACAGGGAGGGTAAATTGGCCCGGATAGTGCTTCATGAACCAGACAAAGGAACTCTGCAACAACGCCATCCATGCAGTATCGGCGGTATTGGCAAACAAAGTGCGCCAAAGCAGCTCGGGAGCTGCAGCAATGGCTCGCTTCAAATAACGCAATCTGTTGGCATGCAGAAGATCACAAGGTCCAGGCAAAGACGCAAGTCCACATAGTTCTGCAACTGTGAAATGAAAGGCAGGAATCTGATGAAGCAGTGGCCGAACTAGCCTACCAATAGCTTCACGAATTCCATTGGACCATCTGGAAACATCGGCATCAGTAACCCAAGCCCACACATGTACATTGTAGAGAAGGCGAGAGACAACAAGCATAGAGAAAACTGACGTCTTAGTGGCCAACCCAACATTCCGTTTAGAGTAAAAAGGCCGAGCCAGCTGCCCAAAGGCTTTTCTTGCTTGTGCAACCCGATATGTGACATCCTTATGTACAACTGCTTGACATTGAAGAAAAGAGCCGAGGTGCTTATATGAATGCACAAGACGCAATGTCTGGGTGCCATGTTCCGTGACAATGGGCAGGGCTCCTGCATAATCATGCCAGAGCTGCTTCTTCACTGCACGAGAACCTGGTCCTGCACAGAAAATCATAGCCTCAGTCTTACCAGCAGCATAGTTGAGCTGCATACCACGCGAAGTGGCTGCATCGTGCAGACAAGAGGCAACTGTCTGCAAGGCCGTGACAACCTGCTCAGCACGCGGAGCATGCAACGCATAAGCAATGTCATCAACAAAGGTTACCTCTGCAAACCCTGAAGGTGGCATGTCTGCAACCTGAGCCAGATTTCGACATGTCTCAGGAGAGCCAAGAAAGGGCATATTGTTGCTGCCTTGGAACTTGGTTCGTGCATCTAAGACAATAAGACGAAACGCCATGTTGAAGAGAATATCTGCTACTGGATCTCCGGGACGGGTCCCACGGAATGTAGCCACTGGGTTGGCAACTCCTTTCATTTGAAAATGCGTACCTGAAAACATATCTACCATCATCCTGTGAGCATGGGCATCAAGGCCACTCGTGGCATTGTCAGGGCGAATGCACTGAAGAATCTCATGCCAGTCATGCGGCCGAATTCCAAGCACTTGCATGGCATGACAGAGCAGGTCATCATGAAGAGGCTGATCAGAAAGCATGGAGCGCACAACAGTATAGAAGGCAGCATGCAAGTCAACGAAAAGCATGGCGCAAGAAACTGTCTGCGAACGAGCCCAAGCAAAATATCCATGCAAAAGATGGTGGGCAATATCCGTCGAGCATCCTTTACGGCCACCCTGTTGAATGAGGTCATCATGCACATTCCACGTATCAACAAGTGCTTTGCGAACATGGGAGTGGTGAATCTTGCCACAAACATCAGAGATAAAGATAGAACGGTAAGAAGCAGCCTCCTGCGGGGATCCCTTGCCCTTAAAAAGGGGAATAAGTAACCCCCCCTTCCAAGACAACGGTTCACGGACCTGAGTCTGAACCTTGGTCATGAGCGGGAGCAGGATTTGAGCAGCTACATACCCTCCCGCTTTGAGCACATCAATGGGAAGCAATCCTGGACCTGGAACTTTTCCAGACTCCATACGCCTAATTGTAGCCAAGATGTCATGAGAGGACATGAGATGCGAAGGATCACACAACTGCCCTGGGGCCAACTGCACATGAAGCTGCTGCAACTGGGCATCATTGACATGAAGCCCTGCCTCAAGAGCGGCAAATTGATCACACCAAATTCGCTGACATTGTTCAAAGGAGGTTGCCTTGCCTCCTTGTGGATCTTTCAGTTGGGGCAATGGCATAGGCCCTTTATCGAGTGAGTTCTTGCGACGACCTAGCCTCTGCAACTTGCGATACAATTGCGCAACATCATGATGGGAGGCAACCTGATCAATGTCCTCCAGCCAATGAGCATACCATTGTTGTTGATCACGGCGTACCATCAGACGCAAGTCTTTTTCAAGGACCTTGAGCTCAGCCGCCACAAGGGAATCATGCCTGTCAACTTCCAATCGAAAGAGGGCTAGTGCCTGCCGTTTCAGGAAGATACCATTTAGTGTCGCCTCAGTGAGGATTGGTCGATGTCGAACTTTGGGCGGCTTGCCAAAGTGTTGCTGTGCAAGCTGTACAACATTGGTCTCCAGCAATTGGGCATGCGTGTCAACATCTACATGCCAAGCAGGAAGAGGCATGGTACGTAGGGCACTTTCAAAAGCAGCGCGTGCTTGGGGATCACGCATCTTATCAAAGTCCCACCGCAACTTAGAAGTCGGGGGGTACAAGCCCAAACACCTTTGAAAGAGAGCACAACTGGAAAATGATCCTGATGACCAAAGCCTCCGTCAAAATCATACCAAACCCATGAAGCATCAACCAGTGCAAACGCAGCCTCATTGGTCAGCACATAGTCACGGCGCAATCTGGAGCCATTGGGGTGCCTCCAAGTGGGTCCATCCCCGGAGTGGAAGGAAAACGTAGACGGCACATATAACTCCTGCCTCAACAAGAAGTCTTGGAACAGTGCGCCGGGGCGGTTGGTCGCCTCAGCCTGATGTTGCTGATAGAACTTGGTAGTCGAATCAGCCAGAGGGGCATTTGCATCAACGCAGCATACCAGGGATGAACTCTTGTCAACCTGCGCAAGCACTGACTCAAGATCTGTCCACCATTGGGCAATCTGGTCAAGAGGACGGTCATCGGAAAGACAAGGTGCATGTCCGACCAATACATACAGGTCGAAAGGACCCTGGAGTCGAACAAGCAAGACCCTGGCATTGGCAACAAGGACCACTGGTTGAAAAGCCTGCATCGTGATAACATCTCCAGAAGGAGTCTTGGCAATAGGGAGAGTTCGATGCAGCCAGAGTTCACAGCCATGATGTCGAGCACGCCCGCACTGAGCAAAACCGGATGCCAAAATGAGATAATGATCAGTAACTCTTCTGCCTTCAGGAGTTCGCGCTTCCTGAATACCAATAATGGCACAGGATTGATGATGAAACTGGTGATCAACTCGAATAGACCTGGGACCTGGAAGGCGAGTGGCCGCATCAGCCTCGTCAAGCGCCAGGGCATTGAAAGTAACTACATTGAAATCAAGCGTATAGCTAGGGTAGTCATGTGTTGGAGCCTGTGCTTGAACTGGTACACGCAGTGTTGGAGGCACAGGTTGCCATACTGCATTGCCATACAACTGTGGCAACGTGGCCTGATAGGATGCAGATGCATGTGCCAGCCAATTCCAATTGCAATCAGTGCGAGAACCTGCCAAAGCATGCAGGGGACTCCATGGGACCGAGCCAAGGGAAACCGCATTTCGAACTGTCCACTTGGCAATACTGTCAGCAAGCTCATTCCACGGGTCACCACAGTGAGCTCGTACTTCTTGAATATTGACTTGGTCATCCACCATTTGAGCAAGGGCTTGCAAAGTATTCACTAAGGGCTTGCTACCTCTGGAAGCCACTTGACACTGAGCAACTTGACGACTGAGTGACAAGTCTGGACGCACACAAATGGAATAGTCCCTAGATGCAAACAATGCAAGTGCTGTTGCTACACACATTGCTGTAAGTTCCGCATCAATGTTTGTGTGTGAGGTTGCTCCGAGCCAGTCCTCCTGAGCTGGATTAATTTGAGTAACACCAGAGATGCAGCCTCTGAAAATTCTGCCGTGAGGGGTACAAGCAACGATGACCACAGCCCAAGCCGAGTCATGCAGACCGGTGGCTCCATCCACATAGAGCTCAAGAGAGACTGTGGGCGAAGGAGGAAGCAATGATTGATCATACAGGGCAGCATACGAGGCCGAATGCAAATCAAGACCTTCAGGCAAGAATGAGAACATCCAATTGCCATTGGTGCAGATATCTGAACGGAGGTCCGGCTCACAAATCACTAAACTTGCATCCTGGTCTTCGACGAATGGCTGCGATATGTCGTGATGTGAGGCTCCCAGTGCCCAACGGGCCCAAGGGGCCGCGATCGGCGCCGGGTGCGTCGAACCCTGAGGTCGGAGAGGGGACGCCAGCTGCGACGCTTGGGACGCGTTTTGATTTTTGGATATTAAGTGAAAACAGTGAAATTCGCTTCTGAAGGAATGTTAAGAAATATGTTTTAACAATAAAGAATAGTAAGCTAAGTTGCGCAATATCAGCATTCACATGTAATCACCATTTTCGCAAATATTCGTCAGATGTCCAGGAGAGCTGGTCGAAGGAATGCCTTGAAGGGATACGTTGGTACGACATCTGAGCAAATATTCAATGCGGAAATGTGGTTTGATTTTGGGATTTGGGTCGCTTTAAGAAGCCACACCCAGATCCAATTACCTTACTTCTATAGTGATCACCCTCACACACAAGTCTAACATAGTTTCTGACATATCATCTGCAAGTATATTTGGCATTTATATTCTGACATTCTATCTGGTATATATTCTTTCTGGCATATACTCTGACATTTTTTTTTCTGGCATTCTATCTGGCATCTATTCTGACATACTTTCTGGCATGTCTTCGGGCCCAGGTGTGCCCAGCTGTATCCGGAGCTGGGGATAGGGTTTGGGTCGTGCCATCGCAGCTGACTTGAGGGCTCGCGATATGGTGTTCCATCGAGGGAGTGAGTGAGGGAAAGAGTGAGTGATGGAATTGCACCTTTGTTAAGATCCTACTGGTGTTGTTGAGGTTTAGTTTTGTACCTGTGATTTGGGGAAAAAATCGGGTAATGTCATGAATCATTGACGTGGATGCAATGATCCTGAGGACATCCATGGGCCACGGACCAGAAAGAAACCTTTGACACTTTGCGAATGCTGCACGATTCGTGCTTGGACCTTGCCAGCCATGCACCACCTATCCATGGTAGTCAGGTTGCACTGTGTGCAAGTCGACCACTTCGGTGGAATCTAATTCCTCAAGCTGTGTCGACATCCGGCCAGCATCATTCATATGGCGGTCAGACAAAAATCGACAAACAGCGAGGGCAATAGAAAGGTTCAACTGCCGAGGGTAAATCTTTGCCCTTGCAGTGGAAAACTGTCTATTGTCTTGTCGTCCCTTCAACGGTTGATGTCCTCCAATGTGATTGCAGCGTCCACGACGTCCACGCATCTGAATCATATCGACCAGTGCCGGAAGCCGAAGCACCACAAATGTGGTAGGTTTCTGGGCCAGTAGCCCCATAGTGCATTGATCGAATGTCACTACTTGGACACACTGAAGGCGTGCAAAACATCGAAACGCTCGTAACGTCCAAATGGATGCTGGTTTTTTACGTGCAAGCCATACAGGAAAAGCCGGGTGCTCCAGAAACCCGCACAATCCTAACCGCGCTGCTATCACCAATAAATCCAGCAAAAATTGGACCAAAGTGGAGCCAACATCAACCTGCTGAGCAACTGCCTTCCTAAGCCCTGCCACGCCCCATGGCTCATCATAGCTCCGGACGGGCGGCGGCCCGTCGGCCATATGCCGAGCAGCGGACCATGTTTCACAACTTGGCCCTCCACCAATGCCCAGGATCTGGCCTTTGGCCATTTGCTCTACCCAGAAACTCCGCGTACTGGGGTCTGTGACATCTGATCGCTGTTTCGCCAAACAAATGTCTATCGACAGGCAGAATACCTGGGCAGTGCCTTGTTGGAATTGAGCTTCAAGGCAATGTTGCAAATCACCCTCTCTCCTATATCCGCTGTAAAAATGTATAAACAAAAAACATTGGATATGTAGGCGAGCTGTTTCTGCGGCAAGATCATACATTTGATAGACACCTGCGTGCCCAGGATCTCCATGCGCAGGAACATGCCCGAGGAAGGGGATAAAGTCATCCTCATCAAGTCCAACTGTAGGCAACTGCTCACGGATGCCTTCAAATGCATGAAAACCAGTACCAGGATTGGGAATTCGCCGAGCCCAACGCTCACGCAAAAGTCTCGCATCTTCCGAACCAGCAGCTGGCAAACATGGCATAGGGATACGAATGACTGGGAGGAAGGCTTTGGAAGGCCTCCAGCCATGGGTTCTTTGCTCACGTGCATATGTAAGATCATCTTCATCCAACTGGGCCACAACCTCTTGCGCTGCTGGCACAAAGCATGCAAGGTAGGCATCGCGACACTTGGCAGACTGACGAACATGAGTCACAGCTCTACACCGCTGAAAGAACTTCTTACCACACGCACTGCACTCATCTGAAAGTACAAAGTATTTGAGAATCTGCTGATACCCATGCATGTGTCGGGAGTGAACTGCTAACGCCCTTTTGGTGTCAAAAGTAGCACTACATTGCAGACAAGACCATGCAGCAACACAACTGTCACGAGGGAGCAACCGCGAAGAAGCAAAACTTTGCAGATCACGCTCTACCTTCAAGGACCACAAGTGGCCCTGGGCGGCTGCTCGATGGTACCTAACTGCCGAGGCAAGGGCTCGTTTCACTCGACCAATCCAGCGTTCATCAACTGCAACATACTGGAGACACGCATGAACATCATTTACAGGGAGGGTAAATTGGCCCGGATAGTGCTTCATGAACCAGACAAAGGAACTCTGCAACAACGCCATCCATGCAGTATCGGCGGTATTGGCAAACAAAGTGCGCCAAAGCAGCTCGGGAGCTGCAGCAATGGCTCGCTTCAAATAACGCAATCTGTTGGCATGCAGAAGATCACAAGGTCCAGGCAAAGACGCAAGTCCACATAGTTCTGCAACTGTGAAATGAAAGGCAGGAATCTGATGAAGCAGTGGCCGAACTAGCCTACCAATAGCTTCACGAATTCCATTGGACCATCTGGAAACATCGGCATCAGTAACCCAAGCCCACACATGTACATTGTAGAGAAGGCGAGAGACAACAAGCATAGAGAAAACTGACGTCTTAGTGGCCAACCCAACATTCCGTTTAGAGTAAAAAGGCCGAGCCAGCTGCCCAAAGGCTTTTCTTGCTTGTGCAACCCGATATGTGACATCCTTATGTACAACTGCTTGACATTGAAGAAAAGAGCCGAGGTGCTTATATGAATGCACAAGACGCAATGTCTGGGTGCCATGTTCCGTGACAATGGGCAGGGCTCCTGCATAATCATGCCAGAGCTGCTTCTTCACTGCACGAGAACCTGGTCCTGCACAGAAAATCATAGCCTCAGTCTTACCAGCAGCATAGTTGAGCTGCATACCACGCGAAGTGGCTGCATCGTGCAGACAAGAGGCAACTGTCTGCAAGGCCGTGACAACCTGCTCAGCACGCGGAGCATGCAACGCATAAGCAATGTCATCAACAAAGGTTACCTCTGCAAACCCTGAAGGTGGCATGTCTGCAACCTGAGGCAGATTTCGACATGTCTCAGGAGAGCCAAGAAAGGGCATATTGTTGCTGCCTTGGAACTTGGTTCGTGCATCTAAGACAATAAGACGAAACGCCATGTTGAAGAGAATATCTGCTACTGGATCTCCGGGACGGGTCCCACGGAATGTAGCCACTGGGTTGGCAACTCCTTTCATTTGAAAATGCGTACCTGAAAACATATCTACCATCATCCTGTGAGCATGGGCATCAAGGCCACTCGTGGCATTGTCAGGGCGAATGCACTGAAGAATCTCATGCCAGTCATGCGGCCGAATTCCAAGCACTTGCATGGCATGACAGAGCAGGTCATCATGAAGAGGCTGATCAGAAAGCATGGAGCGCACAACAGTATAGAAGGCAGCATGCAAGTCAACGAAAAGCATGGCGCAAGAAACTGTCTGCGAACGAGCCCAAGCAAAATATCCATGCAAAAGATGGTGGGCAATATCCGTCGAGCATCCTTTACGGCCACCCTGTTGAATGAGGTCATCATGCACATTCCACGTATCAACAAGTGCTTTGCGAACATGGGAGTGGTGAATCTTGCCACAAACATCAGAGATAAAGATAGAACGGTAAGAAGCAGCCTCCTGCGGGGATCCCTTGCCCTTAAAAAGGGGAATAAGTAACCCCCCCTTCCAAGACAACGGTTCACGGACCTGAGTCTGAACCTTGGTCATGAGCGGGAGCAGGATTTGAGCAGCTACATACCCTCCCGCTTTGAGCACATCAATGGGAAGCAATCCTGGACCTGGAACTTTTCCAGACTCCATACGCCTAATTGTAGCCAAGATGTCATGAGAGGACATGAGATGCGAAGGATCACACAACTGCCCTGGGGCCAACTGCACATGAAGCTGCTGCAACTGGGCATCATTGACATGAAGCCCTGCCTCAAGAGCGGCAAATTGATCACACCAAATTCGCTGACATTGTTCAAAGGAGGTTGCCTTGCCTCCTTGTGGACCTTTCAGTTGGGGCAATGGCATAGGCCCTTTATCGAGTGAGTTCTTGCGACGACCTAGCCTCTGCAACTTGCGATACAATTGCGCAACATCATGATGGGAGGCAACCTGATCAATGTCCTCCAGCCAATGAGCATACCATTGTTGTTGATCACGGCGTACCATCAGACGCAAGTCTTTTTCAAGGACCTTGAGCTCAGCCGCCACAAGGGAATCATGCCTGTCAACTTCCAATCGAAAGAGGGCTAGTGCCTGCCGTTTCAGGAAGATACCATTTAGTGTCGCCTCAGTGAGGATTGGTCGATGTCGAACTTTGGGCGGCTTGCCAAAGTGTTGCTGTGCAAGCTGTACAACATTGGTCTCCAGCAATTGGGCATGCGTGTCAACATCTACATGCCAAGCAGGAAGAGGCATGGTACGTAGGGCACTTTCAAAAGCAGCGCGTGCTTGGGGATCACGCATCTTATCAAAGTCCCACCGCAACTTAGAAGTCGGGGGGTACAAGCCCAAACACCTTTGAAAGAGAGCACAACTGGAAAATGATCCTGATGACCAAAGCCTCCGTCAAAATCATACCAAACCCATGAAGCATCAACCAGTGCAAACGCAGCCTCATTGGTCAGCACATAGTCACGGCGCAATCTGGAGCCATTGGGGTGCCTCCAAGTGGGTCCATCCCCGGAGTGGAAGGAAAACGTAGACGGCACATATAACTCCTGCCTCAACAAGAAGTCTTGGAACAGTGCGCCGGGGCGGTTGGTCGCCTCAGCCTGATGTTGCTGATAGAACTTGGTAGTCGAATCAGCCAGAGGGGCATTTGCATCAACGCAGCATACCAGGGATGAACTCTTGTCAACCTGCGCAAGCACTGACTCAAGATCTGTCCACCATTGGGCAATCTGGTCAAGAGGACGGTCATCGGAAAGACAAGGTGCATGTCCGACCAATACATACAGGTCGAAAGGACCCTGGAGTCGAACAAGCAAGACCCTGGCATTGGCAACAAGGACCACTGGTTGAAAAGCCTGCATCGTGATAACATCTCCAGAAGGAGTCTTGGCAATAGGGAGAGTTCGATGCAGCCAGAGTTCACAGCCATGATGTCGAGCACGCCCGCACTGAGCAAAACCGGATGCCAAAATGAGATAATGATCAGTAACTCTTCTGCCTTCAGGAGTTCGCGCTTCCTGAATACCAATAATGGCACAGGATTGATGATGAAACTGGTGATCAACTCGAATAGACCTGGGACCTGGAAGGCGAGTGGCCGCATCAGCCTCGTCAAGAGCCAGGGCATTGAAAGTAACTACATTGAAATCAAGCGTATAGCTAGGATAGTCATGTGTTGGAGCCTGTGCTTGAACTGGTACACGCAGTGTTGGAGGCACAGGTTGCCATACTGCATTGCCATACAACTGTGGCAACGTGGCCTGATAGGATGCAGATGCATGTGCCAGCCAATTCCAATTGCAATCAGTGCGAGAACCTGCCAAAGCATGCAGGGGACTCCATGGGACCGAGCCAAGGGAAACCGCATTTCGAACTGTCCACTTGGCAATACTGTCAGCAAGCTCATTCCACGGGTCACCACAGTGAGCTCGTACTTCTTGAATATTGACTTGGTCATCCACCATTTGAGCAAGGGCTTGCAAAGTATTCACTAAGGGCTTGCTACCTCTGGAAGCCACTTGACACTGAGCAACTTGACGACTGAGTGACAAGTCTGGACGCACACAAATGGAATAGTCCCTAGATGCAAACAATGCAAGTGCTGTTGCTACACACATTGCTGTAAGTTCCGCATCAATGTTTGTGTGTGAGGTTGCTCCGAGCCAGTCCTCCTGAGCTGGATTAATTTGAGTAACACCAGAGATGCAGCCTCTGAAAATTCTGCCGTGAGGGGTACAAGCAACGATGACCACAGCCCAAGCCGAGTCATGCAGACCGGTGGCTCCATCCACATAGAGCTCAAGAGAGACTGTGGGCGAAGGAGGAAGCAATGATTGATCATACAGGGCAGCATACGAGGCCGAATGCAAATCAAGACCTTCAGGCAAGAATGAGAACATCCAATTGCCATTGGTGCAGATATCTGAACGGAGGTCCGGCTCACAAATCACTAAACTTGCATCCTGGTCTTCGACGAATGGCGCTGAAGGACCTGGAAGCAGGGCTTCCAGACATAATTGAACCCTGGCATGAGTCAAGCTGATTGGAATCCCGGCATGCACTGTGGCAGCATGAAACTCAAGCACATCTCCATGGGAAAAATGGATCCATCCAGACGCAAAGCAACCATTACATCGAATGAACGTTCCATGCGTGACAGAGAAGATCTGCCTGACTTGCCGGCAGTCAAGCATATCTGGTACCGTTGCGACACCATAGACCGCACCGTCATGCATATATCTGACAGTCAAAATCACTGCACGTCCAATTGGCGGGACCTGGTAGGACCCGATGTACCATCCATCGCGTGCTATATGCCAGCTCGCGCGCAAAAATCTCACCTGAAACAGCTGTGATGGAGGAGCCAAGAAACCAAAGCGGGTCTGAAAATCCTCAGTCAGGCATGCAGCCTGAAATTCGTGGTGGGGTACAATCTTTGTATCAGTCAGTCCGTGTGGCAATTCCCAAGCACATACAACCCAATCGCCTGGAACAGATGCAAGGGCAACAGACAATGATAACGGTTTGTCACAAATGTCACTGAGCGTATCCTCAAGGGCATCTTCAAGCAAAACATGAACACCGTTTTCAACACTGCTGTTCTGGTGCCATGGTGTCACAGTCCTCGCAGCCCTTGTCTGCAGCAACCCTAACGCGTCAGTACTGTCATCCTCAGCGTCACCTGCATATGTGTCATACCTGATCTGCACATGATCACCTGACATAAGAGTAAGCACTTCCCCAATACCATATGCAACACCACGAAGGTGTACAGTGCAGGGAAATGACCTGAACGCATGGGGAACAAGCAACTGGACAATGTCATTGACAGTAATGCGACTAGGCAAGACATAGACAGCGTGAGCAGGACATGGTGCGGGATCTGGCCCAGGACAAACCGTGAAAAACACAGCCGCTTGTTTATGCATTAGACCTTGCGACAAGACCACATGCACGTCGACATTTCGATTGGCAACATTCGGAGCAGCAGAAACAACCCAATACTCTTGCGGTTCATGGGGAATCAGGCGATGACTCCACACTTGCACAAGATCTTGCCGCCAGGACAAAATGGAACTCGTGAGCCGAACTGGCCTGGGTTCACGACACCAAAGATGACCGTCGCCATGGACGTACCAGGTCTGCACATAAAGAACTGGACCTTCTTCCTGAACTTCAGTGGCGGCAAATTGCACATACAAATGATTTAGAGCAGTGAGCCAAGGAGGCCTGTGGTCAACCTCCATTGGTACAGCAGCCTGCGGTGTAAAAGCCATGTACGGTGAGCCAGTCGATGACGCTGCTACACCACTAGATCCTTCGACCTCTGGGGGGCTACTGGGTCTGTGATAGATCTCACCCCAAATAGCCTGCTGCAGCTGCTGCCTCAACAGGTGGTCAGGAAGCCGCAGAAGGGATTGCAAGTCAAGACGCGTGCCACGATTGATGCGAAGTTTGAATGCATTACCACTGCGGACAAAAACTTGACTAGAAGGAGGAATGGCAGTTCCTCCAAGCCAAATGGTGCACTCATTTTGAGGCATATGTGGAGGACAAGTCCGGGTCAACCGAACATCTTCCAAAACACTGCCAAGCGTCAAACGAGACCCATGTGTCATAGCAAAAGTGTATGGCGGCTGCTGAGCTCTTTCTGAGTCATAAATGGACATCACAATGCTGCGAAGTTCCGGCTGGGGAGACTGCGTCAAAATGACCTGTGCAACTGCAGCTGGATCAATTGTCTCGGGTGCAGGGTAGACCAAATAAAACTCAATGTTTGCCGCTGCACGAACATGATCACGCCATTCCTGAATAATTAAGCGCGACCAATCATGAAAATTGACCAGAGAAAGAAGCACAACACGAGAATTGTAACAACGATCTCGAAAATTGTGATCCAAAAACCAAGTTTCAACTCGAATAGCAGACTCAGGATTGCCTACATGTTGAGTAGATTGGGCTTGCGCAAGATCCCAAAGCTCATTGAGGACAAAACTCTGGCCTGCATCAATGTTGGTTACTGGTGGCGGTGGACCCTCCGGTTCAGGAGCATTTTGAACGGCCCGCACCGTACGCAAGAACTCTTCAGTGAAGCTACATTGCTTTGGAAAAGAGTCGTGCTGATATGACCAACAAAACTTGGAAACATGCAGAACAACTTCAGGTCGAGGAGAACTCTGGAAGTCCAATGGTAGCTTTTGATTGACATCAGCAACTTTAGGCCGCGACACTGTGAGCTGAAGCAAGCTGGTCGTGTCTTGAGTGACAATAATTGGAATGAACGGAGGCAACCAATTAGCCGGCAAAAAGAGCCTTTGCACAACCAGTTCAACAACATCTCCTGATCGAACAGGAAACGGGGTCAGGGCAGGCAGATCGTGTCCACGCATACGTACCTGACACTGTGCAATATTTGGGCAATCAAGAGAATATCCAAGAAAAAAGATAATGTCTTCCGGGATAGACTGATCGGCAAACACATGAACTTGTCGTTGGGGCGCACCATCCGCAATGGCAGGGTCATAAACAGTAGTCAAAACTGGTGAGTGAGTCTCCAGCGCATGTTGTTGAAGAATAATGTGGCCTGCAAAACCAGGTTCCATGTCGGGTGGTGGCGGCAACACAGCAATAATCTGGGTATCAGAGCTGGCAGATTGCTCATCAGCCCATGCTTGCAGAATCCTGCGACGCCACGAGCCAAAATCTTCATACAAACACACCTCACGACTACTCACACAATGCCGTTTGCCAGTTGCAGGAGAGACCCGCCATGTCAGAAACTTGGCCGAGACCATCTCATCTTCCCAAGCATCTGCAGCAGCTTGCCATTGCATAAAAATTTCTAACATGTTCTCATCTTGCAAAGCCGGATCAGAGGCACCTGGGAAAAAGACCGGAGCAGCTGGATCAAATTGAAACACATTGGCCGGTGACTGGGCAGGTGATAAATCATCCAACATGTCATGAGGCAACGAACCTGCAACAATACCAACGGGAGCACCAGAGTCCACACAAGCTGACTCAGACCTCTGCCCTACACTATTCAATGAAGACTGAGGGACATGGCCGACTGCACAACTAATCTGCATAGCGTGCATGATGTCAACCTCGTGACTCAAAATGTTCGGTGTTGCCAGATCAGCTAACTCCGCCTCAGACAATAAAGTGGGCGAAGCATCAGAGATGACTTCCGCACCTGTAAGCTGATCAAGCATCTCTTGATGGGATAGCCCACGCTGGGCCATTTCAACCGCATTTTGTGTAGTGCAAACAAACCGTTGTGTCGGAGGAACAGCGACCCGAAAATATGCTCCATGAGAGAGGCGACGCACTTGGAAGTCATCATCATGCCAACGAGAGTGGCCATGCCATACGAAGCAGGCGTCATCCTCTTGACGACAGTATCTGTCTACATTTGCAGTGACTAAGACAGCATCACGTGTGCATTGAGTTGGAAGACGAACAACTGACCTAGTGGACATAGGGCCAACTGCATAGTTCGCTTCAAAACTATGGCCATGCAGATCAACATCTAACAAAGCCAATTTGGCTGACTGGCCTACTGCAATGTCGGCAAACATGTGGACAATGATGGAGACAACCCCATCTGGCACATCAGCGGGGGAAGGCTCAACTTCATATGCATCAATGATATCAATCGGATGCCGTCCATAATGCCTGGCAATCTCGTCAATCATGGAATCATAATCAGACCAAGCCAGGAAAACCCTCAAAGGAGCCTCTGTTAGGTGATACAAAATAGCATCCTGACGTGAGCCAGACGAACTGGGCGGAGCAATTTCAGAATCATCGATGGACACGTCTCTGCTACTGGCAGCCGACCGGGCATCAATCCCTTCATCACTGGGGTGGTCTGCAGGCATGGCATCAGGCTCGTGCCCAAAGGCTGCAATCAGATCCTCAGGGTCATCAGCATTAGGCAAGGATTTCAATTCTTTGCGGAGCTTGCCACTGCGCTGCATGAAAGAAGAAACATCATTGCCAGGTTGCGTGCCAGCCAAATCATGGTTCGAATTGGTAATGTTATCCAAAATCGATCTTGGAGGGACTTCTGAATAGGGGTCATGCTGGTGAAGGTCAACATGGGCACTTGGTTGCACAGCTACACTCGGTGACACCTGAAGACCTGAAGCATTAGGTGATTCCCGGATTAACACGGCCGAAAGCGACAGCGGTTCCTGGGAAACATATGGGCAATCATGTGAAACAGCAGTCTGGCTCAACGGAGGCAATAACACCAACGGATCCAAGAATGCATAAAGCTTCGAAACATCACAGACAAAGGCACATCGATGACTACTCCTGGTCCTACGGAGTTGCCATGTTTTGCCCGGCCAAAGATGAAAATCTTCAATCTCTGTATGATGAACAGGAAGCACACTGTCATCCTGACATACAATAACCCGGGGATTAAACTTCACATGCTTTCGGGCTGGACAACAGGGACCCATTGATTTAGCATCATCTTTGGGAAACCTGGCAGCAATTGAAGAGCACTGATGAAAACCGATGCACACTTCACTGGAGATATGGTTAAATCCATCGCAAGGAAAAGGATAGGATTTGCCGCTCCATTCATCACACAAAACCGAAAATCGAAGCTTCTGAGCCTTACTAATGGCACGAAAAACACTGGTGAAGGAGTCTTCATACTGAGCCGTATGACGATACTGCAAAAGAATAAAGGGATCAATGGTCAAAGCATGGCATGCTGCACAGTCTTGCTGAAAGCAAAAACCATAGGCATCAGCGACACTTCCAACCTCCCTAAGGCACTCGGCATCATGCAACCCATTCACTGCTGGACATGCGATTGCACTGCCTGCGGTCACTTCGTTGTGTGACCAGCACCAGGTTCGACAGATCTGGGACGTTTGTGATGAGCACGCTCGCCATCGTGATCGTCGTCCGAGGCAATTGTCTGGACATCTGCAGGTGCAGGAATTGTAACCCCTAATGAGCCAGCACATGTCTGCAAAATCCCTTGAAGCTGTGTACGCAGCTTCTCTTCGTCTGCATCTGTTTGATCCTCTGTCTGTCCTTCTTCTGCAATGGCCGCAGAAGCTGCCACAATCGCCTGGTTGCCAGGCTCTTGAGTGCTGAGCCGCTGAATGTCGCTTCTGGCAGCTGCAATATCGGCACGAGCTTTTTGGGCAAGCTCTTGCAAAGCAGCTCCATGCCGTCGGTATGTCTCCAACTGTGTCTCCCATGTCTTGATACTTTCTGAGAGATGGGCAAGCCAACTGTTTCGATGGACCCGACGGGCCTCGGCTGCTTCCGCTAGCAACTTCTGGGCTTTGTCCAATGCCTTCGTGGCACTGTGCAATGATTTTGTAACATTTTTGGTCATTCCTTGTTCGGCACGTTCTATGGCTGCTGTGGCCTCGGGAGGCCTCGTTTGGGCATCTGGATAGGCATCTCGAAGGAGCCTTGCAAATTCTCTGTTGTCGGCTTGAAGCTGCTGAGTTGCAGCTGTTGTTGTTGAATCTGCAACTGGCACTGTATTCACAGCTGATACCAGTGATGTGGCCCGATCGATGGTCGGCCACGGTGGCGGGGCTGGAGGGGGTGGTAGAGGTAGTGCAGAGGGCTGCCCATCTCCACGCCCTTGCCCTTTGCGCCCCTTGCCTCTTCCTCGGTTCGGCTGAGCATTGTTGCCTTTCGGCCGTCGTGGTCGACGTGCCGTTTTGGGTTTGGGCTGATGCTTTCTGGATGAACTTCTGGAAGAAGAGGAAGACTTTTCCCAATTTTGCTGTGCTTGATTCTGCCAATCTGACCAGCGATTGTACGTCCAGCCCGGTGCCTCTTCGGGCTGTGGCTGTGACTTGTGAGGAGTTCCATTGCGCCACGAATCTCCACACCGATCGCAAAAGGCAGCTTTCTTCCCATTTGTTTTCATACACGATGAGCACCTCCACGGGCCATCCCAATCTGCATTCATTTCTAAGGAAATGAGGCGAAGGTGAGTGAGATCCCGCGAGTGATGTTTGGCCAAAGTGGCCCGCAAATGGTGAAGCTGAGAAGCCGACAAACGGATGTGTCCGTGCTTGTGCAACCACCACCTGCGACGAGCTGCTGCTCGCTTCCTTCTCTCTGATCTGCGCTGAGTCGAGAGCGCCACACTGAAAAATAAAAATGAATACACTGAGCACCCAAAACCACTGTACCTGAAAACCCATAAACCACAGCACACTCCCAGGGCGAACCAGTTAAGGAGTTAGTGCCGGTATAGGCCACCTGTAAGGTCGGTGCAGCACCAGTGAATGAAGAGCCCCAATGCAGAAATCAAAAACGAATTGCAAATTGTAAATGAGAATTGGAACCAGAAGGCAATATGTGCAGCAGCTGGACCAAAGAGTACACAGTTCCACAAGCAAGAAAATTCAATTGCCAGTTGAAGGTGTACTGAAAGGGGGTTTATGGACGACCCCAAA